GCTTATATTGCGCAAATGCTTAGAAATCCTGCTAGGGCTTATTTTATGGGTAGGTCTTATTTTCGGGGAAACACAGTAATTGCCACCAAACAGAATAGATAGTCAATGTGTGTGCGGGGTAGATGACTAAATGCTATTCCAAAGGGCTTGGACAAGACAAAATGAGTTTTTGAGGTGGGTTTCAAGCAGAATATTGCCTGAACCATAACAGTCAGATGATGTTGGTGATAACCATAAAGATTGCCGAGGATTGGAAAGAGAACTTTAGATAGAATATTTTTTATATCGTATTTATTCACATCATTTCTGTAGTTTGCCTAGAAGCATTCCAAAGGCCTATTTAATTTTTAAGTTCCTAAACTGTAGGATTTGAGTTAAGATTTTATAATGAAATAACCAATTCATCATGTTGGAATAGTGCCTACAGTTAGTCTCTGAAAAACTGAGTTTAGAGAATTTCCTAAATGGAGTGTTTAGTGTATGGTATGAAAAGTTTTGCTTTTCATTCAGTTTTCTCATTTTACTATTGTGCACATTCTAGTCTGTGTTTTACAGTAAGAGTGCTTGAAGCCTTTACTATGTATGCCTTCTCCAAATTCTTTGATTTAAGTTGGTTGAACAGGGCTAGTTAGCTGGCCTCTGATCAGAAATTTGCAAAGTAGATATACTTATAATTGAATACAGAAACTGATCAACCAATTGATCAAATTGCTGTGGCATTTTTAGTTTTTATTTTCTGTCATATATTTTCTTTATATTAGTGAACATTTCTTATTTATTTAAATTAATTTTTTGGATAGATAATATGATCACATGGTTTTAAAATTCTGTATGATGTGTTGTATACATTGAAGAGTATACATTCCTTCCAGTGATGTGCCATAGCCATCCAACTCACCTCTGCACAGGTGATGACTGTTATTAGTTGTACCTGTTTCGAGATATTTAATGGCCCCATTTCTATACAGGTGGGATAATGTTAATGTTTCATATTAGAATATAAAGAGGTAGTTGTACTTCCTTCCAATTTTGATAAAATATTTTCCTAGAAAATTATCCATATCCTCCAGGTTTTAAAATTTGCTTTATACAGAGAGTCAAGCCAAGTAGACTCTCATTCTTTTTGTGGTTGTTTCCCCTGATTTCTTGTGCGTGTGTATGTATTTATGTCCACTTCACTGTTTTTGACTGGTTGGTTAGTGGATCTGCTTTTATTTGTTACTCCTCAAACTGTCTTTGGACTTATTTATTATTTCCTTTTTTTGTTTTCTAATTCATTAATGTCTGCTTTTAACATTATTATTTTTTTTTGTCTTTTTTAGTTTTTTTTTTTTATTTTTCAAACATCTTGACCCAAATGCTAAATTGATTTATTTTCATTATTTTTTTAATTTAAGAAGTAATATGAATTTTGCTTCCCAGTGGCAACTGCTTCAATTATGCATTTTTTTTCCTTTTAAATTAATAAGGAAATGTTTGGTCACTAGTTTTCAATTGATTGGGGGTGGTGCATGTAGTTCTTGTTCATAGGTTTTGCTGAATTTCCCCCTTTTATGTATTTTGTGTAGTTGCTATGCTGGTTCCTTTTTTATGAATTGTCATTGAAGCAGATGAGTTTTTTCTCTAGGTTACTGGTTTATAGGAGGATGAGGGAACAGAGTGTATGTAACCTAGAATAGTTGGGGTTTTTTTGAATAATGACTTTGTCGGGCTGCTTCCTGCAAATACAGTTAATCTGCGCAGTTCTTCGTGTTACCTCTGGTTATTGGAGGAAAATTGGATCCCATTTGAGCTTGAGAATTTTGGCTATTAATATTAATATTTTAAAATAAAGTTTGCAGTTTTTGTGTCTGGTTGTCATTGATAATTGCATATAATTTCCAGGAAGGAAAATGGGAAATGCCGTCAATGCCGTGTTCCTCCCTGAACTCTGTGTAGGTGGGTTAGTCTTTTCCAGTGTGCTTTTAGCCAGGGTTTAGTTACCCGAATGTTTTTGGACATTTTTCTACCCCAAAGCACTTGGGAAGTACAACAGCCTTAGAAAAACAGTGCAAGCTCTCATAGTTACCTGTTAGTCATACTTTTTAATAGACTTCATTCTAAGTATTCTTTTACTCAGTGAACAAGTATTCAATTAAGTGCTACATTAAGGGACGTACTAGAGACTAAAAAATCTTTAAAAATCCATTTAGATAAGAGATGATGTTCCTAAATTGAAGTCTAGCAATACACAGGATATTATTTTTTTCTATACCATTGGCTATATTTGTTTTTTGCTTTTTGAAAAAAAAATATGTACATGGCTAAAGAGTCCAGTTTTCTACAAAGTTTGTTACACTCGATAGTCTCCTGTCTTCATTCTCTGCTCCCTCCATCCAGCCCCTACTTCCTGTTTCCTTTGCTTTTCTCTCCCCAGATTCCTCCTCCTTTGAGAAATTCTAGTTGTTTCTTTAGCTCTGGCTCACTGACAAGAAAGGTAGAAGAACTCTCTGTGACTTTATCGTTCCTCTGCTTTCTATTTTATTAAATTTTCACTCTAATCTTAATTATTCCCTTCCTTCTGCTTGCTTTTAGTTTGGTCTACTCTTCTTTGTCTAAATTTTTTAAGACAAATGTGTAGATTATTGGTTGAAGATCTTTCTTGTTTTCTAATATAGGCAATTTAAAGCTATAAATGTCTAAATACCACTTCAGCTGCATCCCATCAATTTCGATATGTCATGTTTCTATTTTCATTCAGATCAAACTACTTTATAAATCTCCTTGTAATTTCTTCTTCAACCCATTGGATTATTTAGAAAAATATTTTTTAAATTTCTCTCTGAGGATTTCCCCAAATCTCCTTCTGTTGTTGATTTCTAATTTTACTGCATTGTCATCAGAGAATATATTTTGTATGACTTCAGTCCTTTAAAATTTATCAATACTTGTTTATGGCCTAGTGTATGGTCTGTGCTAGACAGTGTTCCATGTGTGCTTAAAAAGAATGGATTGTGGTGTTACCGAGTGGAGTGTTCTTTCTGCAGATGTCTATTAGGTCCAGTTGGTTGAAAATTTTGTTCAAGTCTTCTATATCCTTGCTGATTATCTATCTGGTTTTTAGGTGCCTCTATTCTTGATTTTAAACTATAGATTACTATATTGATGAATCAGTATTTTGGGCTGTAAGTTTTCAGCAGCTAGATTTTAAGATATTTATTTATGTATTGGTTATAAATCATACAAACTACTATTGGGAAGATAATCCTATAGTTTTATAATTTCTAGGGTTAAACTGTACTTTTTCTTGTTTGTTTTCCTCAAGTATTAAGTGTTTTGTCAGTCTTTATAACATAGATCATATGTTATATATCATTGATGTCTTTTAACAGTTGAGCATTTTTAATATAAGTTGTCACCAAATGTAACACTAATAGGGCTCTGGCTGGCTTGGAAATGTGGCTGCAGCCCATGCTGCTGGCCCACCATGTCCTGGGCTTGGTTGCCCTTCAACTTCCTGGGGTCCTTGGAAGGCAAAGATCTCTGAGGGTCCTGACTCAGTGTGGGGTTAGGAGGAACATGGTGTCTGGACACACGTGCCAGAGAAGTAATAGTAATAATTATTTGCATTTGTCCACTGTCTGTGCCCCACTTTCTTAAACCCTGCAGCAATCCTAGAAGGCAGTTTCTCCTATTGTCTCCATTTTACCAAGGAACTGAGAGGGCCAGAGAGGTTTAGCAGCTTCCCCTAGGTTATTCAGCTAGCAAGAGCCAAAGTTGGAATTCTCACTTTGGTCCAATTCCATGGTCTTTGCCATACCAACAGGGCCAGACTCAGTTTACCCCTTAGAAGGGAGGAGCTGAAGGTGTTCATCTCTGTTAGACACCTGGGAACCAGAGCCTTGGAACAAGACAGTTACTACTGTTGAGTGTCACCTCCTCCAGGCAGCCTTCTCTGATGCCCCTATACTCCTCCAGGCTGGGTTAGGTCTGAACTCAGTTGAAAATGTCTATTTAAACATATTTCAGCCATACTTAGACTATCTTGTTCACTGCAGTGGTTCTAGCCTGGCCTAGTGGAGTTACTCAGTAAATGTTTGTGAAATGTGACTATGTTTTTCATTAAATGAATAAGGAAAAAAAAGTAAAATTAATAGTATTGTATTTTCACTTGTTCATAATTTTAAAAGTACACAGGTCTGATAAACATTTATTTCTAACGTATAACTTTCTTGCATTAAAGTTTTTGACTATTTAAGAGATTTGCATTTCTGTGTTGTTCTGTTATATTGCACTACTAAATATCATTGAGTACTTGCCAATATAGTAGGCAGATTTTTAAGTTATTATTTTTAATTGTCTATGTTCAATTCACTAGAAAAACTGAGCACAGAAACTATACTTCTTTGGAAACATCCAAACTATATAAATAATGAATAGTTAAAGTGTTCTTGATTTGGGTTCTCAGTATCAGTATTTAATAATAATAATATAACAACACAGCTTTTTCTTACATAGCTTTATCATTTAATCTCATAATCTCTAAGGTATTTCTTCCTACCTTTTGTTTTGTTTTTAATAGAACAGAAAACTGAAACTCAGAGAAGTGACTTACTTTCAGTCTGGTAGCAAAGAGGCAAATTTTGACCAAGGTTTTATGATTCAAGGTGGAAAAATCTTTCTTGACAGCATCCTGCAAGAACTATTACTACTGCTATTCATTATTTATAGTTTGGATGTTTCCAAAGAAGTGTAGTGTCTGTGCTCAGTTTTTCTAGTGAATTGAACATAGACAATGAAAAATAATACAAACTTCTGCTTACTGTATTGGTAAGTACTCAATGACATTTAGTAGTGCAACATAATACAAAACCACAGAAATGAAAATCTCTTACATTGTCAAAAACCTTAACATAATATTTTTCATGAATGTTTACATCATTTAAGTTTGAATATAATATTAAAAGTTTAAATAAAAATATAAAAACACGAATGTAGGTACATTTTCTTTTCTTTCCCAGACAGATGCTGATTACGTACATGGTGTTGTTGCCAACCTGGAGAAAGAGTAAGTCCTTCTTAATTAAAAACATGAAAATATTTTAGTTACTATTATCTCTTGGTTTTTTGCTAAAAGAAAGTGCCTTTTTATAGTTCATTTCTCTGTGAAGTTCATGTTAATTAGACACCTATCACTGGTCTTTTACACTGTCATAAAGTAGGTACATCTATATCTAGTTATCTAATGGTATTTCATTATGGCAAAGACTTGAATGTCATATGTATGTAACACTATCAAATAACAGTCTCTAATCTTGAAGACAGTGAATACAGAGAGAGTCATATGAGATTATTTAAATCTTTCACACTGTGTTTACCAGGCAAAATTTTTTCTGCTATCCAGGCAGATTTTCATGTAGCAATTTCAGACTTCAATGCTAAACTATGTCTTAATTTGGTCTTCTATTCTGTAAAGACTGAATACCAGTTTGCTATGAGCAAGGCACATAGCAGGTGACAGATGGAAAGCTTAGTAAGTTTCAGGTATTATTTCTTTGCATAATACTGCCTTTAGCAATTTTAATAGTGATATAAAAATTATTCTTGATAGAGGTTTCTTTCATTGAATTGTATCTGTTTTTGTCCCTAAAAGACATGCTTTCTACTTAAAATGACAAGAGAAGCAACAATTATTTGCTAACTGTAGATTTAAAATAACGTGGCTCTCCTTGTCTATCAAAATGTTAAAACTGGAGATTTAAACAAATGCATAGTTCAGGATTAAATTGTCATTTGTTAGGTTTTCCTCAAGTGCTGAATTTCTTGGCAGTCTTTACAGAAGCACAATTTGGTACAGGCTCCTTAAGTAAAGGAATGGCACGATAATTATCGTTTGTTCCCCCTTCCTGTACCTTCCCATAGACCACATGGGCAGGGCTGTGGGGCTTGTGCGGTATAATAATTCTGTTGATTTATTTCTTCCTCACTGTGTAGAAAACCAAGGCCAGAAAAAAAGTTCAGTTAAGCACTAAGAGCATTTTGTGCAAAGGCAGGTAGTTGCACACAAATTTGTGGAGATTTTCGAAAATGAAAGAGGGGAGAATGCAAATGTGAAAGAAATTACATTTGAGTCAGTACAGACTAATTTAAAAACCATAGAAAAGAGTTTCTCAACCTCAGCACTATTGACATTTTGGGCCAGATAATTTTTTTGTTGTAGGGGCTGTCCTGTGCATTATAGAATGTTTAGCAGGGTCCCTGGTGTCTACCCACTGGATGTCAGTAGTACTGCCTACAGTGGCAACTTTGCAACATCTCCAGATTTTGCTAAATGTCCTTGGGAGGAATAAAATCACCCCTTGTCCCCCACTGAGAAACACTAGTTTAGAATGACAAGTAGTCTATAACCCACAACTAAAACTTTCTGAAAATTGAGGAACTTTTATGTTTGTATAAAGACATATATATTTAGATATGCACATACATTCGTTTGTTTTTCTTCGGTTCCCTGTTTTCTGTAAGACCTTGTTTTTTTTTCCTTTAAATTCTGATACATTTTAGGCATGTAATGCCTGAAGTTTGCCTAGGATTTCTATGCTACTAGTATAAGGATAGTGCGTTTTACAATGTTTTTAAAGCATTACTTTAAAAAGGGGAAAAATCTGTATTTTCTGGTAAATAAAATCAGTGATGAGCTGCTCCATTTAACACACTATGACCACAACATTCTTCCCTGCTACAAATGATTACTGATGTGTTTTATGTTAAAAACAGTAAATTAAGCATTAAGATAAATCAACTCCCACAGAACTTAAATAACTCAGTTAACCTTTCTTACGATAGATTTTCTAAAGAAATCAGTTCTGGCCTGGTGGAAGTAATATCACCTCCTGAAAGCTACTATCCTGACTTGACAAACTTGAAGGAGACATTTGGAGATTCTAAAGAAAGAGTAAGGTGAGCCACGTTGTCATTCAATGTCTTGCACCCATGTGAGTGTACTATCTAATAAATGCAGTTATTGCTTATTGAAGCTTAAAAAATTTTAGGGTTGGCACTTAACACTTTATATACAACACCAATATTGTATGACAGTTCCCAATACTTCACAGCCTTCCCAATGCTAGACTTTTAAAAATCTTTGTCAATTGTATAAAGACTATTTTATTGTTTTTTCAAAAAAATTTCTTTTAGGGTTGAACTTGGTAGAATATTCTGGGTAGTGTCATTAAGTTCAGGACAGCTTGTGACATATTCTGGAGAAGTTTTGTTAGTATGAATAAAAGTTTATTGTGAGCTTTTATTGTGTTTTTCTTAAAATGGCTTTTAGAGCCACTTCTCTTATTCTGCGTTTGTCACTGTGCTTCTGAAGGCTACCAGGAATTCACTGAAAAGACTTAATATTTTAAATTTTAATATGGTGTTATTTTTAAAGTATTCGAGGCACATTTATTAATTTCTGTCTGTATGCAAAACACAGTCCTAGGCACCAGAGCAGTCATCCCTAAAGTGTCATTCTTGAAGCTCTGGGTTGATGAGACATTAAGATGTTACTGAAAAAAGGGCCCATGGTCAAGTAAATTTGGAAAATACTGGAATAAGACAATTTTTTTCAACAAGTATCTTTACTGCTGAATGTTTTAGTGCCTCTAACATGCTAGTATGTTTCTAGAAGGGGGAATATGTATACAGAGTTTCCCAAACTTACTTGACAATTGGCTTCTTTTCCCTCAGAACATCTTTAGGATTAGTGTTCTTGGGAAGATACTTTAATAAAGTCTTCATTCGAGGAAAGTAAATTGTCTTTGAATCTCTCTCCTAAGTGTGTGTATATATACATATGTGACATGTTATATGGACACTTGAGGCTCATATTAACACATCTAATCTTATTTGACTAAATTTGAGTCTGATTCCCAACTTATCTTTTGCAAATGTCTGTTTCAGGTGGAGAACAAAGCAAAACCTGGATTATTGTTTTCTAATGATGTATGCTCAGGAAAAGGGCATCTATTATATTCAGGTAAGTATGGTTTTTCCTTTAATGTTTTCCTCACTTCTAAAGAAAAAGTATTATCAAGGGTATATTTTCATTAAAACAGGAAGTTTTGATAGCAGGAGCCCTCTAAGATCTGTAAGATGATAACGGTATCTCAGAGAGCAGAGGGGTCTCCATGGTAACTGAGAATGTGGGCTCTGAGGTTTCTTCTCCAGTGAGCACAGGCACCAGCTTTCCACTTAGCGGGTGAACGTGTGCAGCTCGCTCATCTCCTTCTTTTAACCCCATTCCTCCATCTTCTCTCTCTCCCTCTCTCCCCTGTTAAAAAGAAGTGAGATTTAATTATTTGGCAAGTTTTAAAGAAAGATTTTCTTATACTTTTTTTTTTTAGTGATCTTATGATAAAATGATTTTTTGTAGGCCATAATACAGTTCCATTTATATTGAAGATAATAAAATTGAGTTTTAATTCTAACACTCCAATTTGTAGCAGCATAACCCTAACACTATACAAGTAGCATAATCCTATGATGATACGGGTTTTAAGTTAGTCAGGTAGGCAGCAGCTTAAAGAATTCTAGGAAGCTCTTACTTCCTCCAAATCTCATTCTCCTTGATGACTTAAGCTTAAATTCCACAATTGGAATTTCATTTCTTTAACCAAAGAGTGTCTTCGTTCCTTGTTCAAAATGCAAATACCCTTCAGAAATATAGCACACTAAGCCTGTCAGTTATTATTTTTCAATATAAAAAGTTATTTTTAATTCTCTGGTAATTCATATGTCTTTGTTTATTTGAGGTTGGTTTCTGGAGATTTAATTTGTTCCTTTAGAAATGCCCAGTTTTTCTATTTCTTTGTACGTCTTGTTTTTGTTTGTTGTGATTTTGACATTTGAAAAACTAACAATGTCTCCCAGTCTTTGCAATCTGATTTTTTTACTGGAAGGACTTTCTCCAAACTAGATGGAGATCCTGGAGCCCTTGGAACCTTTTCTGAGGCCTAGTCCTCTCTGCGTTTGTGGCTGTAATCTCCTAATTGAGTTTACTGGTTCTGTTTAGCTGCACGTTCTGGCGCCTGTCTGCAATATTGTGGTCTCGCCAATGTTGTAATAAGCTACAGTATTGGAGCGCCACCTAGTGTCTGCTTTGGTACTGCAGCTTCTGCTGCCAACTGATGGCCTTTGTTCTTGGCCCTCAGCTTGGCACCCTGTTCGTGCCACTGCTTGGATTTAGACAAGACGAGAAACCAGCCCCTGGTTGAAGTCCACTGTTTTCATTTTGATCTCATGACTGGTGGTTCTATCCATAACTGAAAGTGGGGTATTGACTTCTGGCACCCCTAGAAGTCAAAAACACTGGGTGTGTGTCTACTCTTTTCTCTCCCCAGAGAAAAGCCGAGACTTGGGTGTTTCCTCCCACTCACCCTGTCCTGTGCCTGAGGGGAGAGGCTCTGGCTGTGGAGCGCTCTGATTTTAAATCCGTGTCTCTGTAGGGGAAGAAGCATCTGGAGTCTCCTGTTCCACCATCTTGCTGACATCACTCTGAAACAGTGCTCTTTTACGAGGACAGGATGATAACCTGTTTTCCTGTCACTTAACATATGATAGATACACACCTTTAGATGCTGATAAATTTGCGTGATTTTTAAATTGCTTCTTGAAGTATCATTGTTCAGATATCATAATCACCTTATTATTGGTCATTTAGATTGTTACTAACTTTTCTGCTGTTTCAAAGACAAATTCAATGAACATTCTTAAAATTATCATCTTTGCCCAAAAATTACACCTCAGGAAAAAGGGAGTTGCTTTATGTTGAAGCCTTTAAACAATCTTATGTGGAATTCTCTCAATGATTCCACCGTGGTCTGCAAATATTAGTGGGATAAACTTATTAGCCTCAAAAGTCCTCAGTTTAATGCCAGTTTTGAATGTTGATAAAAGTTAAATTTTACCTGGGAAAATTTGGGGGAAAGCAGGGTGAGGAGGAAGGAAGCAAAGGAATTTATCCTAGATGTCATAATTGTCCCCTAGGGACATGACTTCGTGGTTGCATGTGTTGGGGATGTATCATACCCAAGACTTTTTAAAGAATTGCTTTAAAAGTCTGGGGTTACTTTGTGGTCATCACAGACATACACCCAAAGGGAGGAGGTAAATGCCACCTGTCCTGGTGTTATGCCCGTGGCTTGGAATGTAGTTTCCAGTGACAGCATCATACACAGCTTCACAAAGTTGCTTTATCACAAACAACTCAGAGTTGGAGACAGCGTCTTCTAGAAAACCGTTGGATGGTGCAGGCCCTTCACGGGTGGTACTGTGTAACCCTTACTATACACAGAGTGAAGTGCATTGTGTCGGGCGTCCACACATTCACTGTCGCTGGGCTCAGTGCGCCAGCTCATCAATCCATCGTAAAGCTCCCCAGCGGCCATTCTGCGCATGGTCTCAGCATCCATGGATGATTTTTCCCTGACATCAGTTATTTCATTAGAAGTTTCCAAGTGGTGATTTTCTAATTCTGTAATTTCTAATGCTCCTGTGAGCTGCATTCTTCTATAAAGAGTTTTCCCTCCTGGAGAAGGGGGATAGGTAAATTCACACCTAATGGGTACAGTGTACACTATCTGGGTGGTGGACACACTTATAGCTTTGAGTCAAACTGTACAAAAGAATTTCATGTAACCAAAATGTTTGTACCCCTGTAGTATTCTGAAATTTAAAAAAAAATTTCCCTCCTTAACTATTAGGGTTTCTCGAATATAGTTCATAAAGAAAAAAAAAACAGAATAAATCCTCGATTCTTTCTCTTTATTAATTTTTAAAGTTGATGCCCTAGCAGTCTCCAGGAGTGGTCATCTTAAAAGTATCATTGTGAACTCATGGATTTTAAAAATATATTTGATTTGCCTCAATCCATTGCAATCATCATTCTTATTGATGCTCACATTGATACATCATAATCCAGTGGGAACCTCTTCAGATTGGCTCTTGTATCCTTTCTGTGTAAGTCCAGTCATCTTTGATCACTTCTTTGCTTTCAGATGTTGCACATTTCCTGTCCCAGATCATTTCTCTAAGGAGCATTGTTGCTCTTAGAGGCGATGGTATGTAGGAACAGCCTAGACACTTGAGATGCTGGTTGCTATTGCGTTGTCTTTGCTTCTAGGAATTTCAGCAACGACAAGTGTATTTTATTTTTCAGAGGCAAAAAATCACACATTTGTATTGATATTCATAGTTCCAATTCATGTTGGATTAACCCTTTGCACTAGGATGTCAAGTGTGACTTGACACGATTAGCAAAAATTATAGAGATTAAAATTACTCTTTGAATGTATCAATAATTTGAAATATAAAAAAATCCAAATAAATATATTTGTATGAAAAAAAAACTTCAGTTTTTTATTCTACTGCCGTACTTTGTAAAATCTGGGATATTTAAAAAATTAAATTTCAAGTAGAATAAAGGAATCGAGAAAAAAGCAAGTGAGTACAAAGTGTTAAGATATAAGATGATAGGGTTATAGTAAGATTATAGGGTTTTTACTTTTTGAATTCATACATACATTTCCTTTCTATTTTCTCTTAAAGTCTTGGTTTTTAGTGAGATTATCCTAATAGCATAATTCTTTTATTCAATAGTATACCCCAGATAGTTTTAAAATATCAATACCATTATCACTACTAACGACAAGACGACTAAACGCAGTTTAGACTTTCTTTGTGCCTTTTATCCCCATGGAATGTTCCCTGATAGGATGTGTAGTCAATGTACTGTGTTTGGAAGTTACTTGAAGTAATTTTTTTATCTTGTGTGGCCATGCCACCACTTGATATGCAACTAGATTCATTTGCTTTGGTTTGTATTCAGTTTTTAAGTTCCTTCTTTTCCTCTTTAGCTATATAAAGCATAACCTTCCAAATCAAAACTCATGTGAAACAAGATACATTCACAGAAGTCTCATTTTTATCCCATCCCCTTCACCCTGTTTCCTCCCTCCCCTGTGGGTACCATCATTTGTTTTTGGTTTCTCCTCGTACTTCTAAAAAACTTAAATATACATGTGTGTGTAACACCACACCTCTTTCTGATACTACATTTACATACTGTAAAAACAATATTTTGCATCTTTTCAGCTTCCTTCTGTAAATTAGCAATCAGTAATGGGAGGTGTGTTAGATTTTTCAGAGTGGCTCTTGCTATGACAAAATACTGATGTCAGAGGAGTATTTGTGTTCACTAAAAACCTGGGCATGAATATTCGTAGCAGCTTTGTTAGCCATGGCCCCAAACTGGAAACAACCCAGACATCCTTCAGCAGGTGACTGGTTAAACACACTGTGGGACATTTTATACCGTGGCTTACTAAACAATTTTATTATAATTTTATTACTAAACATTTTATACTGTGGCTTAAGAAACAAACTGGATGCACCCAACAATTTGGATCATCTCAAGGGAATTATGCTGAGTTTAAAAAATCAATCTCAGAAGGTTACATACTGTAGGATTCCATTTATATGGCATTCTCGAAATGACAAAACCGCAGAGATGGAGAGCAGGTTATTGGTTGCCAGAGGTTAGGAAGGCAGCAGAGGTGGGTGTAAAAGGGCAGCTCTAGGGATCCTCGTGGGAGCTGTTGTACATGCTTCCTGCATGGTAGTCACCAAGATACGCATGTGATAAAATCGCATAGAAGTAAATACAACTGAGTGCATGTAAAACCAGTGACATTTGAATAAGTTCAGTGAATTGTATCAAAGCCAACTTATTCATTGTGATAGTGTGTGCAGTCGTATTGGAGGATGTGATATTGGGGAAGACTGGGTGAAGGGTATTCACTATCTCACTGCATGTGAGTCTACAATTATTATATCTTAAAAAGTTTTTTTAAAAGTTGAAATTATTTGGTGAGATATGAGAATAGAACAAAACAAATTTTCTCATATATCAAATGTGGATTTAAATCTATGTGAAACAAAATTAGTGCACTAAATTTTAAGTAGGCATTTAGAATTTCCTGATAGTAGGGATCATCTTTCATTTGCACATGCTCGGTGAATGTTTAGGTTTGAGCATAGGCATCTTTGCATTCAGAAAGCAAGGTTAAATGACAGCGTAGCTCTGTGCTTGTCTGATTTTCCCTCTAGCCTCTCTTAAAGCTCTGAGGGCATAAATCATGTATTTTTTTCATGTTAACTGACCTATCCCCAGGGTTTTGGATAATGTCTGAAACATGATAGAAATGAGTCAGTCAGTAGTATAATAATGTAGTTGGCAAGTCGGTCAATATCGTATCTTTACAAATACTGCTACTGTTTCTTCATAGATAGGAAGAAGAAAGCCTACACTACTTAAATGCATGAAAAATCAAATGCTAGAACAAATAAAAACTGCTTAGGTAATGAGAAATAATAAGATGAAACTAAGAAAAGGAAAAGTGTTTTTAGGATATTAAAATATTCTTGTGACTTTAAAGTTTGATGGGGGAGATTGCGTGGTGGCAGCTGTTGTGTATGTCGGGACCCCTGATCTGTCAGCTGCTTGTAGCCCTGGTGACAACACCAAGCAGAGTGCATGTGGTGTACCCGGCCCTCTGATTGCCACACCTCAAGTATCACATAGGTGTCTATTGAAATATAAAACAGGGACTTTTAGGAATCTGTCCTACAGTAATGAAATGCACTGACATGTAGGTACAAGCTCATTTATCACAGCATTGTTTGCATCCACAAAAACTGGGAAACAATCTGAATGCCCATCTATGAGCAGGGAAGAGCTGAACAAATGGTAGTACATCTATACCAGGGAATAGTAAGCATCGTTAAATTGAATGGTTTAAATAGATATTTATTAATGTGGAAAGATGTTCATCATATATTAAGAGAAGAGTACTAGTTTCATAGTATCCCTTTTTATAAAAATGAAAAGGGGGATGCGGACCTTATATATGGATCTGTATGTGCTGTATGCACATACAGAAGGTGTCAAATGGATGCACACCCAACTTTTCACATTGGTCACCTCAGTCAGCAGGGTAGAGGGTGGGGGAAGGAAAAGCGGTTGGCTTTTTTATATTTTCATTGTTTTTGACCGTTGTTTCCTTGACTTTCATGATGGAAGTGTACTTGAACTTTTCCATAATAATATCCTTCTGTCTACCTCTTTCCTTCTCTTTTTGATTTATTAATTGCTTGTTCAATTTTCTCTAGCTTGAAGATGACATCGTTGTCAAACAGAATTATTTTAATATTATAAAAAATTTTGCACTTCAACTTTCTTCTGAGGAATGGATGATTCTAGAGTTTTCCCAGCTTGGCTTCATTGGTAAGAAAAGTGTCAGATTTATCCATTTTTCAAAAATAACTATGACTCTTAGAATATTAAGCCAATTGGTTTTTTTGGTCCTAAAGTCTTTTTTTTTTTTTCCAATGGAAATGGATTGTTTTTGAGAAAATTTAAATCAGGTAAACTTTTTTATGTGAAATGATGAAAGTCAACCCAATTTAGACTTTGGAAGCTTTAACACTGTGGTGTTTACTCTCAAGTTCTGTGCAGTGCCAACCATGAGCCTGGTGAGCATGTTGGATTTCATCTCTGACACTTCCAGTTCTTTTGTCATCACAATATTGGATTTTCTCATGAATTCCTGGCATTTTCATGCAGTGCATGAAATTCTCATTCAGTAATTAATTTTTATTCATTTCTTTATTAACTAGTTGGGGCACTCATTTTAAAACCTTTTTTTGTTGCCGATGTTCCTAAATTGCCCAAGTAAAATGAAGATGCTTAAATTTGAAGAATTGAAGGAAATTACAGGTTTAAAAAAAAAACACCCAGAAGATGACATTTCACTTTCCTAGGGTATTTTAAAACTTTCAGCATTAGAGGCTGACCTTTGACCTTATTGATAATTTCACTCAAAACGTAAGTGTCAAAAGACATCTTTACTTGTGAAGGCTTCAGTCAAAACAAAATTAAGAGTCCTTGTTTTTATATTTATTGATTTAGATAAAAACTTTTTACCTAAACCTTTCAATGTTCCTTTTTTTATTGTTATGGGAAGAATCTTAATAAGCCATGAAAGAAAAATCTCTGACTTGCTTTTTTGAATGCTTTGAGCCAGTAGTTGTAGCACAGATTTTACAATAATGTCAGGATTTCACTACTTCCGTTTATACCCAGGTGACAGCGCAAGAGAATGTTTAGCAAAAGCAAGTTAGTTTGCTTTTGATAATACAAGTGGGGCAATTGCTTACAATGATTTATAGTTGACAGCACATGTGTCAGTGTATTTAGTTACAAGATTTCACTTATTTAAGCTGTTTTGATACTTCGTTTCTTTATTACAGCTATTGACTGGAGATATCTTTTCAGGTAAAATGTTTCAAGCTCCAGACCTCACTCTGATTGTAGAATTCATATTCATGTTCTATAAGGAGAAACCCATCGATTGGCTCTTGGATCATATTCTCTGGGTGAAAGTCTGCAACCCTGAAAAAGATGCAGTAAGTTAATTCCTCATGAGGGTGGAGGGGGCTTGTTTTCTGTACTCCATGAAAGTGATTTCTAGGGAGCCGGATTTTGGAAGTGAACAGTAAATAGGCAGTTGAAAGGAAACTACTTCCTTGAGCTGATAAAAAGTTCCTGTATTAGAAAGATGTTCAGATAGCAGTGGGAAATCCTGGAAAGCAGGGACGCCTGTGGCAGGACTATGGCCTTTGAGTTGGTGATAAATGTTTACAGTGTCTGTCGGCTCTGGTATGTTGTTAACTGTTGGCTATAGATTGGTCATATCTGTCCTGTGTGGGCTGTCTTTTCAGTTTATTTCTTCATTTTCTCTGTCAGCTCTCTTTTTTCAAATATTTTGGGGGCAATATGCGATCCTAACACATATGGTAATAAGGAATAAAATAGAAGTAATACCTTATATCAAAACAATGAGAAGTCAAAGTACCTTTCAGTGTGTTACTTGCAAGAAACCAGTTTTCATAGTAATACGCTTACCTTTGGGATGGTGGCAGGCAAGTAAACGAATGATAATTTTTGCTTTGATCATTCAGATAGCAAGTTATTTCCTTAGAAATCTTATTGTAAAACATAATTAGATACATTTTCATTGTCCAATTTGAATTGTTCCTTTGGGGAAAAATACAACTTTTTATTTAATAGGTGTAGCATAAACCATGAATGTACAAATTCTTAAAAATGAATGCCAATTTGGACACCTTCATAAGTAATATTTATTATAAGCAGATGTCATTTTAGGGTCACTTAGTCATTGTAACTGATAAGCATTTAATTTAACTTCATGACCATTTGCCTAGAATAGTTTGATTGTCCTACCTGCCAGTTTTTAGGATACTACTTTCTGATGTCTATAAGCTATCATTGCATTCTGTTCAAAAAATAAAATAACAAATAACACATTCTTAGAGCAAATCATGCAAGATATAGCAAAATGGCAGAGTGTCAACTTTATAACAGTGGTCGAACATATAATTGATTTGAACAAGTCATTTTTAAGGTCTAAACCTGTACTTGTATTTTCATTGTGATTTATAGGAATTTATATTGCAGGACACAGAACGGTTAATGTCCTCCTCCAATATTCCTCTATTTAATTCATCCTTTCCAGTTTTATTTAATATGTGGTTAGGTTCTAAAAAGATCCAAAGTGGTTGCAAAAATTAAAACCATGGAAACCCTCTAAGTCATCCATAAATTTGAGCACACAAACCTTTGGACAGTGTTATCTGTTCCTTCACCCTTCGTTAGCCCATGCTTTTCTGTGGCCCCTGATGGCAAGGGCCCAAAACTTATACAAGTCACTAGAAAGGAAAAGTTTTTAAACCATGTCAAGACAGCCATGGCTTTCTGGAAGCCCTGGACTAACTTGACCCCCAGAGCCCTGCTGGCATTATGGGTCCCTTCAAGTTCTGCAGCCACTACACACCTTGACAGGGCATGAGGACAGGCTGTGACATGGCATGTGGGCCAGCAGGCACTGCGAGTTGAAACATAGATTTCCTTTACCTATGTTGAGATGGATTTGTCTGTGGAACTTTTAATGTCATTAACTTGCATATAGTCAAGCTATTGCCTCACATATTCAACTTTTGTGCCCCTGTTATTATTTGCAAATTCTTCATTATATTACCTAATTAAAAATATTTTGTATATTTGAACCAAACCTCTAGTCTATAATTTGTGCATTTTAATATTAAAAGTCAAATCTTTATTGACATGTCTTGAAGGATGGTTGAAATTAAACCCCTCACTCTTCCCCTAGCTGTGCTTAATTTTTAATTTCCAGATCATGGCTGTTTATCAAGTAGGCAGCATATCTGTTAATGCCTCAAAGAAGACCATAAAAAACATACGACTTGGAATTATGACTTGAAGTTATATTTTCTTTTCAATATCCTTCTAAAGGATTTCTCATTTTCCAGATGAGGACAAGATTTCACTTTATTATGTAACATTAACATGATTTTTTTTTTTAATGTTTAGAAACATTGTGATAGACAAAAAGCAAATCTGCGAATTCGCTTCAAGCCTTCCCTTTTCCAACATGTTGGTCTGCATTCGTCGCTATCAGGAAAAATTCAGAAACTCACGGTTGGTAATTTTATTTTCTCATGGACACACAATTTGTTTGGTGTGTAATTATTGCTTTTCTTCTTAACTATAAAGAAACTGTATGTTATTTAATAGCATATATGTCTTTCCTCCTAGGATAAGGATTACATGAAACCATTACTTCTTAAAATCCATGTAAACCCCCCTGCAGAGGTATCCACTTCCTTAAAGGTCTACCAAGGACACACACTGGAGAAGACTTACATGGGGGAGGATTTCTTCTGGGCCATCACCCCAGTCGCCGGAGACTACATCTTATTTAAATTTGACAAGCCAGTCAATGTAGAAAGGTTGGTGATTGTGGAAATATATTTGGTCCTACACTTCAGAGCTCTTATTCATAATACGATTTATGATGGATTTTGTGTGTGTGTACATAACAGATAAGAGTGGATGGCAGGACCCAAAATATTGGGTTGTAAATTATGTGTAATACAACTCAGTAGTAAAATGGGTGTGCTGTTTTCAGATATGATATCGGCATTTAAACATGTTCAGTAAATTCTATTGGTGTTTCTGGACTTCTAGTATAATTTTTTTAAAATACTTTATGTGTAGAAATCTCTCTCAAAATATCTCAAATTAGTGTTCACATTCTTACCCTTGAACATCCGTGCAGTTTGGCTGAAATGATAAACATGACAGAGTATGACTATTCCTAGTCAGAGGCTTTACAAATCCTGGATCATTATTAGTACACCATAGAGGAATTTACAACACTTTTATGTTTTCCAGCATTTGTTTGTTTTACAAAATTTAAGACTTTCATCTCCCTGTTTTTAGTTTAACAGTCATGATTCATTCCACCTTTCCTCAGTTTTAGACATGTTCCCCAGACTGCCCATGACATCCTTAGTAGAATATAATTCTCTACCCTGTGGCATATTACTTTATATGTTCTAATGGGAGGGCTGATTTGATTTTTAGAATCCACCAAAAATCATTTGGAATAATTCCATTCAAGGGGGTCAAAAACCATTTGTAACTGTGACGTGGTGTTACTAATTTTTTATTACTCTAAACTGATTCCAAAGAGGAATTTAAGTCATAAAAGCATGTCATTCAATGAGAATACCACTGGGAAAATATGTAAAAATAGTTTTGAATAATATATTATACTTGGATGAGCATGTATTGTTTAATGTTCATTTTTATACTATTATTAATACTCTGCACTTTGAGATATTATTTATCACTCTTAGAGAGTCATCATAGAATTAGGAACAACATAGATGTCGTGTATTAGTAGGTATTTATTTGGTTAAGTAAATGGTGATGTTGCCATACATTGGAATGCTATAAGCAGCCATTAAAAATAATGGCATAGATCAATATGTATCAACATGAAAATGTTTCTGTATGTATACTAAGTGGGAGGAAAAAGCAAATTTGTAATGTATAGAATATCCTTATAGATCATTCTATAGGCTATAGCTTTCTATATGTATAGAGTTCTAGAATATGTGGAATTATATAGAGAGAGCATAGAATTATAGGTTATGGAAGGATTTTTTGAAGTAATATTTCACATGTATTCTGTACATAGAAAAAATTTGGAAGAAATATATCAAACTGTTAATTGAGGTGGGATAACAGGGACTATTTCATTTTGACTTGATACATTTATTTCGTATGCTTTTTTTCCTCAATTTACTTTTTCTTAAAGTAAGTTAAACTTTGATTTTTTTTGAGAAAATACATATCCACATGCAGCTGTAAGAAATAAAACTGAGTGATCCTGTGTACCTATTACCCAGTTTCCACTGGTACCCAGTGGTAACATCTTGCAGACTATAGTAAAACTTCATAACTAGGATTTGACACCAGTATTCAGGATAAGGAACATTTCCATTACCCCAAGAATTCTCATGTCATGTAGCTCTTTTTTTGAGATAGTCTCTAACTCCGTCACCATGGCAAGAGTGCAGTGGCCTCCTCATAGCTCACTGTAACCTCAAACTCAAACTCCTGGGCTCAACTGATTCTTCTGCCTCAGCCTCCTGAGTAGCTGGGACTATAGGCGCATGCCACTGTGCTCGGCTGATTTTTTTTTTTTTTCGATTTTTTTTGTAGACATGGGGTCTTGCTATGTTGCCTAGGCTGGTCTGGAACTCCTGAGCTCAAGCTCAAGCAATCCTCCTGCCTTGGCCTCCTAGAGTGCTAGGATTACAGGCATGAGCCACTGTGCCTGGCTGTAGATACTGGTTTTTTGTCAGATATGTGGTTTGCAGATATTTTCTCCCAGTCTGTAGCTTGTCCTTTCATTCTAATAGTGTCTTTGCAGAGCAAAAGTTTATAATTTTCATGAAATCCAGTTTATCAGTTTTTTCTTTTATAAATCTTTTGATATTGAGTCCAATAACTCTTGGCCTAGCTCTAGGGCCCAAGGATTTTCTCCTATGCTTTTTTCTATAATTTTTATAGTTTTACATTTTATATTTAAGTCCATGATCCATTTCGAGTTAATTTTTGTACAAGAGGTGGGGTTTAGGTTCAGGGTTCACTTTATTTTTTTCTTTTGTCTTTGGTATACAGTTGCTCTAGCATAATTTGCTGGTAAGGTTGTCTTTTCTCCATTGAATTGCCTTTGCACCTTTGTCAAAAATCAGTTGGGCACTCATGTTAGATCTTTTGTTATAGTTCTACAGGTTCCTAGGGCTCTGCTCATTTTTTTAAAAGTCTGTTTTCTCTGTAGTCTTCAGATTGGGTCATTTCTGTTGTTCTGTCTTTAGATGTATTGTCCCTTTCCTCTCTGTGGCCTTCATTCTGCTGTTGAGTCCATCCATGGAGTTTCTCATTTTGGGTTATTGTGTTTTCAGGTATACAAGTTCCATTTGGTCTTTTTTTTTTAATATATATCTTCTGTTTCTTTGTTGGAACTTTCTAATTTTTCATTTGTTTGCAAGATATTTGTGCTGTTGAAGCATTTTTACGATGGCTGCTTTTAAAATCTTTTCCAGATAATTCTAACATCTCTGTTATCTTGGTTAGTCTTTATTGATGGTCTTTTTTTTTTCATTCAAGTTGAGATTCTTCTCCTTGTTGGTGTGATGAGTGAGTTTTGATTCAAACCGTAATGTTTGGGGTATAATGTTCTGAGACTGGGTCTTCTCTAAACCGTCTGTTGTAGCTTTCCCCCAGCGTGGCCGCAGCAGGGGAAGGGTGGGGGGGTGGTAATGCCTCGTTACTTCCAGGTGGGGGTGGCAGAAGTTCGGTTGCCCCGTGTGCTCTGTCGGCACCCAAGGAGGGCAGAGGCTCTTCATCCCTGCTGGGTGGGGATGCCCATGCCGTCCTGGCTGGGCAGGGCAGGGGTCCTCCTTACTGCTGTGTGTCCTCCAGTGTTGTCATTGGGGAGGGCCTTGTTATTACCCGTTAGACACCCCTTCAGCCTTTGTGGCTGTCGTTGGGCTGGGGCCACATTTTTTCTGTGGTGTTTGGCTGGAGTAGAGTATTGTCTACAAGTGTTATGTCTCACTAGGCTGCTCTTTTCCCGATCCTGTGGCTAGACAAGGAATGCTTTTTTGGGGGGGGGTGTCATTTTTTTTGTCTGCTCCCATTGGCATTTCCAGGTTTCTGAGTTTGTCAGCTCCAAGTCTGGGACGTACAAAGAAAACCCAGGAAACTCCCCACCCTGTTGTTCCTCGGATCCCAAAGCCCTAGTCAGTGTGTCATCGTCTCTCCACCTCCCAGCGTCTGCTTGTGCTTGTTTTATGTAGTGCACAATGTCCAGGGTTTTTAGTTGTACTTACGAGAAGGAATAAGGGAAAAAGACTTCCACTTTCCCAGAAGTAGAAGTCTCAAAAAGAGATTTACTTTTGTAATCAGGAAAAAGAAAAAATATATATATTTGTAAAATATATATATATATATACACACACACACACACACACATATATATATTTAACAATTGAAAAAATACCCATCAAAGAATCAGCTACAGAACACATATATTGGAGATTAAATTTCTTTACAACAAATATTTTTACAATAAACCTCTGTAAGGTAATGTTTGTGTGGCCCAGCTAAGAGCACATTTATAGTAAAACACAATTTATCTAAAATTATACTATATATGAACTTTCTTAGAATTTATGGAAATACCCACCCTTCCTAGGACAGAGAAAAGGAATCACCTTTTGTTTTGTTTTTCACAATAACTTATTTGCTAAGGGGGGAAAGGTGGAAGTTTTATTTATAAATACAGAAATGAAATGTTATGAAAAGATTTTGTGACTACATAACACAATCTGTGTTCATTGTACACAAACTTAAAAGTGTGAAGAATCATGGGAAAAATCACAACCCCAAGGCTACCATGGTGACCACATTGGCCTTTTTTTAAATTTTTTTTTGGCTAATTTTGTGCACTTTCTTCACCTAATGTTAAACAGTTTAGGTGGTACTGAGTTTTTCATCATACATAATCAGGTGGTGAACATCTCTGAATCAATCTGCCTGAACTCTGGATTCTATTCCTGGGCTCTTATTAGTGGCTTCCCTCCTCCCATTCTTTCACATCTTCAGCTGTGGTATTGAGTGCCGCCTGGCTGTGTGAATCAGCATTCCCAGTTAAGGGTGTCCTTTAAGAAAGCATCTTTTAGCCAGGGATAGTGTCTCACACCTGTAATCCTAGCACTTTGGGAGGCCAAGGCAGGAGGATCGCTTGAGGCCAGGAGTTCTAGACCAGCCTGGGCAACATAGCAAGATCCCATCACTATAAAAAATGTGAACAATAGCCGGATGTGGTAGCACATGCCTGTAGTGCTAGCTAGTGGGCAGGTTTAGGCAAGAGGATTGCGTGAGTCCACAAGTTCAAAGTTGCAGTGAGCTATGATTGAGGCTCTGGGCAACAGGGTGAGACCCTGTCTCAACAAAAAATAAAAATAAAAAAGCATCTTTCATCTGCAAATGCTGAAAGTAATTTTTGTTGTAGTAGAAAGAGCCTTTTATCAGGGTTCCTCATGCTGTTTAACATTTGAAAATCAAATCATTATCACAGATGATTTTTGCCCACAAGTACCCTGCTATAACCATATTATAACCATCATGTACCTGTGACTTGGCTGAGCATTTTTAATATGCAGGGGGCTTTTTATCAGTTCTTATAAACTCTTTGGGACAGTCATTTAAGGTAGGTGGGAATCTGCATTATGTAGAAGGAACTCCTGCTCAGAAAGCTAAAGTAGCTTGTTAAAGGTAAAAATTCTAGTGAGTCGGAGACTAGGATTTGAACCCAGGTCTTTCGGACTCCTAACCTTAAACTTTTAACCATTTAATTTAACTAGAGTTAGTTTTAGATTTAGACATATTGTATGTCCTATCTACTTTCCACCTTTTCCTGCACACTTACACATACTAGTTCATTTTCAAAGTATGAAAACATAGAACATTATACTCATACCCAGAGAGTTGTATTTTAGATTTTTCATAATATATTATGCTATAATTTGCCATTACTCAATTTTTTTAATATTGACAAATGGAATTATTCAGATATTTGAAAGAGGTTAATTTACTTTCAGTCTACTAATGCTAAAATTATTTATATTGAATAAAACCAGACTTTAAACTTGCCATGACTAATGTTTGTCCTAGTGAAATTTTTCTCCGATACAAGATACAGCAGTATTATGTAGGTACTACAATTTCGATTATTCCTGGCAAGAGGTTTAAATATTTAAAGCATTTTAAGCAACATAAAACTGTCATCTTTTTTTAAAAATCTGTCAAGTATGTTATATTAAGCAGCAATGGTCTTATTTCTGGCAGAAGGAATTAACATATCACTTAGGGGTTTACCTACCCTTAAATTTTTAAATTTCCTACAGCTATTCAGAGTGCATACTGTGCTGTTACTACACATTCTAGAGTCAACTTTGTGTAGTTAGACCGCAGGCGTTCTCAAACTACGGCCCACAGGCCACATGCCGCCGGCTTAGGACGTTTATCCGGCCGCCGGGTGTTTTTGCCGCCGCTGCCTGTCCTGCTTAGCAGCCGACTCATCCCGGGCCCACAGTGCGCACTCTCCAATGGTTTGAGGGACAGTGAACTGGCCCCCTGTTTAAAAAGTTTGAGGACCCCTGAATTAGAGTGTGGTTTAGAAAGGCTTCCTTTTGAGGTAAGATCATCTTCTTGCGTCTGTGTAAAGCCTAGTATTTTCATGTTTGTATTTTCAGTTACTTGTTCCATAGTGGCAACCAAGAACATCCAGGAGACATTCTGCTCAATACAACTGTGGAGGTTTTGCCTTTTAAGGTATGACTATTTTCCCCTTACCTTTCCTTAAGAACAGATACCAATAGATTTGGTTTGAGGCTCTTGTTGTTTATGAGGTGAAAGAAAAGTCTAGTGATGTGCAGGACTCTGTGGTGAGTAATATTAATTTTTTTGGAAATATGGAACATCTGATATATTAGCCCATTTACCTAATTCATAGAAAAGCCTTCATTTCGTATTCTGTTGAAAAATAATATGGAATTTTATACTAGGAAAATAAATGAATCATTCTTTTACTTAAGTGTTTGCTCCCTGTTTGTATTTTGAGTCCTAAAACCCCATGTGGTTGTAATGCCTGTTGATTAATACACAAAATTAATGTATTGGTCTCTAAGGAATACCTAGATTTCTTTCAAGTTAACACATAGTTCTTTACTTCCATATATATTTTTAATAGCAAATAGTATTCTATTAAATGATTTAATGTTTCATTTTCTAAGAAGCAATATATAGAGATTCAGATGATGGTTAAAGAAACAACTTTTATTACATTTTTTAAAGTTCAAGACTGAGATGACATTTCTCTTTTTAGAGATAGGTGTGCCACTAATGCCACTTTATAGGTATTAAGATATATTCATAACTTAGATTTGTTTTTGATAGAAGGAATTCTTTGTAAAATTAATGCTTTTGTTTTATTTTAGAGTGAAGGTTTGGAAATAAGCAAGGAAACCAAAGACAAACGATTAGAAGATGGCTATTTCAGAATAGGTAAGATCTACTTTAGTAAAGTATCCTTTCTTTTTCTGGGCTTACTCCTACAGTACTTTTGAATTCTTTTCTGATGTTGAGCGACTTGAGGATTACAATTACTAATGTATTCCAAATTTTATTTACTCTTGTGTGTTAGTTCTTACTTTTAGTATCTTGACTGAACTAGGATTTCAGATCACAGGTTCATTCACTACTTCCTCTTCTTTCTACGTCCGCCCTGCCCTTGTTTTTTTTTTTTAGATTTTTGTTTTATTTCGGCATATTATGGGGGTACAGATTTTAAGGTTTCAATCAATGCCCTTTCCCTCCCTCTCCCCACAAGTCTGAGTTTCCAGCATGACCATCCCTCAGATGGTGCACATGTCACTCATTATGTATGTATATACCCGCCCTCCTCTCCCCTCCTCCCTCCCCAATACCCTATTACTGTAGTACCTATGTGTCCACTTAGGTGCTACCTGCCCTTGTTGATAGTCACCGCTGATAGAGACTCTGCCTTTGGCTGCCTCTTGCTGTGTGTCTCTTCCTGGACAAGCTTAGCTACTCTGGTGACCTCAGCTGACACCCACATGCCAGAGTCTGTGCTTCTGGCCCCCATCTTCTCCTGAGCGTCGCATTTGTAATGGATGCCCACTGACATAGCCTTACGCCTGGTGGCCACATAGCCACCTACAACGAGCATCTATAACAGCCATTTCTTTATTGGTCACCATGGTTTTTGCTGTCCCTATTTATCTAGTCTCTGAAGCCTAACCTTGGGGCTGACTGCCCTCCCCTTACTCTCCGTTAGCATAAACCCTATCCGTTTTGCCTCTGAACGTCTTGAGCCACCCGATCTGTGAGGGACCACATGTCCTCTTGTTGGCTTTCCAGAGCTACTGCAGTTCTTGTTTCAAAACGTAGCTATAACTCTATCCACCTGGGTAAAAAAACCTCAGTGACTTTCTACTGTCTGATTCCTTAGCTCCCACCCACCTTTGTGTCTTGTAACTTTCCCCTCGCTTTTTCTCTCTCCAGCCCTCAGACTATTGTTCCTCTAATTAAAGCCCCATGCTCTGTGGACAGTTTCTCTAGCATTTTCTCTGCCTGCAATGATGGGTTGATAGTTCTCCTCCTAGTGGTACTTTCTCACCCTTAATTAGCCAGTGCAGCTGCCCCTCTTCTCAGCGCCTCACACCGGCCTGGGCGTCCTTCACTGGGTGACAGTGGAGTTTCGTGGCTCCACTCTACGTGCCCACCCTGGAAAGGGAGGGGCATTGTCTTTCCCCGGGGCCTGTCACTTGGCAGGTATTGACTCAATGAACGATTATACATTTTCTTTTACTGAGAACAAACTAATGCTTTTCTTAGAATGAGGCAAAAGAGAATGTTGGTAAATTAATGTTGTAGGTTTACAGAGTAGAGATGCATTTTCATAGCTCTTTCTAGAGCAGTGTTACATTTGGTGAGTGTCATTCAGCTGCCGCTAAAAGGCTTGCACAATGACCCTGACTACTTTCTATGTAGTTTTGGTGGATAAATGAGTTTAGTTATTTTCATAGTGGGGCTGTGCCTTAGCCCATCTCTAGAAATGAACTTAAAATTAGCTGGGTATCCAAGACATTTATTACCCCTATTACCTGTCAGTTATCTAATTTCTGGGAACGTCATGTTCTAGATTATGTAAGGAGCATAGGAAACAGAGGTATCTACATTAAATGTCTTTGTAGTAATCTGAATAAAATGACCAATCTGAAACATTGACTCATATCTGCTTAGAACCAGAAGAGAACTTATGGATCGTTAAACCTAGGACCTTGTAACCAAAAATACCCATCAGAAACAGAGTAACTGATATTTTTCAACTGGACATATAAGTCTTGCTCTCTTAAGAAGCATACTTTAGTGGAATGGGGATGTGAGGGGCTTCATTGAGCTTCTCTCTAGCAAAACAACTATATTGAAAATTAGTTTTTAAAAACCTGTTTAAAATCTCTGAAGATGGTCCTAAGGGGGGAAGCCTGTGTTGCTTTTAGCCTCAGATAACACCTTGAGTAACCAGACTTCTGGGTGTCAGCAGCTAGTGGCAGCCTTTTGAGGGGCATCTATTCCTTGGGCAAAACAAGCTCATAGATTTTCCTCCTGATCCTGGAGTTATCTCCTCCTGCTTGACAGAGAAGCAATGGAACTGCAGTTAGTAATCACTGTGAGAACAGGGGTGTTGAGCAGGAAGCAAGCAGTTGATGTGTGCAAACAACCAAGGGCCTAGTCCAATTTTACCTTAGTTAAGTCATTAAAAATGCTGGGGACCTGGCATCCTAGCGCTGTGGGAGGCCAAGGCAGGAGGTTCACTTGAGGTCAGGGATTCGAGATCAGCCTGAGCAAGAGCAAGGCCCTGTCTCTACAAAAAAAAAAAAAAAAAAATAAAAAAAATTTAGCTGGGCATGGTGGCATGCACCTGTAGTCCCAGCTACTAAGGAGGCTGAGGCAGGAGGAGCACTTGAGCCCAGGAGTTTGAGGTTGCAGTGAGCTGTGATGATGATGACATCACTGCACTCCAGCTGGGGCAACAGAGTGAGACTCTGTCTCAAAAAAATTAAATAAATAAAAAGCTGAGGTACTGAAATTTCAAGGGGCCCAGCCAAAATGGGACTCTCGCTCCTGTCAGCTTGTAGTCGAGGGCTATGGTATCTCCCTAGGAAAGGCAAGCTGCCAGAATTCGTCGTCACCTCTGCTCTGTTGCAGAATCGCTGTTCCAGAGAAGAGAACAGCTGATAGATCTGAGGTTCCCTCCTTCCACCCAACTTCCGTTCACAGGGCAGAAGCTTTACCCAGAGCAAGAATGTTTGGCCCTGATCACACGCACCCCAGTGCCCTGGAGAAGCAAGCTGAGAAAACCCAGGGCTACTGCCACAACCAGTGCCCTGCTGGTAAAGCAGGGTGTCACACCAAGAGGGAAGGGACCGCTGTCCCTACCAAAGACCCTGAGCACTGTTGCAGAGATTCTCCCCGGGGGAGAGGCGGGCCATAGAACAGAAAGCTCTGTAGCCCTCCCTGAAGAGACTGACTGATTCATTTGAAATATTACTGGGGAGAGGTCAAGACTAAGGGTGCTGTGGAGCACAATGACGGTTTTGATGTGAAGCAGTTAGAGAGTGGTGGCTACATCCGTGTTTCCCCGAAAATAAGACAGGGTCTTATATTTATTTTTCCTCAAGAAGACACCCTAGGGCTTACTTTCAGGGGATGTGTTATTTTCCCTTCAAAGCCTCAGCTTGATGGCCGGGACCTGACAGGGGGAGCCGACGTTGGTGGTGGGGCTGCCCGCACCTTTCCGGTCACCTCTGGGATAGTAGCTGTCACGATGGGGCAGATGAGAGGGGCTGCCCGTCTTCTTTACCGCTCCGTGAGGAAATGCGTGGGTTGTGCAGATACGCTGCGTAGCCAGGCCCATCACTAGGTCTTATTTTCTGGGGTAGGGCTTATATTGCACAAATGCTTAGACATCCTGCTAGGGCTTATTTTATGGGTAGGTCTTATTTTCGGGGAAACACAGTACAAGCTAAACTGGAGCCCAGCTAGAAGTTTTACAGGGAGAACGAGGCAAGGAGAGAGCTAATAAGAGCATGGGGAGGGACAGCCAAGACTGGCCCAGCAAAGGGGCCTAAATTTAATTGGATCATACTGTGCAGCAGCTTACGCCTGAAGGCATTGTCCAAAACAATACACAGTCAGCTGGCAATTAGTGGAGGCCTGGTGGTTGAGGTGGGGGGCATGATAGCTAAGGATGGGCTTTGTAAAAGAAATACTAGATTTATTTCAGTTGGTTAAAGTTATGAGAAAGCAAAAGAACCTTCTGCAGAGAACCTGTGGAAGAGGAAAAGGCCACTGGTCAGGCTTGGTGGAAGGTCCAGGGACTGCCAGGCATTGGAAGGTCCTGCAATGCCAGGAACCTGAGATTCTAGTCCAGGAGTCCTCAAACTACGGCCCGCGGGCCACATGCGGCCACCTAGCACATTTATCTGGCCCTGCAGGTGTTTTTGCCAATGCTGCCTGTCCTGCTCAGCAGCCGACTCGTCCAGGGCCCACAGTGCGCACTCTCCAACAGTCTGAGGGACAGTGAACTGGCCCCCTGTTTAAAAAGTTTGAGGACCCCTGTTCTAGTCACTCTTTGGTAATTTTCTCCACTTTTTCTCTCCTTGTCCTTCAGTGCTTACTGATTGGGCCATTAGGTTAAGGACAAGGGTAAAATTTGTTGTTTGAAAAGATAATACATGCACATGGTACCAAATACAAATTTAAAAGGGTAGACTTAAGCCTTTTTCCCTTTTCTCTCCCTTCCTACCCTGTGTTTCCTAGAGGTCATTCCTGTAATGATTTGTGTCCTTCCAGAGGCATTCTGTGCATAAATAGCAAGGTGTAAGTATAGTCTTTAAACACACACACACGATATATTCTACAATCCTATTCTCCATCTTGTTTTTCATTGAACAAAATATGTATATAGAACATGAGCATTTAAAAATTATAAATATTTCAGATACATAAAAAGATACAATAATAGTGCAAGGAATGTCTGTGTCTCCATCAACCAGCTTAAGATTTGTCAATTCATTCACTTCCAGTTTCTTTGATTAAAAAAGATAAAAAAAAAAAAAGATTTGTCGATTCAGCTGTCCTTCCCTGGTAGCTTCTTTTCCCCTTCAACCCAAAGGTGGCTACTATCCTGAATGTTATGGTTACCATTTCCATTTATGTTGTTACTATATATATGCAATATATCCCTAAACAATGCACAGCGTTCTTTTGCTTGTTTTTAAATTTGATAGAAATATCTTTCAGTAGTCTGCAACTTGTTTTTTCTCCTCACCACTGTGAGATTCGTCCATGTGGATGCGTGTTGTATTTGTGGCTCGTTCGTTTCCACTCCAAGGTAGATTCCATGGGTGAATATGTCCCTGTCTGTCCTGTTTGGTCAGAAAGTTTGTTTCCATCTTTTTGCTATTATAAACAACGCTGCTTTGAACATTTATGCATGTGTGTGGGAGTTTCTCTACAACATATACTTAGGAATAGAAGTAAATTTTCATCTTCAACTTTATTTCATTCTTTTTATTTTCCTTCAGTCTTTTAATTGGATGCCTGGAATTCCCTTATATTAGCATATCTTAATTTATTTAGACAATTTCCTAGTGATGGACATCTAGGTTGTTTGCAGTTTCATGTCACAGTATATCTGCTGGACAAATTTGCTGAGTGAAAGTGTTCTAATGAACCTAGTTAGGCCATTTGGTAATCTTTTCCTAATGAAATGAGCTCATCAGATGACAGTATTAGATGTTACATTAGTTAAAATGTTTCAAGGCTTCACAGTATTTTTCAGCTCTGAATCCCCTGCCTAGTTCAATACTCAATAATTGTTTTTTTGTAGCACATACCTTCTCCCCCTAGTCCCGCACCAAATATGGACAAAACTTTATGAAATAAGTTTATCAACAATTTTTGAATAAAAACATTACTTTGGTTACTGATAGGTTCAGCACTTACTATACAAATGAGTTTAAGCCTTCTCTGCTGTGGTTTTCAATTCGAATGTACCTTATCTTACTATTAGCCGATGAACTGTATTGTGAGACTTGAGAATACACTGCGTAATTTCATAGCACAGGGATCAGCAAACTATAGCCCATGGGCCAAATCTGGCCCGACGCCTGTTTTTGGTCCATGAACTAAGAATGTTTTTTAAAAAAATTTTTTTCTTTTTAAATTGTTGAAAAAAATAAAAAGAATATATTGTGATATGTAAAAATTATATACAATTTAAATTTTAATATCTGTAAATAAAGTTTTATTGAAACACGGCCATGTTTATATTTTTTAATGTATTGTCTATGTACGCTTTTTTGCTACAATAGCAGAAATGAGTGAGTAGTTGCAATAGAGAATGAGGTCATGCTCTCATGGCTTTGTATTCCTTCTCAGTGTACTCTAAATCACAATGATGCATTTTTAATTTGAGTGTTTTGAGTCACCATACTGTGGCTTTTTAACAATTATTAGTGCAATCTATCTATCATGTCAAAACAAGAAAAGTAGACTTTGAACACTGTGCTTTTTAACAAAAGGGAATGTGAATTATTTTACAAAATTAGGTGGCAAATCACTGTGGTTATTGTGCAGCTACATGAAAGCTGTACATTACCAGACTAGGAACTTACAACAGTATTTCTAAGTTACAGGAAAGCAATGATTAGAAAAATTAGGGAATTTAAAATGAAATATCTCATTACAACAGAATTTCCTCACAAAAATAAAAAATAGAAATGAAACTGTTACCATAGTTTCCAAGTGGCTTGTTTAGCTAAGCAAGAAAACCCACTTACCAATAGTGAGTTAATTAAATAATATTTAATTGCAGCAGCTAAAGAAATATGTGCAGAGAAAATAAACTTATTTAAGGACTGTGAGGATTTCAGAAACAGCAATTACTTGAAGAGTTGAGGACATTGAAAGCAGTGTCAGTAGTCAAAAAGCAAAGCAAATTATTTTGAGTGGTTTTCTTGCTTCTTGTTAAGTCGATACATGTCTCTGACACTTCTCAGTTGTTACTTAGAATCAGTGTCAAGAAGTGACTAAAGAGTTTTGGTGCCTAAGAATAGTCTGTTTGGAACAACTACAGGCAAGAATATTTTCACATAGGTTGAGGAAACACAAGTTCAACCTAAAGTAGAATCTGCTGTGTTACAACAAATATGTTTAAAACATGTGGAGGAGAAGGCGGCTTAGTTATATTAACTTATGAAGCTTGTGGAAATGTAAGGAATTTAAAGCCTATTGTTATTTATTTTATTATATATAAGCCAGGTATACTTTGCAGAAAATATTTGTATGTATGGTGTATCATTGAACCAAAGTGTCGACTGTGAACTATATTCACTCTCATGGATTTAGGTATTATCAGTTCTGTGAATTTTTGTCAAAAATGGGAACTTGAATATCCTGACCTGGCCCCACCACACAGCAATTCAGTGGCTTAGCAGTGGTAAAGCTTGATTGAAGTTTTTTTTGAGCTTAGGACCAAAATTAAAATTTTTCCAAATGAGAAGTGTCTTAACAACTATCACTTTGAAAATTGGTTTTTGCTTCAGAGTTGATAATGTTTCTTAATGAATTCCACCTAAATTACAAGACAAAATGGTACTCATATGCAAAATGTACATTGCGGACAAGTCACTTTAATGGCAACTAATATTGTCCGAACTATAAATAATACCAAGCTCTTTATATACTTCCCATGCTGTCAGAAATTAAAGTAGGAAGCATGATCTCTATCCCACACAAATTAACAGTGGATACATTTTCAATTTCAAACTATAGTTGCAGCAACATTTTTTAACCTCAATGTAAGTGAAAAAGTAATTTCCATATTTCAAAATCTATTTAATGTGCATTTGAAGAGCTTTCACCTCATCTTCTGTTAGAGTGAACTCATCTGCAATGTACTAATGCACCAGAAGGCCTATAGCAAAGAGAAAAATCTGGTAGGATTCCAAAAAATACCTTCCAACTGATGAATACGTTCCATTTAAATTATGTGTTTGTAGCTGGATATCAGTATTTGGCCCTACCTAGGCTGTGTGAAATGACATTTCAAAGATATGTGTACAAGATTACAGATCAGCATCAGCAGGTGAACATTTGGAGTCAGTTTGATGATAAGGGAAACACTAACTTTGAACCCCAATTCAATGAAATGTTATCCCCTTCCAAAAGGAATTACATTCTTCTCCTTAGTATACCTACATTACAAAAACAAAATTGCAAGGCCGGGCGTGGTGGCTCATGCCTGTAATCCTAGCACTTTGGGAGGCCCAGGCGGGCGGATTGCTCAAGGTCAGGAGTTCGAAACCAGCCTGAGCGAGACCCCGTCTCTACCAAAAATAGAAATAAATTAATTGACCAACTAAAAATATATATACAAAAAATTAGCCGAGCATGGTGGCTCATGCTCGTAGTCCCAGCTACTCGGGAGGCTGAGGCAGTAGGATCGCTGAGCCCGGGAGATTGAGGTTGCTGTGAGCCAGGCTGACGCCATGGCACTTACTCTAGCCAGGGCAACAAAGTGAGACTCTGTCTCAAAAACAAAAAACAAAAAACAAAATTGCAATCAGTTGTTGTTATATTACTATATTGAATTTCATCATTAAAAAATCTGTGGATATTTTTTTCTCTCTTTAAAGTACTTACCTAGTATCCTTGAGTTTCCTCTTGGCCCACAAAGACTGCCCTTTATAAAAAAGGGCAGTTTGTCAAATCCCTGGCTTAGAGAAATTTGGCTCAGAATGAACTATTTTCCTGTCACTTTTCTAACAGCATTTTTGGGTTTTGTTTTAAGAAGGATTTTCCTTACAGCAAGAAAAATTTAGTACAGTGTATGTTACCTTTTATAGAAGTTCTTGGTCCTTGTTTTTATAGGAGAGCTTTTTTTAGCTTGTCATTTTTAATGCAGCTTTATACGGAAACTGCAGAGGAGGCATTACTTCTTAATTCCTTTTAAATGTGCCCTTGGAAAGAGTACACTTTGAGCCCCTGCTCAAGGCTAGCAACTGTATGTATGTCTAATTAAGACATTACAATTTGTTTTGATTGATTTAATTGTCAGAGAAGACAGACTGAGATCACAGATTATGTTTTGGGTTTGGGTAAGTCACAATTTGCTAAAAACCTGTAGGGTAAAACATTGTTGATACAAGAACAAATTTGTTTTGTTTGCTCTGCCTAATTAAATAGGTTGCATCGTATCTTTTTAAGCATGGATTACTTCATGAAAAATTTAAAAGTTGAATAAAAGTAGAAATAAAAAAAATCACCTATGCCCTATCTAAAGATATCTACTATTAATAGAAATATTTTGGTGTCCTCCTTTCCTGCCTTAAGTCAGTGACATTTTATGTGTGCTCATCTCGGTCTATCCAACAAGTATTAATTTTTATTTTGAAGGAAAATTTGAGAATGGTGTTGCAGAAGGAATGGTGGATCCTAGTCTAAATCCCATTTCAACCTTTCGACTTTCAGTTATTCAGAATTCTGCTGTTTGGGCCATTCTTAATGAGGTAAGAATATATTAAATCAGTGACACATCTTAGATACTAATTTTTTAAATTACATTTCGATTTTGTATTTAAGGCCTTTTTGGAATTGAGAATTACCTTATCATACTTTTAATTATTTTGTATTTCAGATTCATATTAAAAAAGCCACCAACTGATCATCTAAGAAATCAACATTTTTTTCTAGTGAATTTATTGATTAAAGATAGTTAAGCATGTCTTTTTTTTTTTTTTTACTTGAACACTACCTCTTGTGAAATCTACTGTAGATAAGATGATTGTCATTTCCACTTGGAAAGTGAATCTCCCATGATAATTGCATTCATTTGAAACTACGCTGTCCTCCGATTTTAACTTGACTCAAACATTTTACAATTATGACAGCCTGTTAATATGACTTGTACTATTTTGGTATTATACTAATACATAAGAGTTGTACATATTGTTACATTCCTTAAATTTGAGAAAAACTAATGTTAAATACATTTTATGAAGGGGGTACTTTTGAGGTTCACTTATTTTACTATTATAGACCCTCTTTTATAGATTATCAGGGATTATATATATAAATATATAAATATACATAAAAATGTTATGAAGTTAATTTATTAGAAACACTTAAGAAGTACATATTTTTGTGCAGTAAATTTTTGAATTGATACATTTTTTGAAAACCAATTAACTTGCTTTTTTAAGTTCTTTCTATCTTTTTCTTTGGAAAATGCAGACATTACAAATCAATGCCATTTTTCAAATGCACTGCCATTTAAGATTGATTATAGATGGATTTCTTAACTGAAGTACTTTTATAATCACAGTGATTCTGAACAAAATATTTTCAAAGACATTTGTCATTCCTTAAAGCCAAGATTTTAAAGACCAATGTCCTTCTTGGGGGTTATTTTACTATACTGTGTATGGTGTATAGCCACGAAAAATCAGTCTGATAAATTTCAATGTGCAAGTGTGATGCATTCAACTTGAATTATTGTAAACTTAAGTCATTACATTTCCTCTGATGTGTAAAATGACAAACTCTTCTTTCCTTTTTAATCATTGTCTTTAACTCATGAGTTAGATGCATTATCTCTTGTTGATTCTTTTATATCTGCACTCATTTTATGAGTTCTGACAAAATGTTTTCTAGGTGATATTATTGTGTTAAGTCATCATTGGTACAATTTTAAAGAAAAATTGTAATACTGTTTTGGGCGAAAGGTATTGTAGCAGTCATATATTTTTCCAAAATGATTTATTCTATTGCATTATGAACTTATAAGTAAATTCCATGTCCAAAAGTATGTTTAGTATTCTTAAACATGCAATTCCAAATAATGTTACTTCTACAAACAAAGAATGTTATCCGCCTCAGCAATCAGTGATCTTTATAAAAGTACTTTAAAATAATGATGAATTATCAACTTCAGTTCCAGCCAGTCTAGTCTGACACGCTGGTGTGCCTCAGGTGGGTTGTGTGTTGGTTACAGATGTGCAGAGTTTGGTTCCCCTGAGCTTTCCAGGGCCTCAGGTGGGGAGGAGGTTCTAGCTGGTTGCCTAAAGCATGGAGGAGCTTCAGCTGCTTGGCCAGTGTGCTGGACAAATTGCATCAAACAGCAGTATTTTCTGTGCAGTGTCATGAAGTGGAAAAGGTTGGGAAACACTGATATACTACAATTATTTCCATCAGTCCACATTGTAATAATTTTTAGTTACTTTTCTTGATTGAAAAGTCAATCATGTTGCCGATAATGATTTTTATGTCAAAGTCCAGTTGAAATTTTTTATTAGGGTTTTTTCGATATAATTTTCATGTTCTTGAATTTACTTTTTATTTTCTTCTCAAATTATTTTGGCCAAGTACCCACAAGCAAATTTCATTCAAGAAGAGGTATATCCTTTTCATTGTGTAAAACATAGTAACTGGTTTAGCATACTAAGGTTACTGCTAAAATGACTGAGTAACAGAAGATAAAAATCTGTACAGATGGGTTTAGGAGTCCCCTTGGGTCCCTTGTTCCTTAGTTGCCAACTCCGGTGTCAGGAAGAAAGGCCATGCTCTGAAAATCTAGGGAGGAGAAAGTTATAGCAGCTCCTGGTGCCATTTGTTTTGGCCTCTAAAGATGCTCAGACTGTCTAGCCAGCTGCTTCCTGCTTTCTTGTGGTCTCCTTGCCCAGGCTTTTCTCATCCCTCCTGTTCGTAAGAATCCTTTTAGCCAGATCTTTCCCATCATTCCAGGCCTTTCTTGTGTTCTCTTCCCCTTGAATTTATCAGTGCTTAGGATGTGCCTGGCACATGGCAGGTGGCCAGTCAGTGTCTGGATGAGGGGACCAGCTGTTCCAGCCCACCCTCCTCTTTGTCTTTCTTATTGCCTTTCTCTGTTGTCCTTGCTGCATGCTTCTATACAGACTCAACTGTCTAGTTTTTGCTTGTTTCTGGGGTACATTTCTATGTGGGCTGTGTGTTATCTTTCTGACCAAAGTTCAAGCTCCTGAGGCACACCCACAGTTCATACTTTTGTCGTCTGATGCAGCAGGTGCTCATGGGATGTCATGGTTAGTTGCTCCCTCCTTTTTGCCCAGTTCTACACTAGTCAAGGAGAGGAAGCCGTGCTGTCCCCACGCAAGAAACTGGACTGGGAGCAGTGTTAGGGTAGAAGATTGGAGGAGGTGCAGAGTGCCTGGAAGTGAAAGAAGGTAAATTCTTGACCTTGAGAGGGCACTGAGCCACTTGACCAGTGTCAAATTTTGGGACTTATTTTACACACATGCACACACACATATAAATTGGAGCATGGTTTGGTTTGTCATCTGGTGTATATTTCACATAACCTGTTAGGCTTTTGAGCTGTGCTGGCCTATATAGTAGCCACTAACCACATGGGGCTATTTAAATTAATTTTAAAAATTCAGCTCTGCAGTCACACTAGCTGCAGTTGAAGTGCTTAATGGTTATGTGTGGCTAGTGGCCACCACACTGGACACCACAGGTACAGAACATTTTCGTCATTACAGAAAGTTCTGTTGGGAAGTACTGTGTCAAGAGTGCTAATGTGAACATTTAGAAACCAGAATTAATGAATTCTCATGAGGTTAATAGCAAATGTGAATATATCATAATGCAAATATATGTGGGAAAGAAGAGAAAGTTGAGGACCTATTTCTAGGATTTTATGATTTCTAAGTTCTTTATTACAATCTTATTGCATTTTCCACAGCATGCATTGTATTGTACTATGTAGTCAAAAAAGATAGTGTGATTGAAAAGCTTTGGGAAAAGTTTAGTGCAAATGGATTATTTAGCACATAGGCTATAGACATGTATGTGTATATTAATTTAACCATTGGAGATGTCTCTGAACAAGGTATAGCTTTTTCAAATTAGTGGTTGCACAAATAAATAATTAAAAATTATGGTTATTTTAAAAACCATAAGCAAAGTTATGAAAGCTTCTTTTAAATCTGTTATAATAATGAAAAAAATTGCCAACAATTCTATCCCTCAAAAGTTTGGTTATGTGGAAACAGCATGTTTGCAGAGATTGTTCTAATGAATAGCAGTATATGTGTGGTAGGCAGAATTCTAAAAATGACCCCCAACCCTGTACTGCCCCCACCAATGACCTTGTATAATATCCTCCCCTTTGAGTGTGGGTGGAACTTGTATAATCCATGATTATATCACATTATAGAGCAAAAGGAAGATTATCTGGGAGTGTCTAATCAAATCTTGTGGGACCATTAAAAGCAAGAGTTTTCTCAGGCTGGTAGCAGAAGTCAGAGACTCAAAGCAGAAGGACTCAAGGCACCACTGCTGTTTTAAGGTAGAAGGGGCCACATGAGAAGGAATATAGGTGGCCTTAAGTAGGAGCTGAGAGAGGCAAAATGGGAACTGCAGTCCTACAGCCACAGGAACTGAATTCAGCCCACAAAGGTCATTCATGGGCTTGGAAATGCATCTCCAGATAAGACCCAGCCTGACCAACACCTCGATTCCAGCTTTGTGAGACCCTAAGCAGAGAACACAGTTAAGCCTGCTTGGACTTCTGACCTACGGAACTAATAAATAAATAGAGTTGTGTTTTAAGCTGCTCAATTTGTTATGCAGTGATAGAAAATGAATGTAATATTTAAAAGAGATAGAGGAAGTCTTCATACTTGATTCCTTTCATATGTTGGATATTTCTTGGTAAATGCACAAATAAAGTCTTTACTAGCAAATCATATATCTGGGCCTCATCTGGGATGTGCTCTGCCAGAGATCTTAAATAGTCTTCACTGGAAATATGTCGGCAAAGTTGCAGCATCTTAGTAGCACTTTGTAAAGGAACTGCTAGAATGAAATTGTACGAATAGGATCAAAACAGTGTATAAGGAATCTTTTTTTTTTTTTTTTTTTTTTGGTGTTACCTTATACCAATCCAGGCTGCTCTGAGCCTGTCAAGAATATATTAAAGAATGATAAACAGTGGTATTAGATACAACATTAAGAAAACAAAACTTATGCCTTTATGTAAACATCAGATAATCTACTCTGTACTGACAGACTTAATTTTCTTCTAGACTAAAACTTAATCATCTAACACAGATCAGATCCTATGTGGGCCAACTAAATTTTTATTACTTAAAGAGTATTTTCCCCAAATACCTCTCTGCATCCAAGCCATTACTTGCTAATGTTTATTTTGGTTTATCCTTTAATTTTTGTGCTTATTTTTATATACTGCTATGGCCTTGATTGATGTAAGACCAAGTAGAGCTAAAGGAAGAAAAATAAGGCTACAGACTAAAAATATGGGAAATTTGAGTCATAATCATATCTTAGTGTTATAAGAGAACTTAGATATCCAATCCCTTTATAGAAAAGGAAACTTTTCCAAGCTATGTAGCAATATTTATAGTGTGTAAAATTTAGTTTGATAGTTGTGAAATTTTATAAATTATTAATCTTAGATATATGCTATGATAACTAGTATGCTTTCTTTAATGCATGTGAACATACAATGCTAAAATAAAAAGACAATATTATTTAAAAAGAAACCAAACCAAGGATTTTGTTATATATCTCCATATCATCGATACCTATATGTTAATTCTTTTTTTTTTTTTTCACCCGAAACACTCACTTCACCAGTTCAGGCACTAAATAGGTCGTTTTCAAAGGAACAAACAGGAAGGAGTGAGCTGGCACTCCACTGTGCATGTGAGCTGAGAATTTAGAAGACAGTGTTCTAGAAAGTAAACTGAGTGTTGAAGGGAAGCACTTTGTGTCATTCCCACTGTTAACATTGCAGTAAAAATGTAAAATATAGTGGTGCTAAATTTGTCCTAAAATAAGGCTTGTTTGTTGTGGGGAATATTTTAATACTCGCCATTAGGAAGGCTATTTTATGTATTACTCGCTCCTGGCTGTTTCACTGTATTAGTAATTACTAAACTGTCCTAGAATCAAAGGTTTGGTACATTAGCTTGGTTGGCATTCCATTCTTTATTTGAAATGCTCAGTGTTTGCTCAAATCTGGTGAAAATATCTTTTGAAGGCATATTCTCTGAGCCTTAAAAATGGCTGATATCGACAGTACTGTAAGATGCACTGCCAGCAGATTTGATACTTTTTATTTCAGTATAGACAGTAGTATTTTCTAAGAAAGATTTTAGAGATCAGCCTAAGTGTAACAATTGTGTTTCATTCATGGAATAAAAAACTAAAGCGTGTCTCATTCAGAACACTTTGGAAAGGTTGTCTTTGCATTTAGGGTTGTTTCTGGAAGCATCTCATGGAGAAGCTGAGGAATCTCTGCCAGGTTGTACCAGAGTGTTTTTCTTCTTAAATGTATTGTACATATTTTCCTTAAAATGTCTTCATTAGTTGAATAGTTAATATCTGTAGTAATATTTTAGGTATCTGTCAGATTTTTAAAGAAAAAGATTATTTATTTTCAGATTTGCTGCTATAATTGAAAACCCAATAACTGGTCTTGTTGATTGTGCCTTTCATCACTGTTTCTCTGTGCCACAGCTGTTCATGTGTATTTGAAATAAAGAAGTTTCAAAAGCCATGTTGAATTCAGATTCCTTCTAATACAATTAGGTGAAACTTAATGAGTAGTTCTGATTATTTAACATCAATACAATATTTTTAATGGAATGGATCCTTTATTTGGGTCTTACAAAGTCTTTAAAGAAGGGGAAAAAAGCCTTATTAAGACTGTGATTATCAATATCACACAGGTGTTCACTTTATTATATATACTATACAGTTCCACAAATAAAAGTACCCACCATGGGCCTCTTTAATCTATTTTCAAGTGTTTGCTTTAAAAAAAATTTTTTTTAAAGCAGAGAAAATGTTGTGATGTTTAGGGCCTGTAGTATAGTGACTCCTGTTTGAATGATGTTACAGATTGAAGAGGCTTTTGAAGGTTAGGTTGGGATCAGGTGACCTATATACATGTTTAAAATACAGCTTGTTAGAAATCAGGTAGATTATGTACCTTGCCAGGAACAATCAGGAGAAAGGTGAGTGTATGCTTATTATCTCACTCTAAATATTAATAGATATTCTCTCAAATACTTCATGTTAGTTTACATTTCTGTTTTTCCCATGCCCTTAGTATTTAATATATAGCTCCTGGGTGTACAAATATAATCAATAAAATGCATGCTTTAGTTTAAAAAATATTTATTATAGAAATTTACATTTAATTAGTTTCAGGGAATGTACTTGGCAATAGTGTTAACATATATTTCTTCAAATTTGCAAACTTTACACCTTTAAGATATCTACAAAGAATTTATTTACAAGTTTTACAAGAAATCACTTCATCAATACTGTTGACACAGTAAAGACTGGATATGCTTTTTCATTTCACCCTGTACTTGTAGAAAGAACACAGAGCACGGGTAAAGTTCCATCCCAGTGCTAGTGACAGCCCGTAGAGTAGGATGAGAGGTGCGAATGGATAGAGAAGAATTACTGTATTTTTCAAAAATGGCAGTGCTGGAAAAGAAACAAATATATTTGCTTTTTTAAAAACAATATGTGACTAATATTTGGAAAGACAGCTCTTTAACATGTGGGGCAAAAAAAGAATGCATACTTGAGTCGGTAAGATTTTGCTATTTATACCAGAACAATACTACTCTTCTGTGTTGCCTCCCTCGTTTTGTGCTGTGACCAAACTGAGGCACAGGATTCCAGCACTGTGGCTGAGTAGGAAACACGCTGGGATGGAGAGGTTAAGAGAGAGAGACAAACCTCACAAATACTCATGAAAACTGGTGAATTAAAACTTGTGACTGCCTCAGAAGCCTCTATGAGTCCATCTCACAGTACACAGATGATGTAAGGAAAAAAAACCCCGCTTTTAACTATTAGTAAGATTTTCCAGTGTAAAAAGCATCACACCAGGTGCCGTGGCTCATGCCTATAATCCTAGCACTCTGGGAAGCTGAGGTGGGTGGATCACTTGAGGTCAGGAGTTCAAAACCAGCCTGAGCAAGAGTGAGACCCTGTCTCTAATAAAAACAGAAAGAAATTAATTGACCAACTAAAAATATATATACAAAAAAAATTAGCCAGGCATGGTGGCACATGCCAGTTAGTCCCAACTACTCGGGAGGCTGAGGCAGAAGGATTGCTTGAGCCCAGGAGATTGAGGTTGCTGTGAGCTCGGATGACGCCACGGCACTCACTCTAGCCTGGGCAACAAAGTGAGACTCTGTCTCAAAAAAAAGCATCACACCCCCACTTTGAGACACTGTCAGCTCAGCTAATAGCCCAAGCTTTAGGAAAGAACTAAAACTCTTAAATCTGTCCCCAAATATCCATGTTTCTTGCTCATTGCTTAGTTAGTGGGACCCTACCCCATGCATTCTGACCTAAATATTTCTCATAGAAGTTCTTAAGCAAAATGTTCCACATGGGAGGGAGTTACCAGAAGAGTGTTCAAACATCCACTCAGAGAACCACAGTGTTGGAGTGTTGTAATCACAAAACACTTTCTCAAAATATTTGAAAATTCTTTAGAAACCTGAAGATGAAATGTCATAAACAACTTCCCTGGACTAAAAGGACTCCCAGTATCCAAATCAAGGCCTTAAAATGAGGGGGGTTAAGTGGAACAACCCTGACTAGAGGAGCCAGTCATACAAGTAAGAGCTCTTTGTGTCCAGTGAGGTCCTAACCATCCAGAGAACAAGGAAGGGCGGGCTTAAAAAAGTATGCATACATAACGCTACCAAAGTTTCTAGATTTTATTTAGCTTTATTTAATGGTGGTCATTTTTTAATGTAAATGAAGAAAAATGCATAAATGAATTCACAACAGTATTTAAGAGTAAATTTACAAATATATCTTGAGGACAGTAAATCCTGGGCCTGATCTTGTGTGTTCAGCTACACAACCAGCTACCATACAGTGAGCATAAAAACTAAAAATGAGGCAAAAGTATGATTCAAAATGCTTTTGAACAAATTCAGTTCATATACCTATGTGATCATAGGTTGGGCCCTAGCCTTTCCTCACTTTCTACTTTTATTGTGCTAACCCAGAACCTAAAAGCACAGGAGAAAAAGAAGAGAAAAATGGGGTTGCATTCCTGCCAGCAACTTGGAGATAACAGTGTGGTTTAACGTGGTTCCTGGAAATTATAAAATCTGTTATATACCAGATGTTGCTTTCCAGCTGCACAACCATGGACAAGTTACTTAATCGCTCTGTGCCTTAGTTTCCTCATTTGAAAAATGGGGACAAGTAAATCTATATAATTGTTATGAATTAAATGAGACAATTCATATAAAATACTTGGGACAGTGTCTGTAAGTGCTATTAATATTACAGGCACTGTAGGCAGGCTGTTAGTATTGCAACTTTTCCCCTCTTGTTAATGTTCTCAAGCAACCAAAAACATTTTTTTAATTACTTACCACTGTATCCTAGGAAGGTTACATAGATGTAATAGCCAACTGCAATCAGCCATAAGGTATTTCCAACCAAATATCCAATAAATGTATCTGTTAGGATAACATCTGCCAGAAGAGATGCACACAATGAGTCTCTTTAACAATGCATACAACAAAGACTTTGATAATATTCTGAGAAGTAACTACTACTTACGGTTAATGAAAAAAAGCTGAATAAAATGCAAAATGACTAGGAGTGGATAAAAAGCATTCAGATGCACATCAAAGGCGTAGCCCCACTCCACATCATAGTCTCTGCTCTGCCGTTTCACTAAGTACTTGTTAGAGATGAACCTGAAATGCAAAATTAAAATTTCTTTCATAATTGGATAAAATTACTTCTATAAATACTTAATGACTACCTCGTGTGTGCCAGACATTATTCTAAATTCAGGAGATCCAACAGTAAACAGAACAGACAAAAATCCTTGCCTTTAATCTAGTGGGGAAGACTGACAATGACATAAACATGTCAGATGGTACTACTACAGAAAAGATAAGGCAGTAAAGGAGAGAGAACACAAACTTGAGATGCAATTTTAAATATGACACTCATGTGGGTAACATTTGGGTAAAGACCCAAGGGCAGTGATGGTACCTGACACGTGTGAGGAATGGGCAAGGAGACCAGTGTGCCTGTAAGAGGAAAGAAGAAAAGGAACAGGAAATGAAGTCAGAAAAGAAATGGGGAGCCAGGTCTTATGGAGCCTGTAGCCGTTTTAAAATCTTTGGCTTTTATTCTTGGTGAAATGAGAAGCCATCATGGAATTGTGAGAAGAGTGCCTGACTTTAATGTTTTGACAGGGTCTCCTGGTGGCAGATAAAAGAATAGACTCTAGGGACAAGAGTAGAAGCAGAGACCAGTACAGTGGTCCCCAACCTTTTTGGCACCAGGGATCAGTTTCATGGAAGCAGCTACTGCTGCTCACTTCCTGCTGGGTGCCCCCTAACCCCATTCCTAAGTTTCATGGAAGATAATGACTCCATGGGAAGGGAGGGGGAAGGCCATGAAGCTCTTGGGCCCCATCCCTGACAGGTCAGGGACTGCAGTTAGAAGGCTATGGCCAGGAGGAGATGAACAGTGCAGTGCGGCTGGTGACTGGGGGTGAGGAGATGTGGGACACATTAAAGTGGGGGAAGGTAGAGCCAATGGGGGATGGGGTTAAGTACTGGGCGTGACAGAGATTTTTGCTGTGAACAAATGGAAGATGGAGCTGGCAGTAACTGCAGTGGGCTGGCTGCAAGAGTGGCTTTAAGACAGGTAGGACAGCACAAGAGCTTGGATTTGGACCTAGTATGTTGAAGATGCCTATTAGTATGGAGTAAGAAGTTATATATAAAGTCTTGAGTTCAGAGCAGAGGTCCAAACTGTACATATAAACTCATCAGTGTGTAGATGATACTTAAATCCATGGGCCCAAATGGTATCACCAAAAAATGAAAATGAATATGGATAGCAAGTAGGTTCAAGGTCTAAGACCTGGGTCAACCTCCTATGGAAAGGTGAGGGAAACAAGAGGAACCAGTAAGGAAAGAGTGACCAGACACACCTAGCCATCAGGATCGTGTTCAAGCTTTTGTCACTGTTCACAACACAGCCTACTAGTTGTTCAGTTAAATGAATGAATAAAAAGTAAAATATCCAGGTAATAGAAAAGTAGATCTTCAAAGAAAAAGAACACAATTTTGTATTATAAACATCTTAGAAAGTCAATGTACTTTTTTATGTCATTTCATTTCAATTCAAGGATGTAATTAAGAAAATGCTGTTCCTACAGTAGAAATTAAAATAGAAAAGAAAGAGGATAAATATAGTATAGTACTAATAACCCCACACTTAGTTGTCTAAAAATGTCAAACTACTACTAGTTCACTTGAGCAAACTGGAGCTTACCAAAACATTTTGTTTTAACCAAGAACACATGCTATTAAAATTTTATGGAATTAACATGTAGCTCACTCTCCAATGGATCCCTTTCTGCAGTCATCCCCTGTTGCTCCTGGTCCCTCTGCTTATCCTTTAAATAGGTGCTTTCCAAGCTTCTGTCCTCAGTCTGAGTCTTAACTCCAGAACGCGGATACGCCTCCTGAGAGCACTCACAAAGGCACTGTGGTTTTCACCCCCTATCTCCAAGTTAATAAGATAGTCATGCCCATGTCATGGCCCAGGTTGTTATCTCTAGGTCTAGTATCAGCTACCTCAGTCCACTGTCCTTCATATTTCCACTAAATTCTCAACAAGCTTCCTGAACTCAACACAGCCCACATGGAATGCCTCACCTACATCTGCCACTTACTTAGTCACCTAAGCCCAAAGCTTGCAAGCCATCCCCAAAGAGGCCTCAGCCTCTTTCTCCTCCTCCTCCTATCTTGTTATCACAGGAAGCTCTTGAATCCATCTCTCCTCTCTATCCCTATTATCACCATGCTACTCTGGGAATCCTCTACTCTTAGGCAGACCCTTGCAATTGTATCCAGGCTTGCCCACTTCTCCAACTCCTCCAAGGCCATAGAAACGATTTTTCATAAGGTGTGAATCTCATGATTCTCCTACTTCAAAGCCTCCAAGCTTCCCACCTCCCCTCCACCCCCAACTTACAGAGGCAGCCTATGAGATTAAGTCCAATTTTTCCCCTGAATTGCACTAAGGCCAATTTCTCTAGTCATATCTTTTCCCTAGGCATTCAGTGTCACCCTATGCTCCCACACCCAGCATGGTGTTCCACACTTCTACGCTTTTGCACTTGCGATTCCCACATCTCCCCAAAATACCTCCTCATGTTAGTTCCTGTGGCACCTCTGAGATGATCACAAGTGTATGTAATCATTTCTATTTCTAGTGCCTCACACATTTCACAGCACAACATAGATTCTCAAAAATACATGGAGTCCTCTGCCATTTAACTCAAACAATGACATACTCATACGAAAGGTGTGAAACACCAGATTGACCTGGTTTCTGTGGTCCTCCAGAATCAATACATTCATGGTAGAATGCTTGCTACAAACCAAATTATTCCCTTGAAAATCTTATTTATCGAATTTTTTCATATACCATGTGTTTCTCATTGATTTCTTGATGATGAATACATGACTCACATTAGTTAGCAATATTAATTTTAGGCCAGATTCAGAATTTTAGATTAGTGGTACATAGCATTTATTGACTAGCGCATATAAAACCTGTTCCATACTAGTCAGAAGTTACAAAGGAAAACACATGCATATCTCATTTTATTGAGCTTTGCTTTACTGTGCCTTGCATATATTGCATTTTTTACAAATTGAAGGTTTGTGGCAACCCTGTGTCAAGCAAGTCCAGTGGTGCCATTTTTTTCAACAGCATGTGTCTGTGTCAACATTATTTTAGCAATAAAGTATTTTTAAGTTAAAGTATGCATATTTTTAGACATAATGGTATTACACACTTAATAGACTACAGTATAATGTGCATATAACATCAATGTGCACTGGGAAACAAATTGTGAGACTCGCTTCATTTTGCTATTTGGTTTACTGCAGTGGGCTGGAACAGAACCTATGATATCTCTGGGGTATGCCTGTAAAAGACTGGCATCATCAGAAGTTACAGTTTCAGAGTTTTATTTAAAATATTAATAGCTACCACATGTTGAACACTTAACTATGTGCCAGCCAGGTAATTTTCACACCACAATCTTCCTCAAAAACCTGACAAAATAGGCAATTAACTCCATTTTACAAAAGAGGAGACTGGGACAAAGAGTTATACAAATGACCAAGCTGGCATTTGAACCCGTTTCCCTGTGACTAAAATGTTCCACAGTGTTTTCTATAATATACGATGACCGCCACCCCTGCTCAATGCTCAACCACTGGCCTCCTACTGAGATCACTGGCCACATCCACTGCCCTTCATCCAGCATGCCAACCACACAGGAGTATTTCATCTGTGAGATAACTGAAAAACCAAACCCCAGGTTTATACTCAGTACACTGCTGTTGTCCAGTCAACCCCAAATGAAGTAATACCGAGAACCCTTTCAATGAAACCTGTGTGTGTTTTCTCTCAGCAGGAAGGCACCAAAAGGTTTTTTTTTTTAAATCTTTCTTTTTCAAGTATACTTCAAATGTCAAAAGTTCAAAGTCAGATTCCATAAAATAGTCCTCCAGATCTAAAAACTATGGAACATTTAAACATCTAGAAGTGGTCCTTACTGACAAATGCAGAAAACCATGCTATCATCCAGACAACTCAAGAGGATTTGGCTAAATGCATAATATTATATTTTTGAAAATCAGGGATTTTGTTAGAATGACAATAATTATTTCAATTATTTACTGCACTTTTACAATATAGACCATTGTGTATTTTTGATATAAGTACCAATACAGGAGGGCAAGTTATAATAATCTTGGCAGTCAAAATTGACTGTTTCAGATAATCTATTTTGGTTTCAATTTCCATCAGCTATTGTACTTCTGAAGCAAACAAATGGAGACTCTACAGCAGCATCTGAAAAACCAAAGGTAGGGTACTTACCACATTAAAGTTGATATCAGAAGACCAACACCTACACAATCTATGAATACAACCCAAAGGAGCAGCTTTATTGTCTCAAAAAATCCCATGTCCAGCACAAAGCCAAATCCTATAGTGGACACTGAAAGAAAGATTTACAAGATTCATTAAGGCACTCTCCTCGGTTCTGAGGATACAGAACACAATCCGTGTCCTCCAAATGCTCATAGTCTAGTGGGGGAGACAGACATGGGAATAAAACTCCCATGACATGATGTTATTGCATACTTAATAGACTACAGTATAACATGCATATAACTTCAATATGCACTGGCAAACAAATTTGTATGACTTGCTTCATTTTGATATTTGCTTTATTACAGTGGGCTGGAACAGAACCTATGATATCTCTGAGGTATGCCTATAAAAGACTGATATCAGAAGTTACAGCATCAGAGTTTTGTTTAAAATACTAATAGCTACCACATGTTAAACACTTAACTATGTGCCAGCCGGGTAATTTTCACACCACAATCCTCCTCAAAAACCTGACAAAATAGGCAATTAACTCCATTTCACAAAAGAGGAGACTGGGACAACGAGTCCCAGGTGTGTGATTTGTAACTGATGTAGAAATTCATACCACCTGGGAACACAGCATGGCCACTGAGATATTTTAAGTTGACTGAGGAGGGCCCTTGCCAGCCTAGTTCACCAAAGTACCCCCAGCATTTAGAACAGCACCAGTACAGAGAAGGCATTCAGATATTTTTTGTCCAATTAAGTTTAAAGGTGCACAACACCCTACAAACTTCAACGTCTCATAAACTTCAACACCTTAAAGGTGATCAGAACCCTTGCATTACAGCACTGGAGAACTTAAAAGTAGTTTCTCAAGTTCACATCAGTACTTTAAGAACTCTTGCTCTGGATTTGCCTGATCGTGAAATGCAATCTCTAATCTCCACATTCCTTTTGATAGTAAATTGGCAATTGGGTACCAATTCATATGAGTTAAAAGCCATGGAGTGAATATTGTCCCCTGCTTTTCAACCCCCGAGGTAACAGTTTACTCTGGCATCTGCTTGGACCTGTAGAAAAAGGAAGAATACAACCTTTTTTCTGTGAGATTTTTGAGGCTTTATAAAAAAAGGAAGAAACAGCTTCAAACATCCCCAGATTCTGACCTACTACACATTTATAACAAGAGATCCTCCAAAGACAACCGCTCAATGTGTTCTTCAACTCTATTGCAGGTAAACTGACACTTACCACAGAGCCAGATACTTAATAGGACCAAGAACGCAGGGTCATCTCTGGCCCACTGGTCCTTTGTCTGCTTTCGGTAATGAAAGTTTCTATAAACCCTCTGTGGGGAAGTGAACAGGTAGAGCATCTGCCAAGCCGCAAACTCAAAGTCCATCTGCCGGAAACGAAAAAGCCTTCTCAGGTATTTGTACCGTTTTGCTCCAGCCGTGTGTCTGGCCGCATCCCTGGAATTCAAGACTCCATTCCCATGCATTGAGGAATTCACTGAAGTACTTGGTAACATCTTCCTAGATGAAGAAAAAACATTCTTTTACATATAATCTGAAGAAACTTTTGGCTGCCAGCACCCCTCTTCTCAGTTATTTAGCAAGAGCATGTTCTCCACAACCCTAGGGAAGCGTCAGGAGTCAAAAGCAAATGCAGCTGGTTCTGAGGCTCATCTGGGGGCTGGAGAACTGCAGATAGCACCGCAGGTAAGAGCAACACCTCGCTTTTCTGAACCACCGTCTGAACCACTCCATAACACTTAGCCAAGGGCCACGCCCTCCCCATACTTCACCTTCTTGTGCTTCTGTTTCCCATCCCTCCGCTGATGGCCAGCAAGCTCCCCGTCACCAGAATGTGATATAAGAACAAAGCACTCCAGCTCCTAGTGTTTTATCCTCAGTAAGAGCAACGACAGCATAGGAGTCCAGTCCAACCAGTCCGAAGCCCAGTGAGCGCAGGTCACCGCCCGGCCGCCCAGTCCCCCACTCCACTTCATAGGCCTCCGGGACACAGGCAGCACCGCGACGGCCCTCGCTGTCCCCTACCCGCCCTGGGCCGCAGGTGTGGCTGCCAGATTTAGCAACTAAAAACGCAGAACGCCCAGTTACATTAGAATTTCAAACAAGGAACGAATGATTTTTTGGTATGAGTATGTCTCATGCACTATCTCGGACATGCTTATACTAAAAGTTATTCCTTTATCTGAGATTCAAGCGTAACTTAGCGTCCTTGTTTTCTCCGGCAACTCTGCTGCGGGCCGAAGGGCCGGACCAACACTCCCCGGCCGCAGAGACGCCGAGCCGCGCGCTGTCGCAGGAAACCGCCCAGCCGTGAGCCCGGGCCACGGGCGGGCAGAGCAGTCCTCGGGCCTCACCTGGAGCACTGTGGCGACCTTGTCACGGGTCCGCTGCAGCCCACCACCTCCGCCCAGCAGCCGGGCCCAACCCCCGCCAGGCCGTCTTCCCTTCCGGCAGCGCAGCCGGCTCTCCGGACGCGCCGCGTCACCTGCGCCCACTTCCGCCGCGGATGCCCAGCCTCTCAGGCTTCCGTAGTCCCTGAGGTCCTCCGGAAGTTATTGCGGCTGGCTTCCGGTCCGCCGCCGCGGGCTTTGCCTCGCTCCCTACCTGGTCGCAGACGTTGCAGACGAGTAGGGTCGACGAGGCTGGGGGCTGCAGCGGGTGGCAGGCGCCGTCATGCCCCGGTATTACGAAGACAAGCCGGAGGGCGCTGCATGCGCGGGCGTGAAGGAGGACCTGGGTGCATGCCTGCTGGAGTCGGACTGTGTGCTCCAGGTAGCGCGGCCGACGCTACGGGCGGTGATGGCCCAGTCTGCAACCGGGAGGCAGGGCCCGACGAAAGCCTCCTCGTCGGCCCGCGGTGTCGGTCAATAGCCCCACTTAGCGTTAGTCGTTCTGGGTAACGTCTCAGAGAAGAGGTGACATTTGAGCTGAAAAAGGTTGAGTAGTAGTTTCTCAAGTAAAGGAGTGGGGAGTGTGGTTGTTTAGGGTAAAATCTGAAAGAACAGCAAGTGCAGAGGCAGGGAGATGTGGGCCATCCGGAAATAGTTAGTGCCCAGCGACGTGACAGAAGGCTTGGGAGGAAGGTTGCAGCCAGATGTGAAGGCCCGTGTGTGTCAGGGTGAGGAGCTTGGATTTCCTCCTGACATTCAGCATCAGGAAGGCCTCAGAGATGAGCATCAACAAAGAAAGTACAGAGTAGGAATGAGGAAAGAAATTGTGGCAATGAAGGACTACTGGTGGCTAGGAGAATTCCAAGTTGATTTTTTGCATTGGTTGATTTAGCAAACCTTTATTGGGTGCCAAACTCTAATTCAGGAACCAAATACTGATGAATAGGACATAATCTGACCTGTGTAGAAAGTGGATCTCTGGAAGGTTAGAAAGCTGAAGGCAGAGATTATGACCAGGACACCTGTTACAGACTTTGCTTCCCCGCCCCCCCCCCCTCAATTGAGTATATGGTCTTATTGATGCCGGATTTGTGCAAGTAGAAGAACCTAATGTTTATAAACAGCCCTTTTAATGGAAGTTCATTTAGTTTTCGTTAAATTCATCCTGACGTTGTCTTCATCTGCAGTCTAAAAGGGCATCTACCACCCACCACTCCCCACTCGGGGCTCTGAAGACCAAAGGAACCTCTGCTGAGGTCTGTGCCTGTTCTGTATGGCCACCTCGTTTGATTTCTTAACTTACTGATTAAAGTAGTTAATCTGATCTCATGGCAGATAGATGCTGTCTTCTCTTCTTGCTCATCTTTAAACCACCTGAAACCTGTGGCACCTCATTGTAGGGAGAAATTCAATGTAAATACTGTAGTTCTAGGTGCTGCCTTGGGAGATAGTCGAGGAGCTTGAGGAGCTCAGAGAAACTCAAGGCAATGGTGAAAAGGATGTAAATTCTTTGGGGGAAGGAGATGAGAAACAAGGAAAACGCAGATTCAATAGGCATCTCTTGGATAGACTTCTTAGGATTTAATTACTCTTAGGAGAGAGATCAAAAACATTGAAACTATGCCAGAGGAACCTCACTCATCACAAGGTATCTCCTTTGTGTCTCCATTAACAGCTTCCAGACCTGGTGACTGTTCATCAGAATCACCTCTGGAGGTAGAGGCAGCTGAAAAATAGATTCCACTGCTGCCCTCACCCCACCTCCAATAAGTTAAGTTTCCTGGGTTGGTTCTTGGGCATAGGCATGTTTGGGAGCACTGATTGATCTTGACCTCAAAAGGCTAAAAACAAAACAAAAAAAACTGGGAGTGCATGTCACGGAGACCCAGAATAACTGGCTTAAGAGAATTAAGAAAATTCTCTCTCTTGCTCTTGTGCCTGTAAGTGAGGGCCTGTGTCATTTCCCTCAATATTCCATGAACCCAGGTACTTGATCTTGTGGCTCTAGGTGCTATGGTAGGAGATAGCATGTTACTCTCATACTTCTGGTCCAAGATCGCTCTGCTTTCTATCATCAGTTCTAGTAACCTTATGGAGTAAAGTGGGGAAAGGGGACAAGCCTTTTTCCTTTCAGAACCAATCCAGAAATTTTATACCCTGTTTCCCATACACTGTATTGGCTATAATTTAGTCACATGACCACATCCAGCTGCAAGGGTGGCTGGGAAATGTAGCCCAGCCATATGCTGGATAAAAAGGAAGAGTAGATATTAACGGACAACTAGCAGTCTGCCATTCAGGGGAGGGGATGATGAATTAATGTTTCTTAGCTTTAGTGTATCTAGATGGATCTTTCCACCAGGCAATTGGAATATAGGTTGAAAGCTTGTGAATAAGGTAGCATCTTAGATACAGTTTGAAGAGGCATCAGCTTAATAAATTAGTCTTTTATATAGTGATAGTCTTGTCTGCCTCCACCTTGTTCACGTGGGCAACATACTCCATCAGTATTGCAGAGTTTGGGGAGGAATGTACTAGTGAGAGGTAGCTTGCTATTATGATCCACTTATGAGAATCACTGATGTATAGGATCCAGGCAGACAACAGACTAGAAAGTGGCCAAGATTCCTAGGGAACAGGAACACCATGGATGTGGTACCCTGTAGCTTTTTTCATAGTAAAAACTAGGGAAGTGTGGCACCTGCAAAATCAAGGTTGGGGGAGTGGTTGCAGTGATGGGGTTGGAGAGTCAAAATCTGATTGAGGGAAAGTCCCTGAGTGTGCAGAGCAGGTGAAATCTGGGTTATGTTTTTCCAAGTTTAAGTACTCCAGCCTACCTCATTAACATCTATGGGAAGTGTTTAGTACCAACACTAAAAATCTTCTGATTTTTACTGCATTTAATTCACAGTTCTCATCTGTAAGAAAATGAAGATATCCATTTATCAATTTTATATAAACATTCTAAAGAAAAGTATCCCATGGAAACTAGTGTTTTCAAGGACTCAAGATTGTGTCCTTAAAGTGCATAAAAGTTGCTTTACAATTTTATTCTATCCCTTTTCTCTGTAAGCACCAATAATCAAAAGGAATTGAGAATAATTTCTTATATAACTTTCTATTTTCCTCTGTGAACATTTTTAAAAAAACTATTTTCAGAAGGACAGTTATTTTGTACTTTGTGAGAAAATTTCCCAGGTGTTTATATTTTTTTATGTGTCATAGGAAGGAAAATCCCCTCGGCAGTGTTTGAAGGAAGGATACTGCAAAGCTTTGAAATATTCATTTTTTGAGTGTAAAAGATCAATGGTAAGTGGATAAAGGTTTTTAAAAGCTTATGCTAAAAATTAGTTATGTGAAGTTAAATATATGAGTGACTTAATGGTTATAAATAAGTTGCAGTGATGTAGTTCAGAAAAAGGATATAGATAGTATTTCTTACTCTGGTGAGTTGAATATTAGGTAGCATTCATGAAAGCCTGGAGCTAACTGTCCTGTTATTCTGTCACTGCCAACCACAGCTGCTGACCTGCGTGAATTTCTGAAAGTACCAGAATGAAGTCTTGGCAAGTGTAAATGGTTGAAAGTTGATGTTGGTCACTCTGAACTCAGGTCATTTGGCAGTCATCCACAAATCTATGATGTGGAGGTCTAAGGTGTATACACTTTTGCCTTATGTGACTAGGAGAAAATGTCAGTATCTGTGTTCAAATTTTGGAGTGACAGATTGTGGGAAAAGGGCCTGGGAAGGCATTACAGGTCTCTTGGGTTCTGCTCTAACATTCTTTGATTTGAAAGATCTATAGAGATCTTTGGAATGGAAACTGAGAGCCTTTTCTTGGAGAAAGGAAAGAAGGAAATCAGAAATATGAGCATTCTTTTAAAGAAAGCATTCATTGGACTTGAGCATGCTTTTGTTTATTTAGGAGTTACACTGCAAATCCTTTTGTTGTTGTTGTTGTTGACAAAAGAAACAGAGGGTACAGATATTTATGATCCAGGAGCAGTCATAAATAACTTGAGCATGCTAGCCAGATGCAGGGAGGGTATACAGTTACATTAAATTTGGCCATGCTGTTTCCTTTCTCAATGACACAGTTCTCTGCCATCTTTTCCTGTCATTTTATGTAAAAAGAGAGAAGGATTTTCTTGCCTCCCTTTCCATAGTGTTGTTACCCCTGTAAAATACAAGGCTTTAGATTTGTTAAGAATTTTAGAACATGTTTAGGTAATAGAGAAGTCATGAAGAATACTTAGTGTAGAGATAGTGAATTATACTATGTAATCATATCAAATGACTGAATTTATAGTAAGCTCCCTGAAATTCCCTGCTCCATGATCTCCAAAGAAATTAAGATATCAGAATTTTTATTTCTTTAATTTTCACAACTTATCCACCTTCTGCAGAAATTTCTAGCAATCTGGAATAAAAAGGAAGAAGTGCTTCTGACCATTTCTGAGTATCAATACAAGGCAGAGCTTCACTTATGCTTTGACACTAGAAAGAGCACTCTAGGGAACTTTCTACCAGACTATAGATTCTTACAGTCTTTCCCCGGGACTCACCATTAGTTCTCCAGAATGAGCAGAATCATGTCACAACTAACATGACTTCAATCATACATACTTGGCAAAAAACAGAAACAACAATTGTGCCAATAATTTTGCTTACTATTTAAGTCTCATTGAAGATAATATGGGAACTTTGAATCAACTGTTCCCATATAGTATGAGTAAGCTCATCAGCTTATGATTCCCATGTTTAAAGATTATTTATGAAAATATGGCTCATAGCTACTTCATGTAGTATTCAGATGAATAAATGGCTGGGTGTCCCACACTGGCTGTGTTGGACCCATTGGTAAGGGTTGGTTGCCAAAATAATTCCTTCCTGTAGAATTTCTGGGGAGTGATAATTGACTATGCAATTTTGCCTTATAAGCTGACTTGAGAACCTTCCACTCTTACCTCCCACCCTTAAGTAGCTGCACTGTGAGGCTAAGTTAACATTTTGTCAGCCTATGAGGAGGTAATTGACTTGAAGGATTTTTAATCCCAAAATGATTGTGTTACCTAACATTTTTTAGCGCTCTTTCCCCCACTCCCAGTTGCAATTTATTTAAAGATTTCAAATACATTTGAATATTAACCTAAACCTAGAAAGTTTTCTAAAAGAACACGCATTGACTATAGCCCAAAGAAAAAGTAAATGTGACTTGGATTCTACTTGAGAGGAAAATCCTTAGTTATCGCCCTTAAGTGGAACTTTTGTTTTTAATGCCATCTTCATTTGTTATTGTGTTTGATCGTGGTAGCTCTGACAAATTGGCTTTTTGGTTTTGCTGGAAATTGGTTTACTTCTCTTATACAGTGACACCTCTTACCAAAGTTGTGTTTAATTAATTATATTGTACCAAATTTGATTTAATTGTACATTTATTTTCAGTTGGATGCCAGATCAAGATTCAGAGGAAGAAAAGGTTATTGATACCATTATTGAAACCAAGATGAAAACAACAAAGGATTTTCTCTGGCCATTAAAACAGAGTCAAAATAGGAAACAGTTTTTTCTACATCTCTTTGGTTGAACCACTTTTTCCTTCCATGGAACACTAGAGAAAATGGATGAGTTGTGTTTTTGAATATATATAAAGTAAATGATTCTCTTGATGTAAGTTAGTTTTAGAAGAAAAATTTAACAGTTATGGGCTGGGAGCATAATAAATGTGTTTTGAGCATTGTTCTAAAGCACAAAGAATGGGCAGACTGTTATTTTCAAACTTGACTCTTCAATCAAGTTACACAATTTGTACATCCTGAAGGCCACTGACACAATCTATAACATGAAACCTGTCCAGAAGATGTCCATTGGGAAAGTTTAGCATAAAACTTTTTCTTTTATTCAACCTGTCTTATTTAGTTCTAAAATAATGTTTGATTCCTTAATGAAAAAATACTTCATTTGCACTGATTCACTTAAGTTACATACAGCCTCAGAAGTTTCATATCATCCAGTATAGCTGGATGCCAAGCCTCAGATGATGTTGCCATCATCTCCTGTTTGTTTCCTGTTTTCATTTGCAGGCTGGCCCTCTCCACATAATGGCCACTGTCAGCTACAAGCCCACATCCTTACGATCTATGATCCAAAATGAGAGAATTCCTTTTCCAGGTGCACAAATCAAATCCTACACAAGGACTCTGATCTCTGGATCGTCTGCCCTTGCATTGGACCAGTCCCTGTGGAGAAGAGATGGGGACCTGTGCTCTTGGCCAGGCCTGGCTCAGATGCACTATCAGTGGTAACTCCTGTCAGAATCACATTGGATGAGGGGCCCTTATACTAAAAGGGATTTGGAGCAAACTGAAATAACAGGTGTTCACTAGAGAAAGCAAGAGTAAAAAACACAAAGTGGTGGAAAAAATTTACCATTACAGTAATTTTATTCTAACACTTAATACAATAGAGAGCCAAACAGGAATCCAAGTTTCCAGTTTTATTTTTGTTAATGAAGAATGAAGAGCCATAGCTTCTTTATTCTTCACAGTTCATTGGAGTTAAAGCAATCAAGGTATTATATAGCTCACTTGCATTTTTAAAGGTTCACCCAAAAAGGCTGTGAGAATTCCACACCAGCAAGGATCACTGTTGCAGAATATCACTGAGGTCTGTTATGTGTACTATCATTCACCAGGAAAGGGAAAATGATGGATTTTTCCAATAACTGTTGCATATTTATTTAAATACTACAACTTTTATTAAAAGTGAAAGTCTCTAAAATGTATTTTAGAAAACTCTGTCATCTTTGTTTAGTAACAGCTATATTGAGAGCTTTATTAGGAGAAATTCACATACCATAAAATTCACCCTTAAACGGTACAACTCAGTGAATTTTAGTATGTTCACAGAGTTATGAAACCATTACCACTGATTCCAGAACATTTTCATTACCAAAGAGAAACCTGTACCCCCATTAGCAGTCACTTCTCATTCCTTCCAGCCGCTGACAATCACTATTACACTTTCTGTCTCTATAGACTTGCCTATTCTGGACTTGTTATATAAATGGAATTATATAATATGTAGCCTTTCATGACTGACTTCTTTCACTTACCATAATGTTTTCAAGGTTCATCCATGAATAGCATCTATCTGTACTTCATTACTTTTTATTGCTCAATATACCATAGTATAGATATTCCACATTTTATTTATCCAATCAGTTGGTAGAGTTTGGGTTGTTTCCACTTTGGGGCTATTATGAGTAACACTATGAACATTGGTGAACAACTTTTGCATGGACATAATGTTTTAGTTCCCCAAGATTGGAATTATAGGGTTGTATAATTCCTACTTTGACATTTCGATCCCCTGCCAAAATTTTCCATAGTGGTTGTGCCATTTTACATTTCTCCCAACAATGTATGAGGGTTCCAGTTTCTCCACATCATCATCAACAGTTGTTATTTATTTGTTTACAGCCATTCTGGGTATGAGATAATATCTAATTGGAATTTTCACTTTCATTTTCCTAACTATTTTAGCATGTTTTCCTTTGCTTATTGGCCATTCGTATATGAAGAAATAAACATTCAAGTCCTTAGTCCAGTTTTCAGTTGGGTTATCATTCTTTTTGTTGAGTTGGAAGTCCCTTAAAGATAAGTGGCAAATTGTCCCAATTTGTGGTATGTCTTTTCACTTTTTTGATGGTGTCCTTTGAAGCACAATATCTGATTTTGGTAAATTACAATTTATTTTGCTTTTGGTGTATATAAGAAACTATTGCCTAATGGTATGCTTGTGAAAATTCATTCCTATATTTTCATGTAAGAGTTTTATAGTTTTACCTCTTACATGTAAGTCCATGATTTATTTTAAAAATAATTTCTCATGCCTTTATTAGTAACAATTTAACATTAGTAATGCCTATATTAAAACATTTTTAATTGTGGTAAATACATGCAAAATTTACTATCTTAACTATTTTTAAAAGTACTGTTGGGTAGTGTTAAGTACATTCACATTATTATGCAATCAATCCCAAAACTCTTTTTTCATCTTGCAAAAATGAAACTCTATATTCATTAGACAACTCCCCTTCACCCCCAGCATTTCCCCTACTCCTGGTGTCTACGCCTGGCAATCACCATTCTACTTTCTGTCTCTATGAATTTGATTACTTAAGTGCCTCAGGAGTGGGGTCATACCGTATTTGTTTTCTTTGGCCTATTTCACTTGTATAATGTCCTCAAGGTTCATCCATGTTGTATGTATCAAAATTTCCTTCCTTTTTAAGGCCAAATAATATTCCATTGTATGTATATACCACATTTTGCTTTTCTATTCATCAATGAACACTTGGGTTGCTTCCACCTTTGGGCCACTGTGAATAATGCTGCTATGAACATGGGTGTGCAAAATATTTCTGAGACCCTGTTTTCAATTCTTGTGGGTCTATAACCAGAAATGGAATTGCCAGATCATATGGTAATTTTTAATTTTTTGAAGAACTGTCCTAGTGTTTTCCACAGCAGCTGCACCAGTTTACATTTCCAACAGTGTACAAGGGTTCCAATTTTTCCATAGCTTTACCAACACTTATTTTCTTTTTTTGTTTGTTTGTTTACAGGTCATCTGATGAGTATGAGGTGGCATCTCATTGTGGTTTTGATTTGCATTTCCCTAATGACTAGTGATGTTGAGCATTATTTCATGTGCTTGTTGGCCATTTGTATATCTTCTTTGGAGACATGTATATTCGGGTCTTTTGACTGATTTTTCAGTTGGGTTCTTTGCTCTTAGGTTGTTGAAGTTCCTTATATATTCTAGATATGAATCCTTATCAGATACATGATTTGCAAATATTCTCTCACATTCTGTAGGCTGCCTTTTCATTTTGTTGATTGTATCCTTTGATGCACACAAATTTTTAATTTTGATGTAGTCTATTTCTGATTTTGGTGTCATATCCAAGAAATCACTGTCCAATCCAATGAAGCTTTTCCCCTGTGTTTTCTTCTAGGAGTTCTATAGTTTTAGCTTTTAGGTTATATGTTTGATCCATTTTAACTTTTGTTTATGGTACAAGGTAAGCATCCAACTTTGTTCTTTTGCATGAGGATATCTGGTTTTCCAAACATCATTTGTTGAAAAGACTGTCTTTTCCCCAATGAATAGTCTTAGCACCTTTGTAGAAAATCATTTGACTACATATGCCAGGGTTTATATTTCAGAGCTTTATATTCTGTCCTGTTGCTCTGTATGTGTCTTATTTATGCCAGTGACACACTGTTTTGATTACTGTCACTCTGTAATAAGTTTTGAAATCAAGAAGTATAAGATTTCCAGCTTTGTTATTTTCAAGGCTGTTCTGTTCAAGGTTGTTCTGGCTATTTGGGAATCCCTTGAGATTTCATGTGAATTTTAGGATGGATTTTTCTATTTCTACAAAACATGCTGCTGGGATTTTGATAGTATGTACACTGAATCTGTAGATCACTTTGAATAGTATTCTCATCTTAATATTAGGTCTTTCAGTCCATGCATACAAGGTATCTTCCCATTTATTGGTGTATTTAATTTTTTCCAGCAAAAACTTGAAGTTTTCAATATATAAGACTTTTGTCTCCTTGGTCCTTGGTTTCCTGAGTATTTTATTTTCTAAAATTTCCTTTTCAGATTGTTCATTGAATGGTGGGTTGGTTTCTAACATTTAACTTGTATTGTTAAATACAACGAGTATACAGGAAAGTGAATAGGACATTTGTATATTAACAAATAACTATAAATTATCATGTAACTTCCATCCAGATCAAATAGACCATTGACTGAAACCCCTGTAATGCCTTTCAACAGAAACCCTCCCATTGTCTTCAAGTTTGTCATGCTCTGCTCTTAAGTTTGCCTTTTCCTTGGACCTGTTAATTTGGGTCCTTGTGATGTGTTTAGAATAACTGATTATATATAGAGAAAAGCAATATGGTAAAGTACTTAAATAGGAAAGATTTCAATTGACGACAAAAATACCATTTTTTTACTCTCTTTATTCAATAAACTCTGAGTAGCTCCTTCATAGCAGGCATTATACTTGCTCTTGTGAATACGTAAAAGATACAATGGGCAGGATATGCATGATGTAATAGTCATATTCAACACTCAGTGTGGGGAAAATTTTGTTTAAGGGCCAATTCATTCTGTGTGCAGAAATCACTATATAGGAGAGTGTGGCTGTAATGGGCCTTGGAGGAGGAATGAGGAGGCTCAGTAGTAGTCCAGATCACAGGGAACTCAGACACAGACCAGGGCTGTGAGTGTGTACATAGAAATTATGGGATGGGCTGAAGAGATACAGATCTTAGTGGCTGACAGGATGATAACCCCCAGGTGGAAGCTGAGGTCATTTATCAGGGAGGCCTCAGCCAGCGTGGAGGAGGGGAGTGTGTGAGCATGCTGTGTTTGAGATGCCCAGAGACACTCAAGCAAAATGACTAGGATCTGGTTGGATGTGTAGATGGATCTGCACTTTGGGAGAGAGTCTGGGACGGACGTAGAAGTTTGGAAGTCATTAGCATGAAAGTGGCCATTCAATCCATAGGAATGGCTAAGATTTTTTAGGAAGAACATCCTGTGTGAGAAGACAGTTACAGACAACTCTGGAGACACCACAATATTAGTGGTAGATAGAAGATGACAAGCAAATCTGAGAGTGAAGGACGGTCAAACATAGAACAACCAGGAGAGCGAGTCAAGCCACTGAAGCCAAGAGAGGGGAGGGTGGCAAGGAGAGGGAGGCAATGAAGTGCATTGTCTCTATGTGTATCTCTCTCATAGCTGTGGAAATGGAAACATGTTTTCTACCCTCTCTAACCTATCTCCTAAGCATTTATGTTAAGTGGTATAACAGAGTGTGACAGACCTGCCTGGACTGGCCTGAAAGGGCCACCGGGGCCTGGTGCAGGCAGGAGTCATGGCAAAGACGGTGTAGAGCCACCAGGGGGCCCAATGGGGAGGGCATCTGGAGAGTGTGGATATTCTGATTCTGCACCTGCGGGATCTGTCATAGCTTGGGTAGTGATGGCTAATAAAAATAAGGCCAAGTTATCACCCATCTGCCAAAGGTTAGCAAAGGATGGGGAGGGGTGTTCTATTGAGGGTACAGCTTGGAGCTGGAGAAGCCTCCCTGGTGGCCCTGGCAGGGGGGAGGGCGCTTGTGTTGGCCAACTCACAGGATCCCACTGCACTCCAGAGCACGGTGAAGCTCCCACCTGTTCTCCCCACCTAAAAGTCACCATATGGTCTTCAGCCAAACCAAAGACTGATCCTGGGGCCAACGTCCACTGTGCTGATGCCCATGGTCAGTGTGTGCACGGCATCAGGTGATCAATCAGTCCTGGCCAGGGCTGTTTTGTTTCCAGGGCTCCCATTGGAAACATAGAGCCTGCTGAATAGAAGTTTCCATCTCTACAACTCACCTTTCTTGCCCTTGCTAGAGCCCGTGCTGCTTGGTGGTCACAAGAATGAAAGAAAGGCCTTTTGGGTTAGCATATACCTCTCAAAAAGAGATTTTTACTTTGCTTTTTTTTTCCTATCTTCATTACTGATTTCAAATACTGGATTTTATGCACTGGAAATGTGATTACTTTCTACTTCTGGAAATACCTAGAATCATTGAGAAGAGGGCACATTTGAAGGTATAAAAAACATTCTAGGTACCTACCTATAAGGCAGCTGTGCGCATCCCTCTAGGAGGCCTTCATGAGCAGTCCAGCTGGGCCAGGCAGCCTGAGCTGTTTTCCACTGCCCTCCCCACTTTGGTTCTGTCATCCCTGCAGGCCCCCAGGGAACTTGTGACCGGGCTGGGGTTTGTATACAGCAGGCAGTACCTTCACTATAACTTACTGAAAAATCAATCCTTAATAGGGGCTTGTAAGGGAGGACATTTGAGGGAAAAAAACAAAAAAGTGACCTAAAAAAGGGAGTTTGTCCATCTCTAAATGGAGAATTTCATGAGGGCCTGCTGCCAGGAGAAGGTGCTGGTTCCAGAAGAGCCATCCCAGGGGCATGACAGGACATCCAGACATGAGACCAGGCCCGTCTAGCCACAGGCTTCCAATACCTCATGCACAGAAGCAGTTCTCCTCCCTTCCTGAGAAAAGAGAGAAATGCTGGCATCTCTACTGTGCCTAGAGGTCACAGTGCTTGCTCAGGAAGCTCCATCACTCATTACTACAACACGAGGAACAGATGATGCTGATGAAGACTTTGGAGAAACCTCTATTAAAAAATGGCACCACTTGCTGTGTAATATTGTTACTAATTAGTAAAGAATTAGAACCTGCAATGCAGTAACAGCCTCCCAATGGCTAATCATATCTGTCCTCAGAGTACAAATGGGGCAGCTCTAACCTCTAGTCCTGCTTACTTTCCTCCCTAGGCCAACTCAACCTGGGCAGCCAGGCTGTGCCTGGTCATCTATAAGACTAAGAGGCTAAAAAGGAAACCAAGAGCAGTACCAGAATGGCACGTGTCTTGACACGTCTTCCCCATTGCTTAACTTCAAAGAAGCAAAATGAGGGCTGCCTTTGAGGAGTGAGTCCCTCTGACTCCAAATGGTTTATGCCAAAATAATTCTAGATGGATTGATCTAAATGTTAAACTGAAATAAGAACAGAAATAAGAACATGTGAATATTTAATAAATAACCCTGGGGCATGAGAGCTATTGCAGAAACCACTAATAGCATTAAACCAAGCGTGGACCATGTACCAAGGAAGGTGCCAATGAGCACTTCATTCCAGCCCCTTGGCATGGATGTGCCACCATGCCATGACACCCACTTCATGGATGCACAGCTGCCCCATCTGTGCCATCTTCGGTGGTGAAGCCTGGACTCGATTTCAAAATAAGCATCAAAAAGAAAGACATACATTTGACTACATAAACGTTTAAAACTTCCATATACTCCCTATCATAAACAAAGTCAAGTGACAGCTGATAAATAGGTTAAAAAAATCTGCAGCATAACAACAAAAGGGTTAATATGTTGTATATTAAAAACACTCAATCCATATGGAAAAGATCAATACTCCAGTGAAGTCACAAAAATGAAAACATACAGTTAAAAAAGATGTTTAGTGTTCAGAGTAATCAAAGACATGGAAATTGAAACAAGGTACCATTGCCAACATCACTGAGAATAAAGGGAAAGGGCATGTCTGACAGGTGGTAGCTTAAGGTTCTGGGAGTATTTTGGTAATGTTAAAACTCAGAAAGTTTAAAACATTTAAATTATCCTTTAATTGTACATTTCCACTGCCAGGCATTTACCCAAGGGAGCTCATCGGGCATGTGTGCCCAGAAGGTGGCGCAAAGGTGTGAGATGCACCTGGTGACAATGAGATGATTCTGGTGACAATGAACAATGCAAATGTTCACGGAATTGCATTTTTACAAATCACACAGTAAGGACCAGGCTACTACAGAGATGATGTGATCCAAGTTTACAGACAAAGTAAAAACAATGGCTAATGTTTATAAACACTTGCTGCCAGGGTGCCTCACAACCACCTTATCAGGGACATACTGTTGTTGTCTACACTTTACACATGAGGAAACAGAGGCTCAGAGAGGTCAAGCAACTAGTTCAGAGTCACTGGCCCATGAGTAGCAGAACCAGGATTGGGACCTGGGTCTGTCTGCTGCCAAAGTCCATGCTCTCAACCCCACAGCCTGCTGCCCCTCTACTTCAAATTAGGTGAAAACAAGGTTATAATACAGAAGTCTCACATAGTCTTATGTTTACAAACATATGCATTCAGCACCAAAGCACTCAGTGCTGGTCCAGTCTAAGGCTGGCCATAGAACTAGTCCTTCTAATGTGACAAGATGAATCAGGCAAGACCAAGTTTAATATTCTTGTCAGTTATTTATTATTTGTCATTCTAAAGACTAGCACATTTACAGCATACATGGCTTTGAATGAGCTAAGAATATATAAAACAGTAACTATATGTTTATGTATATTAATACTGCCCCAAACAAATAAATAAAAGTATTTTAATGCACTAAGCTTGTCAAATACAATTGTGTAGGGACAAAACTGTATTATACAATATTTTTACATGTTTAAAGGAAACTAAAGGCAACTGTGCTGCAAGAGCTCTGACAGAACCCAAATGACATTCCCAGTTTTCCATAGATCTCATTACACTTTTTAAACACGGAGGCCTTATGCGGAATATTGGACGGGACCTCTCTTTTACAGTAACCTATAAAACTGCCTTCCTTGTGCAACTGAAGACACAAAGCTCTCAAGTGGAGAGAGGTGCTAGTGCCCCGAGGCTGCACAATGCGCCCCTCTCCCTGCAAGCTTGGGAAGCATGTGATGCCCGTGAGCCCAGGAACAACGCCTTCAGAGAGAATACTGAAACCTGGATCTTTTCTACATGATTAGCCAAGGCTTACAGCTTTCTGGTGACTCATACTATAAAGCAAAAATTGGGAAAATAATTCATAGAAAGGTGCCACATGCAAAATTGTTGACAGATGACTCAACATATGCTATATTCCCTTTGATAAATGCAGATATTTAATGCTCTTCAGACAAAATCCTGAAAACAGTATGGGTAACATTTAACTTTAAAAAACAAGGCAATTTTTTTAAAAAAAGTAGTGATGTTAAAATGAGAAAAAGATAGAACTAAAGAATTACAAATAAAATGAAATGGTGCAAAGGTGAAAGGCTAAATCAGCCGTATTAAAAACCGTCTTGAATAGGCATCGACACTTAAAGAGGAGGCTCTGACACCAGCAGCAGCCACCCGTGCAGCGGGTTTGGTGGACAGGAGCTTCTCTGCCTCCCACCCTCCAGTGAACCCAGCTGTGAGTGGGGGGCAGAGTGCTTCTCCCATTAGCCATCCTCCACACCAGCTCACGTCTTCCTCCCAGCAGGCGTCGGGAGACAGCAGGCTCTGTCCACCCACTCCGTGTCCCTGCCAATGAGTGGTCCTCTCTGTGCCTCAGCACCCTGGGCCCAAGTTTATTTTGCATTTCTAAAGGAGCTAAAAGAATATTGTGTAGACTTTTAGACAAAAAGAATTTCCAGGAGGTTCACAAATGATTAGGATCAGCATCATTAATATGTGCCACATATATTTCTTTTACAGACTTTTAAATAACATGTAAACATAATCATCATAAACAGAATCGATAAAACATATAAACCCCTAAGGAAAAAAACTCTGCTACTGTGCAGATAAAGATATCATCTTATAAAAGATGACAAGACATAATTTTCTACAAAATTCCTAAGTTTTATGGCCCATAAATCCCTTTCAAACTATCATTTCAGGAGATAATTTCAACTGTTTCTCAATAGCCATCTGACATAACAGAATGAGAATAGGAAAGTAACAATTACTGCAAACCTAAAAATAAGACCCTTTTATCAGACATTCAAACATGATTGTACTGTCTTTTAGAAGATATATTGGAAATCCTGCAAAAGAATACTTGTTCTGAAAATATTTAGGTTTCCACTATCTCTACAGGCATAACTTCCCCAGTAGAGTGATGTCACGCAGACATTTGAGGTCCTCAATTGATTATAACTCGGCATCCAGAGAAGTAAGGGAGAGGTACCCAGTGGGCGTGGGGCCACCTAGACGTGGAGTTTCAGAGAACAGGAGACAGCATAAAGGACCTTACTGCTGGCTTCATGTCTCAAGCAGACACCCTTTCTGTAACTCAAGACGGACAGAAAGAAGAGTGGCCCCAATTGTGTGGGCTGCTTTGCAGGTGTTACCTTCTAATAAAGTCTTATCTCTGGCTGACTTATCAATATTTTTTTTCAACTTCTGGTCTCACAGGTTCTGGTATGGGTAGGATAATTCATTAGAACCAATTACTTTCACTGCATGAGATAGTGCTAGCTTCTTTCCCTGGAACTTGAGTTAACATTTAACATTTATTGGTATGCCTAGGATCCAATTATTTAATGTATTATTTACTGTTTTACATTCAGATTTTTAAAAAGTAGATTGTAATTCAATGGTCACTTTTGAGTTACTCAGTAGAAAAATAATTAGGTGAGCAATGCCTAAGTAGGCATTTAAAAAGTCTTCTAGCATTTCAGACAAACCTAGCTTGATTCTTACAAGTAACTGTCAGTGATATCTGTGCCGTTATAGCCGAAGGCTATATAAATGAGCAGTCATTACTATCCGCAGCCAAACATTACCTCCTATTGATTCCAATGGGGAAAAAAAAACAAAAAAAACATGCTCCATAGACTCTTTAGTGAAATATTTTTTAAAAAACCACAAAAATAAAAACCCATCCTTCAGGTCCTCTTGAAGAATTCATATATGACACTAGAGGGTACCCACATTTATTATATAACAGCTAATTAGAGGAAACCGTGTGTTCATGTTTCAACTTTTCCGTAAGTCCCTTCGGGAGGCCTGTAATGCTTGGGGAAAGCCTTCAGCTGCAGGGAATTAAATGCATATTTGCGACTTCCAACATTCTTCATTGTATTTTCTCTTCGACAACCCTCACTGGGGAAAAAACAAGCACAAGAAATGACAGCAGTAAAAAAGGAAAAAAGAAAAGACTTAAAACTAAGATGAAATGAACTGATTATTTTCATAACATTAAAAAAAAGATTGATTAGTTTAAATGGGTGCTGGACTCATTTACAACAAATACATACGTAAGATGGTGGGTTTCTGAACAGGCAATTAAGAAGCACAGAGATGGACACATGCTGTATGGGGCTGTGAGTTTTGCATTTCCAAAAGCAGCACTGTTTCTAACTTGAAGCAAAGTTTTTTAAGTTAATGATTTCATGGATCTCATGTCTAGTTACTTGGAGATCTATCTTGTGGTTCAAAGGTTCTGTTACATAGCAAATTAAATGGAAGCAGAAATATTACTACTCTTACTAAAGCCTTTAAAGAGCTGCACTTTTCTGTAGCAAGAGGCTGTAATCACATCAAATTCAAAATGCTGACTTTCCTTGTAGAATTCAACGTCCTCTGGCTGAGAAGGCCATTCTGACATGCTATCTCCACCTAGGGGACAGCTGTTCTACATGCAAAGCGAGCCAATGGGCCCACACACTGTCTGCAGAGCAGGTCTGCCTGGCTATCAGGGCAGGAGTGTCATAAAGGACGGGGACCACCCCGCCCGCCAAGATCTGGTGGCAGTCAGCCACCCTTCTCCAGGTAGGCTGCCTCCTTGCACAAGTGCCACTGAACCAGTGAGAGCCCACAGGTGCCCTTCCCTAGTAAACTTGCCACCAGCCTCATCCCCAGCTGCATCTGATGGAGGGCTGCCATGGCAATCCAGTGGGCAAAAGCGGATACTGCACGGGAGGCCATGCAGCCAGGCAGGCCCCCCATCCTCAGTGAGAGCATCAGAGCAGTTCTCTGGTACAGACATAAAATTAACAGGCAAAGGTGATTTTAAATATAAATCACTTCCCACAGCACATTATAACCTGATATTTTATATTATTCTAAGACTCGCAACGAAATCAATAAAGTTATCAAATTTAGTAAAAAAATCCCCCTTAAGAGACGCAAAATTTGCAGTTACTAAGAAACAGTGGTTTACAAAAAAATTCAAGTTGTATGAAGACCGTATGTCATGCATTTTTAAAAATATCAGTGGCAACTGCTCAAGCCTTTTAAAGTGAAAATGACAGTCTTATTATCAAGAACATGTAAAATATTTTCAGTAAGACAGTAATTTTTATTCAAAAGATAAGCTCCAGCATTTTAAAAAAGTATCTATCTATCTGGTTGTGTTATTAACTAATTTGGTAACTCAGATATGCTTTTTTTGTCACAGTGCCTCAAGCTGTCAGCTAGATGTGTGTCATCTGAGCCGAACACCTAGGCCACATGAGCAGGACCCCCTAGAGTGAATAACGCTGTTTGCCCAACATTCGATAATCAAAAATATCCTTCCACTTAAAGTAGAAACTATAGGATCCTATGCATAGTTAATCTCCTTTCATCTTTGGACGCTTGTACATTAATAGACTATTTCAGATATGGCTTCTCCATTTATATAGAAATTTATAAACTTTTCAAAGACCACCTATCACTAGTAAATGACAAGCTGCCTTGAGGAGCAAGGAAGAATAATATGTGAACTCTGACATTATGTTTTATTTACACAGTAAAGGAGCTAATGCCTGTTTTAGCTGGCTGAATACATTAGACATTAAGTTATAATCAAGGTTATACTTTCATTTCAATTTAGTTTTTAAATCAAATTGTATTTCCTTTCCCACAAATGTCTGAATTTACGAAATCTAGCTGATGCAGCCGGTCCACATGCCGTCACATGGTCTGTGCGGAGATGCTGGCAGGGGCTCAGGACAAGGCATGTGGAGGCGGTGAGGGCGTGCTGCGCTAGTGGCGTTTCCCGCTGCCCCGGCCGGCCTGCTGCCCGAAGGCTGAACACCTTCACTGACCGCACTGGCTGCATAATTTCCAGGAGTCAAAAACACATGTTGAGAAGGGCTTGGATAGAGTTTAGCAAGAGGGATTTAATTATTTCCAAGCTCCATGATTATTTTTATTATATCCATAAATTATTTCTTTTCCAGGACAACCATTTTTGAAATGAAAATTAGTAAGGAAACCCCAAATGACAACTGATTTTAGGAAAATCTCTGGTTTTCCCTTTCTGGTGGGGCCTTCCACTTTAGAACTCATCTGGTGGCATCAGTGTCTTAGTGATTCTATGGCAGTCATGGGTAGTGGCTGCTTTTCCTGTTGCTTTGTGGAGGGAGAACTAGCTGATAAGATCTCTGGGGGAACGGAGCCATAGGAGTGAATGGTAACTGTCACAGTTGTTGAAAAAACTTTATGTGACCATCCAAAGAGACTTTCTCTTCAGTGTGGTTTCTCTCACTTCAGAAAGCTGATTTAATACTGAATACCTCAAGCTGGTTGGCACTAATAATGCCTCAGTGCTAGTATCACTTGGGAAGCAACCTAAAAACCATCATCAGATATCAATGACTCCCGCTTCTCGAATCATCTCCCCACCTTTATTCCATCCTATCTCTCACTAAAGCAGAAAATATTTTGGTTATGTATTCAGACTCATTTCATGAGCAAAAGGCCTTAGTGATATTAAAATTCAGCATAAAGGTTGATCATACTAAGTTTCTTTTCTCAGATATTTTAAAGCGAAAAAACCAAAACACAACCAACCTATGGCCTAGGCTGGTCTCCTGGCATCCTCTCTAGTGCCAGCCCTCCAAGACTGTGCAGGCCCATGCGCTGCCTTCTGACCCAGCCCCTGGAGGAGAGAGACGAAGAACCTTATCCCCTCTCCCTTTGGTCCCATTTCTCTTCCAACCCAACAGCCAGCCCATATGGGACAGGAAGGCGTGGCTGGCACCACGGCAGCCAAGGATCAGGCTGTGGTGTCCCTGAGGCCCTTTCAGAGGAGGTCCTCTGGCTGGCCATGGCTTCCCCGTGCTTTGTGGCGGAGTCCTGGGAGGAGCCCCTGGAGAGTACCACTGAAGCCCACTTGGGCCCTGGGGGAAGGAGGGCTGCTGTCTGCAGTGGGAGGGCCTCCCTCTGTGTGTGGACTCTCCTGGCCACAAGCTCTGCCCTGGAGGTGGGCGTGCACCTGTCACCACTGCGTCATCAGGAGCGCATCGCCTGGAGCAGGGCCTGGGAAGCTGTGGAATGGGAACCGAAGAAGGCTGTGGACTCTGCTTTCCCTCTTTCAAATCAAGCAGACAAAATGTCCTAGAGAGTTGAAGTGTGCGCCTCAATGTGAAAGAGGGCAAGTGGTGAACATACCTTTCACAGAATCATAGACTGACCAGGACACTGTCCAGTGCCTAGTGCCATGCTGCTACAAGTCAGCCCCACCCGTCAGCTGGCATTTGGTGACTGACTCCCCACTGAAGGATGCCAGGAGCTGTGCCACACAACAGCCACCTCATTTACTCTAGAAGAGACAAGTGAACGCTCTGCACTTGGAGAAGAGTGGGCTCACCTACAGGGTACACAGAGGTGACATCTGCCCTAGGGATCCTGCAGTGCTCAGGGGCTCTAGAAAAGGGGTGCTCCTGGGAGTGATGAGGATGGTTTTATACTTTAGAATTAAAAGTCTGAGTTTGGTGTTTGCCACTCGTTGCTAACTGCTTCTGCTATTCCTAGAACTTGGACTCTGAGCTGATGCCAAATCAGAGAAATCCCAGAGTGAGGTCTGGGAATCTTGGAGAATGGAGAAGCCAGACTTTGTGGTGGACTGGGTTTGTGTGTGCGAATGGGTGTCAAGTTTCTGGAAAAGCCAGACTCTCTAAATTGACTCCAATTTGTCTAGACTGGTGAAAAGAAATCCACTCCATAAAATACACTGTGAGGGGAACCAGCTGCGGACACAAATAGAAGTACAATGTCATAATAATGTGAACTGGAAAACAGAGAAGCCACTAACTATTCTCATGCAGGGTGTGTGGAACTCTCCCCTGATTTACTTGGTTACCTTTATAGGTGTACAATTACCCTCCACCACATCTGAATGTTAAAGTTACAATTCATCCCATTTTAGGGACATTGCCATGTTAAAATGGAGAGTAACAACAACAGAAACCAAAGTGGCCCTTTCTCTCTCACAGCTCCATCTGCCACAGCTCCCCCACCCAAAATCAATTTTTGGCAATTTTTCTTTGATTTTTTTTTTCATTTTTAACCATATTTGATGGGTAAGAGAGAAGAGATGTCTGACTTCAATCTGGAATTAAAGATGTAATTTTTAAATGAAAAATGCTACTTTCAGAAAAATGAATGTACATAACTTCAACTGCCTTTTGTTACTGTATGTGTTACTTCCTGGAACCTGTTTACTGATCCTTAAAGAGTTAAGAGTAAATCTAAAGTCACATGCAATAGGTTATCTTTATGTGCTTGACTTGGTACTATGTACTATTGTACTCACAGTTTTGTGTCACCCCCAATTGGAAATAATAAATATCAGTAAGGAGTGTTATGATTCTGCAAACTGTTTGCTACTGTGCTTCGGGGACTACGCTTTGAAATGAAAGCAGAAAGTACGTGTCCTATTAAATAGGCTTGTCTAGATGAGCCGGTTATAGAAAGCATCTATCTTTTTCTTTTCATTTTTCTTCAAAAGGAAAGGAAAGGTTAGTAGTACACTTAAGGAATAGTATCAAATATACAAATTCTTTTCAAACAGAATTCCCTTCTCTTGGAAACAGGGCTCACGAGATGTACAGGTAATAAACAATTTTACATCAGAAGGTAAGAGATGTGATACAAGTAATTCCAGGCCAGCTAAATTATGCAGTGGTGGGACACCATGAGAACATGTTACAAGCACTGAAGACATGATTTAAATGAACAAGTCCTCTTGGTGAAATAATTTGGCAGATATTTACAGTTCAGAAGAACAAAACGTCAAACTGTAAGGCATGAGATATTTCTTGGCAGACCACGCTTTGACATTCCTTCTGTCCAGTTAGGTACACGGTGGCTGGACATATTCTGGCACTTTTGTTTTTTCTTGTGACTTATGAATTTTTCGTAATGATATTCATTTGCAACGCAATTTGGTCACCAGGTATGCTATGCTCAGAAAGAGCCACACAATCAGTAAATTGGGGCTCAGAGCTAATAAAGGAAGGGAACAGAGGAGGCTGGGGTCTAGCCTTAAGTCTCGGATGGGCACCAGGCCGCTCAAGTTCTTCTGCGTGACTACCTCCCGTGTTCCAATGCTGTGAAAAGGAAAAAGTTTGGGAGAAAGGAAAAGAAAAAAGGAAAGGAACAAAAATAAAGAAAAAAGAAACACATGCGATGGATTTTATAAAAAGTCATGGGGAAAAGAGGAGAACCAAAGGATAAGATTTAAAAAAAAAAAATGGAATGAAGCCACAACAGAAAGAAAAGATGATATGCAGAAAAGGGTGTGAGAGGAAGATCAAAATAAAACCAGCACAGTTACAGGAAAAAAGGAGAGAAAGAGAAGTGAAAATAAGAAAAAAATACTGTAATCTACTGAAAATAAATACATGTAGGTTGAATGAATGGTTTTCCATGTTCACTCCCTCTCGGCTGGCCAAGCACAACTCCATGCCGCCCCGCCATGCTCCCGCATGCTGCAAAGACGGGGTTCTGAGAAGCAAGCTGAACATGAAGAACCATTGGGGATTTGACCTTCTCACAGATGCCCCAGTGAGGGTGGTGCGATGGATTTGGCCAAAGCTGCCTCTTGATTAACTACACAAATGAAAACCATTGACCTCAGGTACGAACCAAATGCAGGGTCCTTCCCAGCCCCACCTTGGGTCTCAGGTTCAGCAATAGCAGGCCGTGAGCCATTGCTGTCCTCAACTTTGCAAGTTACTGTTCTATACAATGATCCCCAAGGATGGAACCCAACCAACCCCACACTAGAAACTTGGGTTTCTTCCCCCTTTTGATGCTACAGCAGGAATGTACTGAGGTGAGATGGTACCTAGAACCACACGACTCTGGAACCACATCCATGGCCACCGAGTGGCAGCAGTGACACAGAATAGAGGTCCTAGGACACAGCAGGCAGTCTGTGAAGGATCCGCGTGGAGAGGGGCATGCAGGAGGCCCAGGCTTCCTCCTCACGCTGAGTCCTCCCTGGTGTTCCCAGAGGAACCCTGAAGCCTTGGAAAGGCCCTGCTGGAATGTGCCGTTCTGACAGGGGACACTTTCCAAGCTGGCCAGCACTGACCAGTCATCACATCCCCTGCAGGATAGCTTAGTGGCTACTCAGGAAAGCCCACTAAGTGAGGGTGTCAGCCCCTGGACTGGGCACAGAGGGATACCCCAGTGGTGTACTGGAGTCAGCACGCATGGCTCACAGGAGCTGAGGGTGTAAATCTCTTCCCAACTCCATGTTCAGTGCTGCCACACTAAGAGCTCAAAATGGGCCCCGGTGGAGGTATTTATGCCACAGAAATTGGCAAACACTACAGATCAGGGCTTCTGGGGAGACAACTGGCTGTTGAATGCCTACAGCACAGCACTGACCAGTACTCGCCCTGGGCCTCCAGGAGGAAGCCAGCGTGGGTGCCAGCTCTGCCTCCACCTGCATGCTCTACCCGCCCATCTGGTGAGAGGCAAGTGCAAAGTGCAAGGGAACCAAACCTCTTCCTCTGCTCCAGGACAGGGTACAGTTTCACTACTGCCTCCTCGGGGCTTTCGCTGGCCAACCCTACAGCCAGAACTGCTAGCTGGTGACAGGGCTTGCAGCTGACTAAACAGATACATGTCTTCTCCACATGGGATAATCCAGAAAACACAAAGTCAGGGGTACCAGTGTCACCTTCAAACAACACCTGCAGCGAGAGCCTGAGACCCTGCAAGGTGCTATTCAAGGCAGCAGTGAGCACTGTCCCTGGCAGGGCTGGGCTGCTGCTGAGGGTTCCAGGGCAGGCAGAGGTGGAGGAGGAGTGAGCTTTGTTTCGTCTTTATAACTTTTTAAATAATTATTTTTGTATTATGTGCTCACTGTACAGATTTTAGAAAATGCAGAAAAAAAAATTTAAAAAGACATCCATAATTAGAGGCAGGACTGGGGTTTACAGAGGCAGAGGGAGGCCAAGGGGATGATGCCTGCTCCCATGTGAGGAAGGCCCTCACCACTCAGGGCACCTGAGGGTCCTCGCCTGTAAGTAAAACAGAAAAATGACACCACCTTTACAGCCTCAGGAGCACTCAGAACAGTGAACGGAATGACGGTGCCCAAGGGAGCAGTTCCTAAGCACTCTGGGACACTGGTGGGCAGGAGTGTGGCTGGTATGGGAACAATTTGCTGATTTGTATTAAAATTATTATAAAGCCTTACAGACTGGGCACGGTGGCTCACGGCTGTAATCCCAGCACTCTGGGAGGCTGAGGCAGGAAGATCACTTGAGCTCTGGAATTTGAGACCAGCCTGGGCCATACAGCAAGACCCTGTCTCTAAAAAAATTTTTAAAAATTAGCCTGGCATGGTGGTATGTGTCTATAATCCCAGCTATTTGAGAAGCAGTAGGATCACTTGAGCCCAGGAGTTTGAGGTGAGCGATGATGACACCAGTGCATTCCAGCCTAGGTGACAGAGCAAAACTCTTGCTTTAAAAAAAAAAGCCTTCCAAAGATGTGTACTTTTTAACCTGAGGAGTCAATTGACAAATGTGGATAGGAGAATATATAAGGATATTCACTGGCCTCTTGATTAAAATTCTGGAAAACCATATACAGTTTAAATATTCAATGATAGCAAATTAGATAAATTACAATGTGTTAAGAGTGATAAGGTCTATATTTTTTTCACCTGAAAAAATGCTCACAAGACAGTTAAATGGAAAAAAGTAGGCTAAAACAATAGGCAGAATTGTGCATATAACTGCATTTGTTTGTGCACGTGTTTTTGTTTTGTGTGTCATTCAGGGACTGGCTAACCAATGTGTGGATTAACCACACTCACACTTGTACGTAGGTATGTATGTACATTTCTCTGAGAGAACATGGATAAAAATGTTAACATGGCTACTGTTAATAGCAGGAATATGGAGAATTCTCTTGCGGGGTATGTGCATGAGAGTGAAGGACTAGTGTAGACACTTATCTGTATTATCTAATTTTCCTATAAGGGGTATCAATTACTTATACAATTAAAAGTTGTAAAAAGTGCTTTGTGCTGTAAACTGTAACAACTGTAATGACTATTCTGGGCACACAACCCCTGGAGGCTACAGGCCGGCAGAGGCCGTGTGGGTTCTGGGCTCCGTGACAGGCCCTGCAGTCGTGGCTGTGTCTCTCTACAAGCCCACTTCCTCCCTGGTCTCCTGAGACCTTTGTGCTCAGATGAAGTCAGAATGAATTGTTTTTGTTGAATTTGTTCAAGAACCCAAGAACTGGACAGAGGGCCCTGCGTCAACTGTGTGCCTAACTCAGGGCCTCAGCTCCTGGTTGGACCTGATCCTGATCGCTGCTGCCACAACCACAGGAATCCTGCTTCTTCTCATCTCTTCACTGGCAAAGGTCTGCAGTTCACTACAGCGGCTCCTTTCAAAGCCGTGCAGCTGATGGCACAGATGTGGCTGCCATCCTGCCACACCAGGCACCCCACTGCTGCAGGGTCGCACTGGACGTGGAGCCGGAAGGGCATCCAGACTCCTGGGGCAGGCCCTTAGTCAAGGCAAGTAAAATTAAAGAATGGCAGAGCAGGGCTCTGAGTCTCTATCACTCCCCTGAGGCTGGGCAGAGGGATGGTGAACTTTAACAAAGAGGTTTAGATGAACTTGGAAAGACAAAACAGGGACAAAATGCTATCAATCAAGAGGCAGGAGCTCATGCCTCTCTTTTGTGCATTACTGTGAGAAGGTCAAACAGCAGAAACATACAGAAAGGATAAGAGAATTGAACACTTTAAAGAATTTGGTGAGAGGACAAATGATACAGAACATTCAGTAGAAGTGACCGTTGGAAACGAGACTTTAACAGCATTGGTGACTACATTGAAGGAGACGGGAAAACCAGGTTTCTTATCCTTTCTTTTGGTATGTGAGGTAGGGGCTGCCCAGCAGTGCTTGAAACAAGGCATCGATCAATAGTGGACAATTTTAGTTCTGGGTTTCATTCTGCAAACACGCCTGCTGACTCAGAATCAGAACACCATTGGGTGAGGTTGCCAGGGCACACTGACAGCTGTCACCATAAAACACTCATTTGACACTTTGCTCATAAAAGCAAACTGTGTCGACTGCTAGAGAAGCAGCAGAGCAAAACCGGTGCAACCTGCAGACGCGTGTCTTTACTCGAGTTTGGAAATGTACATATGCATGTGGCTATACGATGTCAACAGCAGAGGCCTGCTGAGAAAGCCCTGGCCCTAAATCACACCCACAGCCAGGCAGGTGGCTGAAGGGACGTATCATACGGCTGCAGCCAAGCTTCGCTTAGCTGCCTGACCCTCAGCTTGCCCCTCAGTCTACCAGCTTTCAGTGCAGTCCTGTTCAGAAAGACTGCCAGCTCTCTTCCCCCCTCGCCTTACAAGAGAACGGTGTCTGAATTTGACAGTGCCAATAGTTTGACTAGTTTGTCAAACTCAAGTGTGGCGGCTGGCATCAGGGGCTCATGCAGGGCAGGCCCTGCGGGAAGGCGCAGTGCTGCCAGCTCATCTGCAGTTTACACGGACCAGGGCAGGCAGGGCGCGGGCCGGCGGTGGCACTCACCTGCGCATGCACTCCAGGGCCTGGGTGAAGACCTGCGGGGCCATGCCGTGCTCGTGCTGCAGGATCAGGCACTGCTCCAGTGTCACCGACATGGCCGTGCGGTCCTTGGCGCTCTTGCAGCTGGTGAACCGGACCCCATTAAGGCGGCGGCAGATCTGCAACAGGAAAACGGGCTGTGTCTAGGAGGGGGGACTCCGAGGAAAGGCAGCACCCTTCACATATGAGAGAGGTTCCTGACCGGCCCAGCGAGGCCTGGCCAGACCCTCCCCTTCTGTGCCCCAACTCCACATCCTGTCAGAGCTGACAGAAACTGAGTCACTTACAAACACCAGCTTTTGGGGGTCCTGCTGTGCCTCGTGTGCCCTGCCTTCTCCCACAGGATGCTCCCTCTCAGTCCAGCCTCCCTGCCTGCTGAGGGATCACCATCCATTCACTGACCCTTACCAGCTGTCCCTTCCAAACCATGCCTGGGCTCTCCTGTCATGTTCACCCCTTCACTGCTGATCCCTCGGGGAAAGAGGGCAGCGAGAATGACCCACTCAGGGCAGGGCCCCAAGCCCCTGGCCAGGTGTCCAGGCCTTTCTGGAAGACAGGGGACAGCCCTGCTGATGCCCACTCTCCTCCTTCATCCGCACAGATGGGAACAGCTGAGGAGTTCCACTTCCTTTTAGCCACCACCTGACCACCAGGCCCCGCAGGCCCTTCCTGTCATCCTTGCCCCAGACACGGGATTAGGCACCAAAGGGCTTCCCTCGTCACAACAGGACGGCTCACGTGGTGGGGGTGGAGGAAGCCTCCAGACTGGGAAAAGGCCATCTCAGTGTGCCTCCTCTCTCCAGAGAGAGGATGATTTTGGGCATTTCCTCTGCATCACTAGAGATAATCCTAGGTACACAGTCGCCAAATCCAGCAAGCTCTAAAACAGAAACATACTTTTCTGTTTTAGAACAGAAATTCTAAAAGTATGCTCTAAAACATACTTTTTCTAAGTATGTAGCAGCCTCATTTGGCAGCACAACCAGATCTGAGCTGATGTGAGACTATTTATAATCTTTATTTATCCCATTTTATGTAAACATTCATACTTTTCAGTGAGGCGATATTATGAGATTGATTCCAGAGTACTGCCCCAGGCTCCCCCGGGGGTATTAAATCATATGTGTATATCATAGTGCACACGTGTAATATGTGCCATATTATACAAAAAATGTCAACTCTGTGCCGTATTACTTTTCTAAAATCTGAAAACCCGTGAATTTCAAAACATCTGGCCACAAGATCTTCCGACATGGGATTGAGGACCTTATCGGATACCGTCCTGTGAGAGCAACAGTGGTATTTTATGAAAAACCACCCAAACTATACAAAGGTAGGCTCCCAGTTATCTGTCATACTTCAGAAAAACATGAGTTGTGTCAACTGCCCTGAAGATAGGACCACACCTGCTCCTAGGGCCAGCAAAGCCAAGAACATGCTGGCCACTACTGGGAAGATGGTGCAGTCCTGCGAACCACGTCCAGGAAAAGACAAAATAGGAAAGGCCCACAGTTCTGTCAGGACAAGTAAGAGGAAGGGAAGCTCCTTTTGGGAATAGACAAAAAGAGAAACAAACAAACAAACAAAACAAAACCAAGACCCTAAGCAGACAAGCAGATCCCAAGCTAGTGAAGAGTGATGTAATCAAATTTGTAAAATCATAATTGGCAGAGCAAGCGTGAACTTGGTATATGCTCACTATTCTACAGGCTGTAGAATTCATGACCCAAACACAGGGCAGAGACTGGAACTATAAATCGGTTTCAAAAGAACATTTAACTTCATAGATGGTGCATCCAGAGCTAACATGAGGTTCTAGAAGGAAGGCAGGGTGGCCAGAGGTGGGTCCTTGTCCAAGAGGGCAGCTGCAGTGCCAGATTCCCATCCTAGAGGGGCTCCAGCCACCTTTGGTGTGCTGGCTGGGTCTCCCCCTCCATGAAATGAGGGCTTAGACCTGACTAAAGACAGCCCAGCTGTTTAGCCAGGGCCCTTTGTTCACACACAGAAATTATAAGAAATGAGGCCCAGAAAAGGACAGCAGCTCTGGTCAAATCAGGGATGAGAAGACTCAGTACCTTAGTGGTGTGGCACTGCTAACCCTACATCCACCTGTCCCACCCCAATGTCCCTCTGGGGACACCCAGGGTTTGGTGGGCCTGACATGAGAAGTGACACATCCAAGGGCCTCTGAGGGCCTTCCTTCTCATTCTAGGCTTCTATACCTTGGGGCCTCTACTGGGAACAAAAAAATACAGGACTGGATGGACTGATTTTTTGTTCTGGTGACAGGAGATGGTGCATTGCCTCCATATTTAATGATTTTCTATCATATGACATTAGAGAAATAGAACCACAGTTCTCAAACAAGGTATGCCCAAGATCTGCACACCTACTCTCATCTGTAAAGCTGTATGTTTATTCTAAGAAGAATGAGTGAGTGGATGTCCCCTGTCACTGATCAGAGATATAGCCATGCCACCTTCTGGACTCTGTGGCATGAGGGAAAGGCTTGCTCTTTGTCTACAGTCTCTTAAAGGTACCTGCATAAGAGACAATAACAGTCTGACCAGGGAGGTTCAGCAGACCCGTGAGAAAACAAAATAAAGGCAGTAGAGGAGCCCCATGGCAGGCGTGTGCCCCACCCTGTGCCACATGTGCTGGGCCTGGCCTGAGTGAGCCATGCCAGGTGAGGTACCAAAACCAAGAGAATACTTGAAAAATGAGGCCTGTGAAACCTGCTGAGCTTTCTGTCACTTGATGCTTCCAAATATGTTCTGTTGTAATTAAAAGACTCTCAGGGCAGCCTGGCCCAGAGAGGGGTGATCGGCAGACTGACCCATCCCACATTTTCCAACAGTCTTTCCAGGGAGTCCTTGACAGGACAAATGAATAGATCAGCACAGAAGGGGATGTTTACTCTTTAAAGCTAAATTCAACAGAACACAATCAGCAGCCACGACCATTCCCACAGCCACAACATGCAGCACATTCCAAAAGACGAACTTCAGGAAGCAGGCTCTTGAATATGGCACCTAGTAAATCCCTAGGAACAGCTGATGAGCACCATGACCAGCTGAGACCCCTGCTGCTGTGGAAGAGACTCAGAGAAACACTCTCCAGATGAGGACAGTCATGCTTTGGGACAGCTGCGGGGGAGGCCCCCGTGGGCTGCCTGGACTATCTGATGCAGGGCGGTGGCCCAGGCATGGTGGGCAGTGCGGTGCCACCTCGCTCTTGTGCTCTCTTCTCTTTGCTCAGGCTCAGGCAGCGAGCCAGAATGCCACTTGGGGCCACTTGTGCCCGAGTCCCAGTGCTGGGCAGGTTAATCAGCTGCACAGAAGAGGTAACTTCAGCCCCTCATCATGGGTGAGAGAACAACTAGCCTGAAATTGCTCTGATGCCCAGGCTCAGACTGAAAAATTTCCACGGGTAAATTTATGAGAAAATATTTGAGGGTAAGGACTTGGGAAAACAAGGAGATCAAAACTGCAATGTACGATAAAGACTGTTTAAAGAGACATGAAAGGTCGCCACAGTCTCCCTCTGAACCTACTAAGAGAGGCAGGAGGCAGAGGGTTTTAGCTGCAACCCACCATGCAGGCTTCTGAAGGTGAACAACTGTCATCAGCCTGGCTATTCAGTGCCCCATAGGACAGACCGTGTCAAGCTTATCAGAATTCAGGCAGCCCCAAGGGAATGAACCCATAGGGAAGGTTCAGCATCTTCCAAGTTTTAGAACATGTTCAGTGACGTTCTCTGAGCCCACATGGAGACGTTTGCTTTCTCCACTGCCCGCTGAGGCTGTGATTTGTTAACGTTATTGTCGCGAGTTTTGGTAGTGGGCGCAGCGGTAACTGCCTTTTCCTCACTATAAAGAGTACCTCAGCGGCTTGCCAGAGGATGTCGACGTTCTTATTCTTCCGGGCGTGCACGTTCTGACCCAGAAACCGCAGCAGCTCTGGCAGGCACGTCTGACTCCGCGACCGAGGTAGGCCTGGAAGAGAAAAGGAGTCTGTGGGAGTAGGTGCCACACCCAGGAACTTGCCCCTGACAGTGGGAGGCCACCCAGGCAAGCTGCTGTGGCACAGAAACACTAACATGTTGACTGTGCAGCCAAAGGAAGAAGGGAGGAGGGTGTCTGGGGACCGGACATGGCTACCGGTATGGTGAACACTCAATTTCACCGCCATTTTAGTGCCCCCTTTAAAGGGCAGTTACTTTATCTCCTCTCAGCTCTTCTAAAGAGCCAGGGAGTGGACACCAAATCACCTAATGAACTTCCTGTAAACACCCATGCTCCCTGCCCCACTCCCAAAAGGAGGGTGTTAGGAGGAAGGGAGACCCATCTAGTCTCCAAAACTTCTGCCAGGGTGAAGCACGCTTGGGGGAGCAGGTCTTGGCCATCGAGTGGGCCTGGAAACCTTGGGGGACCTGGAGCATGTAGCCTTCCCCAGGGTGATTTCAGCCTACAACTGGAGAAATGTATTTCTGATGGGCCCAGGGAGGCCTCTCTTCACTCTAGCAGCACTCCTCCTCCACTCAGCAGTCTCCAGGCCCTTCCAGGACATCTTGAGACTGAACATCCATCAGATTGCCTCGCCTATGAAACCCAGGACAAAATCTAGGAAAATCAACCACTCCTGAAGGCACTCTGAGATTTTCAAACACTGGGACTAACCAATACATCAAGGGCAGTCCCCCAGGCCCCTGATTTCTGCCTCCTTGGCCACTTACTTCCCTCTTGCCAGCGGCACCCTCTCTGGCCCTTCTATTGAATAGCCAGCCTAACCAGCCTTCCTAACCAGCCTACCCAGATGCTGTCCTCAGCCCCCTTCTCGTCCTGCCCCTTAGTGCCTTCAGCCACGAAGGACCCCACCCTGTGGCTCCACATCCATACTACCCATGGGCCGTCTGTCCACGTCACAAGCTCAGTGGGGGCCTGCGCTGTGCTTGCTCCTCTCCTGTCGGCCACCCACCACTGCTGCTGCACCAGCTCCAGCGTCCTCAGCCCGAGCCCTCCTCAATGCCTCGCCCCTTCTTTCCAAACCACAGTTGCCCCTGGTTGGAGTCAGAGAGTGAAACAACATGTCGCCCATCTGCCAGTGGCTTGTGTCCCTCTTCCCATCCAACAGCACTTTCTTGCTTGGTGAATCTATGAAAAGGCAGTGTTTTCACACCACTTCCCTACTGAACACCATTTAAGTAATACGGACTCCCAGCCTGGCCCTGGGGGTCCTCTGCAGCGGTCTCTCCTAACAGGATGGCTTCAGAGCCAGGCAGCACCTTTCCTCACCTGGACACAGACACGAGCGCCGACCTCACAGGGCTGCTGTGGGATTCCAGGAGGAAACGTGAGTAAACACTTAGCCGGCGCCTGGCACATCAGTGGCCTGTAGTGGGGTCCACCAGCAGTGCTGTTCTACTATTCCTAAACTCTAAGATCTACCACGCCTCCCAACAGAAAGCAAATGAAGTTGCCCGCGTCTTCCCAGGTGATGTGGACGCGGTCTTCCCTCTGTGGAAACCCCTATTAGAGGACACTAGTGTAACTCAAGGTGGGGATGCTCTTGGGTGGCCTTTCCTCCAAAGCAGGGTCTCATTTGCCACTGGGTCTTGTAGTGCTTTACACACGGCAGGTGCTCAGGGAATGTTCCCTGGGTGGAATCTGGGAGAGAATTCCACGTGTAAAGACGGTGACTGCCGTGCATCCCCTGGGCTCTTCCCTGAGTTCTGTGACCTCCAGAGCCCTTGCTGCAGCATCCGCACTGGGGGACATACAGCTACGTGCCAACAGACAGAAGATTATTGTCACCTCTCCACCACCTCCAGGGGAGGCTGTGACAGGGGGTATTTTGCCACCAAACACCCAACAATGTTTACCCAGCATCTTACTCCTAAGCACCATGGAGGCAGGTGCATGGGCAACTCACCTGGCCAAATATGGCTCCTGTCTCTGTGATCCCTCATGTCCTACCAGCAGGTGCACGATGCACACCGCTGAATGCATCCATGAATGTCAATGACTACGACAGTGTGTGGGGAAGCCCACGTCACATAGGTTAAAAGAGAATCAACAGCAGAGATGAGCAAGGGCTGCAGCCCAGGGGAGCTTCTCTGGGTGGAATTCAAGCCAGGCAGAGTCTGAAGAGGTGAACAGGCTGTGTGCGTGCGTGCTGGGGTAGGAGGGAGGAAAGGAACAGTGCAGACTCGTACACACGCAGGTGCTTAGGCAGGCGCGCATGGACACACGGAAGCAGGACAAGCCAGGCAGCGTCAGGAAGCAGACAGCCTGAGCTTGGCCGCTCAGTGAGGAAAAGACCAGCAGGAAAAACCGACCGCAAGTGAAGAATTACTCACAGTCCTCAGGCAAAACTTCCTTAAACTGCTCAAAGTAGGAATTTAACCGCACCAAACTCTCCACATTGATGACTTCTTGTAAAGATGTATCACCAAACCTTGGGAAGTTACAAGGGGACATCATTAGTTGGCTAATGTCACCTTCTAACATGAACACAGTTGCATGAGAGCTAGCAATGTTGATTCTCTCAAACAATAATTGTGCACATCTAAATTCTAAACCACTTTCCTCCACCTGAGCATGAAGTCATCTCTGCAGTGTTGGTGAAGTTTAAATACATTCTATTGGCAGGAACCATGTATGATCTATCACAGATGTTCCCAAGAGATTATCAGAACATGATCCACACCAGACCCAGAGACTGAAGGGTCCTGTCCTATGTGGCACAGCGACCCCTACTCACAGCCATTCAGCTCACAGTCCCTCTGTCCTCCTGTCCAGGGGTACTCAGCAGAGGGGATGGCAATGGGTATGGCTGGAGAGTGAGGGCACAGCACTGTGTACTCCAGTCTGATGGACCATACTGACAGGAGGCCCTCCTCACTCTTTCCCCATTACGCAGGTTCACTCTGTGTATCTCCTCCCCGCTGTGAGCTACAAGTGAGCACATGCCAAATGCCTAAGGGAAAAAGTCATGAAATGCAACCTACAAGGCAGGCACAAAGTGGTCATTAAAAATATAGGTTCTGAGGTCCAAGTCCTGGGTCCCCAGGGCAGCCCCAGCACTTCCCTGCTCAGTGACTTTCTGAGTATCAGCCTTTCTAGGGCCCTGCAACACACCTCAGAGAGCAAGACTCCCTGTGGAGCACAGCTCCTCCACCCCTGGCACCCACGATAGCATTTCCTCTAGGTGTCTGCTCCCTCAGGGATTGTCACTGAGCCCAGGACCATGGCCTCCCCTCTCTGGGGCCCTCCCCTCAGTTCATAAGCAAGCCCAACTAGCCAGTGTCCTGGGAACAAATGAAGAAACAAAGCCAAGCCCTACATTCTTCCAGTCCCTCCCACCCTCAGTGGCATGTCCTCTTTTCTGCTCCTCTGTTCCCTGGATGTGGTCCTGCCTCAACCCTCTCTAGAAACTGCTCTTGCAGAGCCATTGGGATCAACAGCTGCTGGATACAGGGAGTGACATTCCCTCTCCCCTGGGCTGCATCCTTGCTGGGGCTCCCGTGAGGCTGCCACCCTCCCTGACATGGGCTCCTCAGCTCTGCTCAGACCTTTGGGCTCTGCTTCCTGGGCTGGCGCCCTCAGCCCAAGCTCAGCTCACCATCTGCACCTGAACATGACCCCTCTCCTGGTTCATGAGCTCAGTGGGTGGCACCGCTTACTCCCCGGATCCAGCAGCCTGGGTGTGTCTAGTCTACTCTCCTGTCTCTCTCCCATTGGGCCCCACTGGAAGACCACACCCTTCCATTTACCACTTCCATAGTTCTCCAGTCTGTCCCTTCTCAGAACATGCACCACACTCCCTGCCCTGGCCTGGGTGACTGCATGTGGCCTGCACTCTTGCCAGCAACCTCCTCATCACAGTCCTCACCTCCTGTGCACTTTCACTTTCTCCTGGCGCATGCCAGCAAAATGATCTACTTAAAATGTAAGCCTGATCATGTTCTGCCCTACTGAATGTTCTTCAATGTCTCCCAGAAACCACAACATACTTCCTAGGTGGGGGTGACCCTACACTTAGGGGTCAGTGGACACTGACCATTCACTGGGTTCAAAAGGCCCAGCAGGAATATGGCATACCATTCTGGAAGCCAAATTTACTTAACAGGAAGCACTTTAATGTATCTTTTGATACTAAAATACACATATCATACGTGTCATGTAAATGACAATATAGGAGAGACTTTCATTTATTAGTGGAAAGCCATTATAGGCTACACACACCCAATTCAGCCTCTCTCCCCCACACGTGTGTGCACACACAGGTACACATGACTCTGCTCCATGCAAGTGATCTGGAAGAATGTTTACCAGGCATAAGCGTTTAGGATCAAGGCAGGACTCGGCCTGGCACACGAGGCCTCTCTGCCCTCAGCACTGTGGATCCCTGCCTAGAACCTGGTGGCCCTGGACCCTGTACTGTTTTTCTCTCCAAAATGAAATGAAAGTCTCTCCTGTGTTGTCATTTATGTGACACGTGTAACTTAGTATGATACGTGTATTTTAGTATCAAAAGATATCTTAAAGTACCTGCTGTTAGGGAAATTTGGCCTCCAGAATGATATGCCATATTCCTGCTACAGGCCTTTTGAACCCAGGCCTTTGCTCACTCTTCTTGGCCTGAGATGTCCAGTCTCTCTTCTACCTTCTTATCTAACCCCTACTCATACTTCAAAACCCACTTCAGCCATCCTCCCCCACCCAGGAAGCCTGCACAGAGCACTTAGACCCCACTGAGCACTTAGCACACTTTCTACTCCCCCCAGAGCACTTAGCACACTTTCTACATCATCTCCACGGCTCCCCCAGCCACGTCAGTCCCGAGGGCTGGCACGCACCTCTCAGCCAGCGTCTGCTGCTCGTTGATGCCCACGTTGAAGAGGACAGGCTGCACCCGCAGCAGCATGCCACTCTGGATCTCCCGGGGCAGGGCGTCGAACAGCGGGCCTGGCAGAGGGACCCGCACGTTAAACCCATCGCTGGAGAGAGACAGAGAGAGGGAAAGCAGGGGTGAGGCTCTGACCTTGGGGCCAGGAGGTGCCAGAGCCCGCCTCAGTGCCAGAGCCCAGAATGGCCCCCTGGATCACTGATGGCCAAACTGTCAGCCAGATCTTTAAGGACTGACACCAACGTAAGAAAATGTGACCAGAATTTTAACAAAATGAAAAAGAATAAAAATTTATAAAGGAAGAGCGCATCCCATGAGATAAACACATATGAAAAACACCACTCTACCCCAGAGAAATTTAAACCAGCATTTCTACCGATTTCCTGTGATGACAGGCAGCATGTCCGCTGAAGTGTTAGAAGCAGCCTGAGTGACTTTGAAGGTCACGTTCCTCAAGTCCATGATTCCAAGGCTCATGTCCTCCAGCATCGCCAACTCCTCACCTGGATGCAAGGGAGGGAAGGGGCTGTCAGCAGAGGACCCTGCCACTCTCTCTGTAGACATGGCATAGGCACTGAGGCAGGTGCAGACGAAAGCCAACGAGCTCAGGCTGTGACAGGGGAGGGTGCAGGTGTGGACCAGGTAGGAGTCTCTGAGCCTTTTTCCCCGTGACTCACTTCTCTGAGAGGACTGCTACTGAAATCCCACGGCCACATTAAAAAATGCAGCTGGAGGAGATGCACCATCCTTCCTCACCCTTTTCTGGGCAAGCACAGGGCCGTGAAGGGGGAAACAGAAATGGGTGGAACTCAGAAGGCAAAGCCAGCTCTTTAAAAATAGAGAGAGACAGTACAACAGCATTGCTGCGGACAGATTCTCCCTTACACGGGGCTTGATGTCTATTTGATGTCCTAGAACTCCAAAGACTAAATACTTAAAAAAAAAAAATGGTTCATTTTCACCTTCTCAGAAGAAATAAACAGAAAACAAGGGTAGGAAGAAGAGAGCCTTTTTGGAGGGCAATTTGAAAATATCCATTACGTTTTAGAATATTCCTACCCTTTGACCCGGCAAACTCTCCGTCTAGTCATTCAGTAGCTGCAGAAGGAGAGCAGTGCCTCAGATGCCCAACGCCACTGCAGCACTGGCTTAGTAGGAAGAAGTCAGAAACAACCCACAGTCCTACAGGAAGTTACTGGTTAAATAATTATCATCCATCCTCAACTAGAAAGACCCACCAGATACATAACAAATAACAACTATAATGCACCCATAATAATTTTTTTAAAAAGATGCATACCACACAAACCACAAACCAAACCAAGGTATGTATATATAACTGTCATTTGGTTCCTTGTTATGTATTTTGGTGATGTTTGGATTTATTTTATTAATGATCAGCACACGTTAAGCCTGTGTAATCAGAAAACTATCTAGGAAGAAAAGATGGAATTCACACAGGTAACTGTGGCTCCTGATGCAGCCCCCGGAGGTGCCAGGGGTGCGCAGGGCCCGCGGGTCTCACCGTAGGTGCTCAGCAGGCTCTCAAACTGGGCCAGCAGCCCGATGGTGTAGAGCTGCCGCAGGAAACCGTCATCATGCAGGCAGTTCCTCAGCTTGATGATGAAGCCACAAATGAGAGCAGTCAGCTGGAGGGACACAGGGTGAAGTGGTTTTGGGGTCAGACACCTGCTCACTAAAAAGCAGTGGGCTCATGCCCGCCCCAGCCCCAAGTTCCTCTGCTTCCACTGCTCAAAGTGGCTGCAGTGGCACCTCCTATCTCCCGGGGACGCTGGGGAGTGGGGAGTGCCCTGGCTCTGGGGCTGTGGAGGGCAGAGGCCATGGGGAGGATGCCTAACACCTTGGGCTTGCTGTTCCTGTCACTCCCAAAGTTAGGTTTGATTTTGGCCCAGCTTCAGACCTGACCTGCCTAGGGTTATTACTAGGCTAGAACCTTCTGGAAGCCCAGAATTAATTACCCATGGTGAAAGGGTCTATCTACTCACAAATCCATACCATCTCTGGCTGGAAACTGAGTTAATCACAACAAAATACAGAAGTGGACAAGAACACGGTCACTCAAAGTTTCCTCAGTAGGCTATTTTCTGTAGGATGAAACAGGCCTCCCAGGATGGGTGGGGAACTGCAGAGAACCAGCCTGACCCTAAGTCACTGTTCACTTCATTAATTTGTTTGCTAGCATCTGTTTAACTTGTTACATTCATTTCAACTCTTCATTTCTCTGAAAGATAACAAAAATCCTTAAATACAGAGTTCTGCAATAAGCTATAGAACTAAGGCATCTACTATTTTATTTATAAGAAAAAAGACTACACCAACAGCAAGCATCCATGTTGCCCTCACTGAACTCCTTTGCAGAGGAAAAAAGGCGGCAATGGGGCCTGTGCCATCTGCAATTTTGGTGCATGGGGCAGAACCAGCAAATTCTGTAGGTGCCAGTTCTTTAGGGAGACAAATGCATACTGATCGAGCAGGTGTCCTCCCTGTGCTGAAATCTAGACCTCTAGTAAATAAACTTAAAAACAACAGCCAGGAGGAAATACGGCCACCTGTTGTTTTTCACAAGTGATCAGGGAGGTAAAGGGGCGTCCTGCACTTGTCCTTCTGAGGTGGAGGTCCCTGTGGCCTCTGGTGGTGCTCCTGGAGCTTACCGTCTGGCAAAAGACCACGTCGCGGCGGTGCTGCAGGCTCAAGTAGGTGGCTATGGTGGGCGCGCTGTCCTGCATGAGCAGGAAGACCATTGCCTTCTTGGCCTTGTCGCTCATCATGGCCACGCAGTCCGTGAGGGTGGTGAGCAGCGGGTACAGGGCCTCACTCCACTCCCCTGTGCACAGTGGAGGGGTCGTGACGTTTAGGAAGGAAGACCTAAGAATTAGGTTCTGGCTATTTAGCAAGTCACCCGACCCCTAGGCACCTCACCATCCTCCCCATTCCCCCTCTCCACCCCTTCCACATCTTCTAGCTCTGCTTGCCCCACACTCTGCCTGGAGCCAGCCTAGTCTCTAACCCTCCAGCCCTGAGTCTTTGCAATAACCTCAAACGCCAGGTCTACTTTGGTCCCACAGACGCATGCCTAACCTCCCTAACCCACTGAGGACCCTACACATAAGTACTCAAGACTATGCCCTTTGGGGAAAACAACAAAAAAGCCTCTTCAAGTCACAATGAGGCCAGAAAATATTCTGTCTGCAGAGGCCAATCTCCTTCCACCACACTGTGGTTCCTCCACCCAGGAAGGAAGGACACCAGGAAAGCTCTGTTATTTCACTTCTATTGACCCAGGTACGAAGGCAGAGACCCCTGTTCTGGTGCAAAGGACCAACTCTGCCCTTGTCCAGCCTGGGTACAACTGTGTTAAACCCTCACTTGCCACGTCTGAAGGAAAAGACATTCCATGCAATTCCTGAGTTTTCACTCATTTTCTACCCTGCCCCCACCTTCCTTGCCTGGTGCCATTTATTTCTAGCTTAGTTTTCTTTTAGAAATACAAGGAAACTCTAACCCAAAACAACTTTTTAAAAATAGAAACTCAAGGGAGGAAAAACAGGGTGAAAGATATCTTTGGTTTTGGCTCTTTTTGCCTTTGCATTTAGAAGACGTTTAAAAGAAAAGACATGCCCTCATCAGTTATATTTTTAACAAGTCACTAAGCCTAGAAATAGGCATTTGATCATCACCCCTTGGTGAACCCACCATTCCAAATATGGTGGGAGGCTGCGGAGTGAAGCCTGGGCAGCGCACACCCGAGGGCGAGGGTTTAAGCCACCGGATGCCCCACCAGACCATGTCACCACGCTCAGGTAAGGCCACAGGGCTGTGGGAGCCGTGCAGCTACCAGAGGGTAACCCGTCTTAGATAAACAGAATCTAAAAGACTGAGAGAAGGGAGGCTTGGCTCTGCTCTCTCAAACTGTATGGTTAGCACTGTGTTAAAAAACAAACCTACAGAAATACCTAAAACATGCAAAAGAATTCCCCTATGTTCAGTACTTGGTTGATGAGGATTTTTAAGTACATGTAGATATTTAAAAGTTGGAAATGATCTAACTGTATATGCAGGCATATATACAGTATGTAGATAAGGATTTATATCTGTAATGGAAAAAAGCAGGCTTAAATTTAGAAAGTCCATAGCAGAAAGGTCTTAGCAAATAAATCATGGTGACAAAGAACTTTGGACCGAGAAGTGGAAAATGTGAGTCTCAGGCTCCGGCCACCACTGAGCAGTGTTGGACCACAGGAAAGTCCCCCAGCCCCTCAGCCACAGGGGTCCTTTCTGGGGAAACATGAGAGCGGCACTAGATAATGTCCTAGTCTCTTCCTCTGAGATTCTCAGAGACCATGTTTTTATTTCTTTGAAAAACTCTGTTGAATGCATGTCAATTACATTTAGTGCCTATCAATAAAGGCCAATGGTGATTAGGTTTTTCTAGCCCAATAGTTTGGGGAAAGACAGGCAGTCATTAAAGACTATTCTTCCCTAAGAAGTAAATGCTTTCAGAGCAACTGTTGTCAATTCTACTTTGCTTTTCTACTCATCATGCACATGCATATATAATTAATATGCAAATCATCATTTTACTCTGAAAATGTTCGGAATAGACAAATTGTCTTATTTGACTAAGCGAGCTCTCTCCATACAACTATTTCATTTTGCCTATTTCTCTTCACACTGAATTCATAAAGGAATGACTCCATTTTGCTCCATTAGGAAAAAAAGAAAAACACTGAGGCATAGAAAGAATGGTTAAAAAAAGCATTCAGAAGTTTGTCCCAGACAAAAGGAGACGTGGACCTGGGTGGGAGGCGAGTGTGATGTCTGCCGGGGAAGGGCTCAGACTTGTCTGAGTGGTTCAATAAGAACACCAACCATCACTTATGCAACACTTGTTAGTGCCCTCACTTTGTAACCGTTTTCTCATTTAATTCCCAGAGAGAAGTTTATTAATATAGGTAAGGAAACGGGCTCAGAGAGGTTGCTTTCCCCAGACACACAGAAAGTTCTGGCATCTGTGCACAGGTCTGGCTGACTCCAAGCTCCGTGTTATTTCTGTCATGTCAGACTGCGTCTGCTGCGGAGAGAGTAGGGCTTGGTGGGTGACACATTTTCTCAATGTGAGGAGAAATCAACAGTAAAAAACTTCAAACAAAATGAATTTCATGAGCAGTAACACGATTTCTATCCAGGACTTGGACAACTATAGGTGTCTGGGAAATTGGAGTTGGTGAAGGGTTTCCCCTCTGCTTATTTCACTGAGAAAGTCTTGCTATGAAAAAAAATCAGCTTAACCCAACAATATCCTGAACTGAACGATGTTGCTGACCCACTTTTTGGGACAAGCTCTTTATCTAGTTACTAACTTGTAACATTCACTGCCTGGTAGTTAATCCATGGACCATACTACTTTAGATAACTACAAAAGGATCTTTCAAATCCACATTCTGCTTCTGTCTTTTTTTTCTCATTAGTAAGGCAGGGGGAAAGGGAAAGAGTATGTGTGTGTGTGTTTGTAAGTGTGTATGTTTTAACCTAGATGAAATGTAGCTTTTGGAAAAGCAGACGGAACTCCTGGCAGGGGACCACTTAATATCAACTGTGGAAAAGCCACCAGTGCTTCAGAAAATGGCACAGCTGACATAAAACAAGGAGGGTTCTATAAACCAGGCACTGTCTGTGTGTGCCTGGGAACCCATGAGGCCTTTTATTATTTGTACAAACTTCAGGAAGTCCAGAATTGAGAAGAACCCCTGGGCTTCTGTGGGGCAGTACACACACCACCAGCCCTTTCCCGGCCCTGGCTGCTGGGAATGGCCCCAGACTTCACCACCACTGAGCCTCAGAGGACAGTCGGCATGGTCTGAAGCACAAGCCCGCTGTGGAGGTCAGCTGAGGAGGACTGGAAGCCCAGAAACAGATATGAAGGAGGAGAATCAGGCACGAGCCCATGAGAGGCAATGAGGAGGAGGAAACCAAAGTTAACCGTCTGTGCATCCACCAAGGCCTCAGTGACCTTGAGGGTCGAGGGTGCTGAGGCCCAAGACCTGCTTAAGGCTACACTGACTTTTTGAAAAAGAGAAACTGTGAAGGGACCAAAAGCAAACTGGGAGGGTAAGATGCACCCAATCAGATCAGCCTGCCAATGAACTAACTTCAAGTAGGGTTCTGGGGTTGCTGCCAGGGGTCACACGTGAGCTGATTCACGTACTGCATGAGTGGATAGGCTTCACTAACAACTGACAGGAATAGCTTTGTCAGTCCCACAAGCATCGATCTGCTGCACTCTAGATATAAAGCAGGAGTCTTGCTATCTTACATTTACATGCAGTCAGAAATACACAAGCATCAGACAGATCATGTAGCTGATTTTCGGAATATAAGAAAACAAAGAAATCGAACCATATTTTTTGGGAAGGGCTCATGCTCACTGTGGGAAAACCACAAACCATATCCAGGAGTCTCAACATGAACAAGATCAGGGATTGGCACACTTTTTTTGTAGAGGGCGATGTAGGAAATATTTTAGGCTTTGAAGGTCACAGGGCCTCTGCTGCTACTAACTCAACTGTGGCAGTGCCGCACAAAAGCAGCCATCGACGATACACAGACAGTTGGACACTGCTGGTTTCCAGTAAAACGTTTTTTACAAGAGCAGGCTGTAATCCTTTGGACAGGATTTAGCTCAGAGCTATAGCTTACCAACCTCTGAACTAGAACCATACATGTGGTTTCTACATGCAAATGCAGCAAAAAGAGTACATATCTAGCACTAGCTCCAACCGAAGTCCCTAGTGACATCTGGTAAGAATTCTAAAGCTGCATCCAGACTCAGACGAGAGGATGCTGCATGACAATGAAAGTCGAGGCACTTGGGTGGAGACATATCATCTGACTGTGTTCTCAGAGTAACGCTCACAAGTTCAAGTGAATATGCAGGAAGTATCTCCAAATGTGTATCTCTCTAAATCAGGTCACCCACTTCATGAAGCACAATGCACTGAGGAACATTAATCATTTGAAAAGGTTTTAGAATGTAAAAGTAGGAAAAAAAAAATACATGTGGCAGCCTGCCTCAGGCCACAATTCCCTCAGCCCGATTGGTCCCTCACAAAACCTACAAAAAGTCTTACAGTCCTCACAACAAAGGAGGCCCTAAAATATTTTCCCAACTCCAGGAGCATAAGGTAATAATGTTTGGCAATTTAGCACAAATGCTACCTGAATATTCAAAAGCCATCGGCAGAGCCTTGAACGGACACCACGTACCTGGGCTGGACTCTTCAGGAGGGGGGCTGCAATCTGCACAGAAATGGAGGGCAACACGGATGGTTAAGGAGCAGCACACAGTTCAAACACGAGCAACTCAGTCTTAGAGCAGCTGCACCTGCAGCTCGCAGTAAGGTGGCTGACCACACGGAAAAGAGGTCTGGTTGCCTCGCTGCCTCTTCCCCAAGAAGCCTCACGAAGGCACTTCAGCTGCTCCGAGGCAGCTGAGCCCTCCGGTGGCAAACAATGACGATTCCCCAGTGCGAACATTCATGTTGCTGATTCTTCAACATAGAATGCTCTTCAGGACAAGCGAACTGACTTATTACAACGTGATAAGTGCCACTGAAGAAAGCACCCACGTGAACCACATGCGTGGCAGAGCCCCATGTTGGCTCACAACATCTGGAAGCAAACTTGTACTGAGAGAGACTGACCAGTAAACAGCCTTCCCAAGTCGGAGCCTACTGCCCCGCTCACTGGGAAGCCCGGGCTCAGGATCCAAGCTGAGATCCAAACCATTAAGAGCCAGTAATGAAACCAATATACCAAAAATCTCTGCCAATCTTTCAAATTTAAACCAAATGTTAAAGTTCTATGATTTGGGTCAAGGTCCTCAAAGAATACCAGTTTTTATTCCATTTTACCTATACTGAGTCACACTAGGATATAATCATTTCAATTTCACATCTTTTAAAAACTCTAAAATTCCAGGTTACCTGGGAGTGCCACTTGGGAGAAAACAAGTTTGAAAAGGGATCATGGGAGTAAGATTTTATTTTGTCTGAGCTTTTCAGTTCAAATAATGTCTTCAGGATATTGAAACAAGATGGTTTCAGATCTCCAAGAGCACCCAGATCCAGCTTCATGGAGACTTTTATAGCCTAGATAGTTTAGAAGGGGGTGCCAAGGGGTCCTTCCTCTCTAATCACCTTTGGAAATGACTTCTTGAACTGGCAGAGGGGACAGAAAACATAAAGGCCTCTGTAGGTTGAAGAGCTCAACCTCTTTGTTAGAACTCGTATGTCCTGAGACATAACATATGGTCTAGCTAATAGGCCTTGAAAACATAAGATTTTGCCTGCCCATATGCCCTCTTCCAGAACTCTGAGTCTCTGGAGGAGGAAGGTCAGGAGCCTGTTTTAGGAGCTTCTGTAGTGACCCCAAACAGCTGGGTTAGGGCCATTCCTTTGAGGCATCACAGGGATTAAACCCAGTTTTCTAAATTCATCTTTCAATCCAAAGGAGGAGAGAGGTGGTCTCCTCTGGTACTCCTGGACCAGTGGTTGTGACTTAAGTTGTGGAGTCCCTTGCAATTTGATGACCACTATGAACTTTCTCTCCATGAACATGCAAAATTTCAGCAACAATCTCAGGGATACAAGAAACCTGGGGTACACCTATGGATCCAAGGTTAAGAAAAACCTGCTCTGGGATCTGAATGCCTCACTGAGTATGAGGAAAGCAAGAGAGTGTGCACGAGGAAGGCAGCAGAAGCCGCCAAATCCTGGTGGGGCAATGGCAGTGGGTGTGCCTCAGCAGGTAGGGCCTAGGGCAGGTGCAGGGCATTTGTGGAGAAGTGAGGAGGAGAGAAAGGCCTGACGGGCCTCTGTGGTTCCAGCTGGCAGGGACCTGTCAGCAGGTCCCACCTACCACGCAGGGCTCTGATCAGTTCTGCGGGACTCAGGACAGGGTAGAGAATTGGAATGAAACGTGACAATGCCCTTGGAAGCACAGAGAGTTGTTCTAATATATAATAAACATGTCAATGTGAAGATACCCTCCTCATTAACCCAAAACAACCACTCCAGTAACTTGGAATGGTGTAAAAAGTCATGACAGAGCCAAGCTCGGGCACTGCAAACCAGGGATTCTCCACAATAATTAGCTCACAGACTGGTTCTTCCTGATCCTCCTGCCCACGTCGAGGTCTGAACACCTTCCTGGCTACGCAAAAGATTTTAAATTAAGGACTGTCCACAGTTAATTTAGTGGCATATGGTTTCATACATGTCTTTGTGTACTGATCAGCAAGTTAGACTCTCTCAAATGTATGCTTCATGTTCCCACTAATACGACAGAGCTGATTTTTATGGTACACACAAGTCAAACTCTAAATATCATAAATAAATGCTCATTTAAATAACTTTCAGAGTGAACTGAAATTTGTCTATATTTAAATATAGGATGTGCCTAGAAAAAAATGATGTAAGTGATGAATACAAAGCACATCTGATTAAACAAACTAGCTCCTACATTTAAAAAAAAATCCAATAATTACTTTTAATATCTGCAGAAAACAATTAAAATTTATAAACAAAGTAATATTAAAAAGAAGTAACGAACTTTCAGAAAATTTTCAAAAGAAATATAATTTACACCAGAAAGAGAATACAAATAGAGACAAAATAGCTCATGAACAAATTACAGGTTTGGGAAAGTTAGACTATGATCTCCCACAGATGGAAACGTGGATGACGTGAAGACTACTGAGACAGGCGCTCATGTGAGACAAGGCCCTGGACACAGACTGCAGGCAGATGAAAGAGGCGAAGGACATCTTATAAACTGCAGAAGGCTTTATCAAGAGACTCTGACAAAGGAGCGCGATTCTGCCTCAAATGGAAGCTGCCCGATTCAGAATTTAAGAGCCCTCATTGTATGAAGCCTGATCCTGGTACATCTGGGCCTTACTATGGTTTAGAATGCCCACAGGAGAACAAGCAGGAGGCAGAAGCTAGGTCTGCAGCCAGGTCTCAGCTGCCTGGCCCATCACCCTCTCCAGCTCTTACAGGAAAAGGCGGGAGGCACCTGAGTTACAGAGACCCATTACCCACTTGTTTACAAAACATGTGTTCCTACATTAAGGCTACACACAGGGCACGATGCCTGGGTATGCTCTGTGTCTCTGCAGACAGAAGACTATTTCTGAAGTGTGCTGCTTCATGCCAATGTCCTACCTTGAGGCATGGTATGAAAAAGAGGAAAGTAACTCAGTCTCCCAGAGGCCCAGGAACAGAGTTCCACACTGACTGAGTTACCAAGTCCCAAGGCAACGTGCCTCTACTGGGTGAGAGTGCCCAGCCAATGCCAGCCACCTTTAGACAAGTCCCCTGGGCCTGCTAACCGCCCTCATCCAGCTGTGTCCCTGCATGACTCACCTTTGTCCCCTTCATTCTACCAATTCCCAGTGCAATAAACAATCACATTAGAAAAGCGTCTGTATTCCAGCCTCCTCCAGGTTCCCAGACTGGTTTACAAAATTGAAAAGCCCAGGAGCCCAACCCTTACAGCTATGGCAGTGTGTCCCAGGAGGGCACTGAGGTTCTGCCTTTGGCGGTGACGCAGATTCATAAACAGGCTCCGGCTGCATGGAAAGTCAGCTGGAGCCTCCGCGCTCACTGCCCACTGCTCATGCACTGAGAGGTCCCTGCTCTGTCTAACAGCCCTCCCTGCAGTCTGCACGGGGGAGAGGGCATGGAGTCAGAGACACAGACGAACAGAGTGACGCAGCGTGAGGCAGAGGAGCAAGTGGAAGCGTGGATGCATACGCACGTGTGGTCAGGTGAGGATGGCATGCAGCGGAGGGCATGGTGGAGGGGCATGGTGAGGAAGGGGCATCGCAGAAGGGGTCCTCCGGTCTGATCCAGTAGGCTTGGCTGTTCCGGTTACCTTTCTTGCTGGTGCAGCTGCCTGCACAGGGGAAGACGTCCTCACAGCCCTCGCCGTGCAGGCGCTCCTTCTGCAGCAGCTTGTCCACACGCTGGATGATGCACTCCAGGCTCTTGTCGACGTTCAGCCACACTTTCTCCTTCCAAACCAAAGGGGCCTGTTTGGGTCGGCTCTTTCAACGGAAAAAACAAACAGAACACAAACCGCACTGCCCTCTGCCAATCCCCCATCCTGGGACCCCCTGCTCAGATGGTTCAAAATTCTCCAATAAACTGTGTTTGCTTTTCAAAGACAAATCAATGCCCCACAGCCACTGTTTATAAAGTCTGGGAGATGTTTGCTAGTAACTGTCATGGAGGCAGACAGCCTTCCAGTGCTGCCTAAAGGGCCACAGGGCACAGGTCCCCAGTGTCATCCCCTCTTCCTGCCACTGCAGACCCACAACCATGCCAACGGACAGGATGGAGGTCTCTTTTTGATGGAAGCAAATGGAAACACCTGATCAGCTAGGATGGGAGAAGGGGAGGTATTTACAGACACCCACACAGACTACAGGGTGCCAGAGCTGGGGGACCATTTTGCTGCTGATTAATAATTCAGTGCTTCCACAACAATGCCTCTAAGTGGCAGACCCAACAAATGACAAAAACTAATGTGTCACTCCCTCAAGATCCTGCTCCCGGGACCAACTCTGGGAGGAACAATAACATGATGCAATGTCAGGGGCAGTGGCTCCAAAATCCTCACCTAGCTATCCCAGCACCTGAGCTCCCAAGTCTCCCCAGACATAAATAGCCCTGGAAGGGCTAACGGCAAACAGAGCACTGATGAAGCAGAAGAGGCTGGCTGGCCCCAAGAAGCCAGGGTCACAGGAGACGTAGGCAGGGGAGAGGAGAGACTTCTAACAGGACAAGGGCTCAGGAGGAAAACCCACCTTTTCTGTAACCATTCTGAGGCTGGCCCAGCCCTCAGCACAACCCTGTTCCCCACCTGGACACAAAGGTTTGAAAATAGTCTCCATCCCTACATCAGGGGCCCAAAAGCTGCCTGGGAAGGAAACTTAGGCACCTCAGAGGGGAAGAGACTGGCAAAAGGCTTCATGGTTTTCAGCCCAAGTTGGGCAGCGGCTGGCAGGCCACAGCAGCAGACTCACCCACTCCTCCTCGTGCCAGTCCACCTGCAGGGAAGAGCGGCTGTTTCTCCCAGTCCACCTGGCCATGAGGGTGTCCTGGTCATTTCTAAGCATCACCTGCTCCTCTTCTGTCGACGTGGGGGAGGCCTTGGAGGCAATGTAGTCAGGCCGTGCCGCATTCAGCCCGTGGATGGAGTTGGCCAGCAACTTGCAGTCGCAGACAGTGACCAGCTGCCGGGTCTGCAGGAACAAACCAACCAGGATTGCTGAGCCCAGGCCAGGGCCTGGGAGGCCTGCCTTCCCTCAGAGAAGGAGAACAGGCCAAGGCCCACCACCATGCCCCTGCCCTTCTCCACAGCACAAAGCAACTACAGAGCTGCATCCCTTAGGATGTCAGAGTACAGAGGCTGCCATGTGGCCCAGCTGGGCTGATTCTTAGCAGGAATTTCCCACCTAGACTAACACAGGAAGATGAAAGGTGGCTGAGAAATCTCTGACATTCTCTGACCCTGCCTGCCTTTGAGCTGCTATCACTAGGAGAAGGGCCTGAGGAGAGGGCCAATCACCCCAGCCTTGGCAGACCTGCTAGGCTGTCCTCCAACTTCCAGGAAGCAAATCTCCAGGGGTCAGGCATCACATTGGTTCAATCACTGAAGCCTTATCTTTTTGCTCCTCAGTACCTAATACCTAGTCCTGGGCTCTGGGCAGCTAGACTCCTGGCACAGCATGTCTGGTTTTGGAGAATTTCACCTGTAACCAGGTTTCTGTGCTGCATAATTTTACTGCTGATAACTATGTCTTTCTTTTCCAGTGGATCTAATCCTCACCTCTCAGTCTTTCTGCTGTGTGAACACATATGAAGGATATAACACATTCTGATCAAGAACAGCAACTCAACCCAGCAAAGTGGGGAGGTGTAATAGAATGTGCGTGTATGTGTGCATGTGCATGCTGAGAAGGAGACTGAGTAATGTGAAAAAGCACCATCCATCAAAGGGGTCTGATATATCCACTCCCTCAGTATGGACCTATATTTATATATTTTAAAAACAGGATCAAGTTATGGTTAATTAGAAGCTGGTTTACTACATAAGCCAATAAAAGTATATTGTTCTTATCTTATGTGTGTATAATAGCTCAGTTTCATTTTCCGTATTCAAGTGCAATAGACATGAGGTAAAACAAAAAGCAATTTTCTATTAAGAAAGTTGTGGAACTGTATCAGCCCCAATAAAGCAAGCCCCATGGACTTGCTGGAAGACACATCTGCATCAAGCAGCACCTAAGAGTCATAAGCCCTGGGACTTGTCCCTGGCCTGTGCAGTTCTGTAGACACAGGCAAATCACCAAGCCTCCCTGAGCCTTTGTGGGAAATGGACCTTCAAGGTCATCGCAATGTCACTCTCTTTGTGGACAGCTCTAGGCACACCTGGGCTGCCCTGTGGTGTCCAGTGGCTTCCAGAAACCCAAGGGAACCCCCCAGCCCACATGCAGCAGGGCAGCCCCTCCTACCTTATCTGCCAAGATGGCAAGCGTCCTCTCAAGGCCAGTGGCAGACCTATCCTTGGCTGCCCTTGAGAGCCGCTCTGCGTAGTAACTAACTTGGGTTTTCAGGGTGTTGATCTGGGCGATGATCTCCTTGGCTCTGACAACGTCCTGTGGTATGTAGATTATGGACTGGCAGCTAGATGATGTACTAAAAAGGATAAGAATAGATTCTAAGGAGTTTTCTTGAATCTGATGAGGATGACAGCATCATCCCAACCCCAACTATAACTAACCCTAAGATAAAGCACTCAGGGATGTTTTCCTAGCCTCAGGGTTGTCTAGTTATTGATGGGCAAGAGTAAATCTTAGGAGATCCTTTTGGTCTATATGGGAAAAGCTTGAAATATTAAAAAATGTCTAAGTCTTTCATCTATATTTATATGTATCTGTAGTTTCACCATGCATATGTGAATGTGTGCAGATACTGAACAACTGAACCCAGTAATTATCCTAGTGCTCATAATCTTTCTCCTCCAAACCTCATCTGTTAACTTATAAGCAGCAGTTAAGTAGAGACATGGGGTCTGCTTATACCAGAGGGTTCAGGTTGACACAGTGAAGGGAAAGACTGTAGTGGATCATAGACTTTGCCCCCCCAAACCAAAGCCTGTTTTTTCATTTGGTCAATCAGACGTCAAGCTTTCTGTGAAGACACCCACAGTTCTCCTCCCTCACATGTGTGACCCCAGCAAATCCCCAGGAAATTGGGGTTCCTTTCCCTCTCTCTTGCTCCCAGACTCCCCTACTTTGAAAAATAACATTCCATCAGACAAAGTGGAAGTGGAAAACATGTTAAGACAACACTTCGCTGGGTTTGACATCCTGGTTCTTCCTCCTTCCCCTCTTCTCAGCACCAAACAGCGTGTGTCATTTAGGAATATGATATCAAAGCTACGGCCCAGACACTGCCCACAATCTAGAGCCTCTAAAGGACCAACTCCACGTCCCTGGGCTGTGTGGGGCCTGGCCAGCATGTTTGGTACTCCTAAATGGTGATGATGAATTGCATGCCTTTTAACTTGGATCCCTATTAATCTGATATTATACATTTATTTTTCAGACCATCTGACTAAGCCAAAGACAGCAGCAAGGAGAAGTACAAACCACCAATTCAGAGGTCTCCTCCCAAAATTTGAAGTTGTGAGCTCTGAGTAGAGTGGATATCCCTTTGATCATTGAATGAGAAGCCCTGATGGGTCCCTCAAAGGGCCACCCTTTGAGTTCTGGGGAAGAGGAAGAAGGTGGAGGAGAGAGGGTGCCTCTCACCACACCCTCCATCGCTTCTCCTGGAGATGAGGGTCACTCGGTCAGGGATGAAAACCTTCCCCACTGGACCCTTTCCAGGGAAACCTAAAAGTGGGTCATCAAGAAACTGCTGCTGCCCCTTCCCTTGCTAGACTATGGGGCAAACATGCAAAAACCAAAAACCAAAGCACCCCAGAAAGAAACACCACCACCACCACCACAAGCCCATACACCACAATAAAAACGATGGATTTGCCAGAAGCCCATGCAGCAGACCACAACCAAGCCTGCGTGGTACCACGAGAGTCATTCCACAGTGCAATGTGCACACAACTACTTTCCAATCTGCAATCACTCTTCCAAATGAATAGCTGCCATTTAAGACAATTTAGTTTTTAAAATATAATTCTAGGATTTTTAAGAATATATTCTTCCCAGGCCCCCAAAATTTAGAATAGGTATGTAGTATGTGCTGTATATAGATTTACTTCTGTGTATGTAGGTGGTTGTGTACACTTCAACAAATACATACCCTCCCTTGAGGCCAAAATAAAAACATCACCCTCTATTCACCAGTGTTCTTACAAGTCATGTTCTAATAATAGTACCTGGGAATCATGCATAAGGCATATATGGCAGGGGCAAGAAAGGGCAAATTTTAAACAGCTGTTATCTGGGGATGATCAGGAATATACAAACACATGTGCTCAACTACCTAGTTCTAAAAACGAGGTAGCCATATGAAGGAGGAGGGATGGGGGGGTGTAGACATCTTGCTGCTTCACATGCACTCCCAGGAGTCTTAACTCCAGGGAAGGGAGGCTCCTAGTCCCACTACCTATGCTTCCACCTCTTCTGGCAAACACCTGGGCCAGCCCCAGGAGGCAGTGTCCTAGATATAGCCCTTCAACCTTGCATTAGGCCACTACCCCAGAGCCCAGCCTGACTCAGACCTACCCAGACCTGGGGTCATGGGCTAAACTGAAGATGCCACATGAGCATAAGAGTGAGTCTTGTGGTGCTGGCCAGGGATAGCTAGTAGCTGATGAGCAGCTGTCACTCTGGACATCAGAAGTAGAGCAGGATTGCCCATGCAAAGTCTGAGCACCCACGGAGCTCATCACTCCTTTCCCCCCTTACATCCCTCACCTCTCTCAGGGGTATCTTATATATCGTAGGAGGGTGCAGAGGGTAGGAGTAACCAGGCCCAGGTTGGGCTGTGGAAGGTCCTTAGAGAGAACCTGAGGAAGGTTAGTTCATCAGGAACTTTCCAGACAAAGTTCAACCAAAACCACCTGGGTTGAGACTTACTAAGAGGCAGGCCTTGGGGACAGCTGGGCCTTTGGCTCTCCCTGTCTCACTGCCCACTACTGCAGCTCCCAGGCCCTACCTCTAAGTATTTGTTTTGTTATGGGAAAAGGGGGGCCTTCACAGAGGCCCTGGTAGAGAAAAGGTGGGGAGGGGTGCCTGAGGGGGCCACTTCCATAGACATGGCTGTGGGTTTCCCCCTCCCAGAGACAGGAGCAGCAGTGACCCTCCCCAGACACCCTCCACCCTCCCTTATACCTAAAATACCCCCAGAAGGAAGGGCCCCGTCAGGGGAGAGTTGGAGGCCTCAGCTTGGGTGTTTCAGGGGTATCCACAAGACTTCCTGCTGTCAGATGCTCACGGCAGAGCCCTGACACCTCTGGCAGGACCCAGCTCTAGCCCCAGAACCTCACTGGTCACTGGCAGCAGCATTTCTCAAAGGGCTGCAGGTGTCTCTGAATGAAGTACCAACGCAGAACCCCTGTTTGGGGACTGGGGCAGCAGTAGGGACCCTGAGGCAACAGAAACAGTGGTTTCTAACTGCTATCTAATTCTCTGGTGGAAACAATCACCCAGTTGTATTAGTTTTTGGTTTGCAACCTCCACCCCCCCACCACCAACCCAGGGATAAAACTGACCCTGGTTTAAAAATGTTTTAAAAATCTGCATAAATTATTAAGCATGAAAATGTAGGCTGGCTTCATTCATCCAAGAGGTAATGGTAAAGTGAAAACTGAAAAGCCTCAAGACTCTTGTAGAAGACAGAAAGGGATTCCCAACCACAGCACCTGGGGGCTTCCTGAGCCAGGTCTTCCTCTTCCTGGGAGAAACTGAGTCCTTTCTCAGAGTGAGCAAAGCAACAAACTGCTGCCCAGTTTTAAAGACAAAACAGCAGACTGGAGACAGGCTATTCATTATTAAAGAACATTGCAGTTGGAAGGGAGAACTCTGTCTCCAAGGTGTATGACTGGAGCCCTTGGTGGGCCCATGGGTGACACCTGCACGGGCGGGGCTGGGAACAGCACAGGCTTCTCTGCGTGAGAGCAAGACCCAAACAGACACTCGCTCCACAGACAGAAAACTCACCAACACTCCTCAAAACTGCTAAAGAAAAAAACCAAAATGAAATATTAGCAGTTTGTTAGCAAATACCAAATGCAACCCAAAAAACTAAAAAGCTATTATTTTTTTTGTCAAAATACTTAAAATTATTTGTGGCGGCCCCAACACAGGAGGATCACACTCAAGAGTCCAATGTACGTGTTCATTAGAGCAGCCTCACTGCCTGTGCTCAAGCCCCAGGCAGACATCCCACCAGGGGGCAAGTGAGCTCTGCATTTAAAGGAAAGTTCAAATATGAAAACCATACCTGTAAGTGGTTTGATGACATGAGTAGAAAATTAAAGTTTATATCATATACTTGAAAGACGCTAAAGAGGTATTTGGGGAAATAAGTTCTGAAATAAACATGCAGAGTTATCAGGTATCGACACCCCAACCTTACTGGGACAAAGCCAGCCAAGCAGCTATTCTCTTGGTTGGCCACACAGAATTAAAGGGCTTTCTCCATCACGGCACTGCTCCATCTCACACCACACGCTCACAATCTCCACACGGCAACATGCAGCAGAGCGACAGACACACGCTTTGTGACTGGCTGTGCAGAGCTGCAGCAGGCACAGGAAGCTTCGTCGTCTTCACAGTTCCCTAAGGATTACTGGAGTCAGGTTCTGCTAAGGGGGTTTGTCTGCACTTGGAAGCACCCTTGGTGGGGAAGAATCAAGGTCAAGGAGGCTGGCTGGGGGCCTCCCAGGAAAATGCTGGAATCCCCCTTCCTAACCACAGCCCTGCCCAGTTTATCTTCCTTCCATCTCTCCAGGATTTGCTGGGCTCCAGGCTGGCCTAGGGTGGCCTGTACACACATCTGAATAGTGACTTCTCAGGGTGAATTCTTCTCTGCTCCCTGCTCAGCCATCTGGCTTTGCCCATTGTCTGTGATCCTCCTAGCTGCATCCCTGACCCCTCAGCAACTAATCAGCCACGAACCTGACCTCTCACTCAACCCCGATCCAATCCATGGTCAGTTTTCTCAAGTAGTTAGTTTCCTGACTCCCAGCCACAGCGGCACCAACTCAGGCTCCACCATGACTGCTGGAGCTCTCCACTGATCATCCGCAGGATGATCTTGGCACTCCCTGGGCCTTTGCTCACCTTCCCTTAAGCCATTCCATTCTCAGTTGGTAAGTCCCACCCTCTCCACCCACATTCTGCAGAGGCCATCAGTCAACACCTCTGCTTGTCCCTTCCCACCTTAAAAATCTTTCTGCAACTTCACCTTCTTCTCTCATCCCTTCTGGGTGAACTCCCTGGTCCTGCCTCTTTCCATCCTCTTAGAATCCTGCTTCACCAATGTCCTCTTCTTATTCAACCCACTCACCCACTTTTATCTTTCCTATCAGCCTAGACACATGCTCAAGTCATAATTACTCTCCCCAAACCTGAGACCTCTACTTTGTGGTCTGTCCCAGAACCTTACAGGATCATCTATACTCATCATCTCCACTTCATTTAAGTCTTGATAGGTGACATTCTGTGCCTCCTGCACATCTAAAACAGCTTAGGGTTATGGCTCTCTCCCTGCTGCCCCTGGGGCTGGGCTAGTGCCCCACTCCATGCTTCCCAGCACCGTCTGTGCACATGTTTCAGGCCCTGCTCACCCAAATGGTGCTTGCTGACTTGTCTGCTCCCAGGACACACCTAGATCTGGCAGCCCTGCATCCCTGGCCACCAGTGCAGGACCCAGCACAGAGCGGGCTGGCAGCAAGGCCAGCTCTCCACCTTAGCTCTCTCCTCTGGCACTGTGCATCTGGCCACACCTCACCGCATGTGCTGCTTCTGCCATGTCTTTCTGCCTTGTTCTTGTCTGAAACACCCGTCCCCACTCTGCCGGTCTGGCAGTTTCCTTCTGAGGATGGTAGCTCCGTGTACCCAACTGGATCTTTTAAAAACCAAGAATGTTTATCGCTGCTATCCTTTAGGAAAGAAAACAAAGTGCTTCAGGCTTTATGCTTGTGGAGTGCAAATGACTGACCAGGGGACTCTAAAGGACAATGAGCCAGCAGAGAGTCCACACAGGGTGGCTGCCTGGAGCACCACCTCAAGGTGAACCACAATTTGCTGTTCAGTTTGCAGAAATGGGACCATGAATCCAGTGCCCTCATCACCCACAAAGCTCAGTCACACACACGCACACACACACACACAGCAACACAGGTCCACAGGCAGCTCCTCCAGCCACGCAAAAGCAGATCAGATGGCTAGATGTTTTTGCAGTCATATTCTGATTTTTTTTTTTTAAACTAGGAAGCAACAGATAGCTGTACAAGGACCACAAACTCCCTCTGGCTACTTACTGTTTCTTGGTCTCTTCAAATTTGTGCAGCTTTTTGCGGAGACCTCCTGACTTAAAACCTTGGCAGTGTGCTGCTGGCGCCCCGATGGTGACGACGTCGTAGTTCTGATCTGAATGACAGAAAGCTCTCCTCCGTTACTCTGGGCTCAGGCCTGTGGACAAGCCAGCTATAGGGATATGCACACAAGTCTTGGATCTTGTCCCTCCAGCCCATCTCCAAGAAGATTTTGGTTCCCTTAATCCCACAGCTTGGGCTGTCCAAGGGCCTGTTGGAGCCCAGCACCATCATCTCAGCAAAGAGGGGTCTGTCTCCAGGTGGAGCCACACGGGGCTGCAGGAAAATACCTGACAATAACAGAGACCTTTCAAAGGTCCTGGTGATGAGTCTCTTCTCCAAGCCACCCAGAACATACAGGGAAGCTGGGGTGGGTGTAGGGCACTCAGGGACCAAATACCCAGGGAGAAAAGAATTGAAATGTGATTCAACAAGAGGGGCAGAAAAATAGGTACCTGATCCTCCATCATCTTGAACTCTCATCCTTTGTATGTGTAGGTTTGTAGGAACAAATTCTAACTTTTTATCTGCTTTCAAACTGCTTGCTTTAAACGAGGGACCTAAGAAGTAGAACATGAGAAAACAAAGATCATCAACATGTGTCCTGCATTCCTGAGTAGGAAGCAGAAAAATGGTATTCAGAGGATGCTGCTACATGTGAGTAGCTATGTGTTGGCAGTAGCCTAGAAAATTCTGAGTTGCCCAAGAGCACATTTCATTTGCAGATGGAGGGTGGGGGAGACATTGATAGGAGGGCAGCCTGCTGGCTGGTTCCGGGTGCTTAGGTGGCGAATAGAGCCAGGGAGAGCCAGCTTCAGAAGGCTGTGGTAATGATGCCGGGCCTTCCATGACTCAGCTCTCAGTTGAGATCTGACACAAAGATGTGATTTTGTGCAGCACGATGTCAGCACTACTGACTATAAAAAGCAAAGGGGTCCATGCCAGAGAATGCCTGTTCCAAACCTAGGGGTGGCCATCATCCAAGATCAAAGAAACTGCTTTGGCTAGACCAACATCTCTCAGTTCCGAAAAGCGATGAGAAGCTTTGCTGATGAACCCAGGTCCATCAAGATGAAGAAGTGCAAAACAGCCCTCTGGAACACAAACTTAAACATGTTCCCTTGTTTACGCTTGTTTGGTTAAGGAGGTCGGACAATGTTTTGTAACAAGTACCCACAATCTTATTTCTATAATCAAAATCCATAGCTAATTAAGTGGAGAAACGCATGCCTGCAAAACAAAGATATTACAAATTGAAGTGACAATCAGAAGAGTAGAAGAAATAAATATTCCGTCTTGTGAAAAAAAAATAAATTTATATTGCTAGCATATGAACCACAGACAAGCAGTGTGTGTTGTGCATCTTGCTCTCTAGAGGCTGATACTTAAGGTGTGGTCCACAGAGCAGCATGGGCACCCAAGAGGCTGTTCAAAATGCAGAATCCCAGACCTATGTTTCAACAAAATCCTTTAGGGATTTAGATGCGCACTGACATTTGAGATGCTCTGCTCTAGGACTCAAGGTTGTGTGGGCTTTGACATTCCTGGGTAACAGACATTCTGGCACAGAGAGGTCCCTTGGCTCCTTCAGGCAAAAGCTGCCACTTCTCTTAATGATGTGCTCTTCACACTCAAACCAACCCTAGGCAACACCACTTTGTCAGTCCTGCATTTGGCTTCTCATCCAAGCTCATATGTTCTATGTCAAAACCATATTAAGGGGCTACGATTTTCCTTAAACCCTGAAATTCCATTATATAGAAAGAAGAATCTGAAGACGGGATAATTTGAAATGCTAAAGTAATATATAAAGTAATGAAAAACCAAAAAAATTAATTCCATTTGTATTAAAAGAGGAACCAGTCAAGAACAGTCTTCCAAATCTATCTAAGACTGTTTTGTAAATCAAATGGCACCTTTCAAGGAGACGATGCGAGGTGTTTGCACTTCACTTGCTGTTTTGAGCCTTAAAATGGAGAGTTCCACCCTAACAATTTACATATTCAATAAAAGTACCACTAACTATTTAAACCAGAAAATCTAGAAAGCGTCCTATATCCTTTTGGTCACTTCACTTCACTGATATTAGCCCAAGATGAAGAAATAACACAAACCAGAAATAGCCTGGTGATTTTGTCTCCCCTAAATTTCATTCTACAGTGCCTGTTTTGGCAGATGACACCACAGGAGGACTTTTCACTGCAATTCACAGATTTGTCTTTTTAATTAAGGTCTGAAAAACCCATATTTGAAAGAATTCACACCTACATGAGAAGCTATTTTTAAAAATCCATTAAGGTGCCTGTCAGTGGGAGTATGTAAGCCACTGTGGGTTCCAGACCTCTGGCCGGGAAAACGGAGTGTGGGGTGTCCTGTGACTGGACGGGACCGCACCCACCTTTGTACTGATGGAGGTCAGTCAGGTTCTCCTGGTACGTGAGGATGATGGTCTGGTACTGGGTGACGATTTGGCGCCGGAGGCTCTCCCAACAAGGGGACAGCTCCCCCAGCTCCTCCAGCTCACACACTCTGTAAGCAAGGCACATACACATCAGGCTGTGGGGCTAGCTCACTTTCCTGGGGAGCCCCAAGAGCCCTACCTGAGAAAACAAAATGTACATGGACATATCGTTGATGCCCAGGGCAGGCCGGGACAATGGTTACACTGCCAGTTCTAAAGGGCAACTGGGTGGGGGTGAGGACAGACAGCTTACATGACAGGCAGACCACTGACCACATGGGGGAGTGTGTGGAGAAGCTTTTTACAGAAATTCAGTTGAGTGTTAAGGGAAATGGAGTAGAGATGGGAGGAAAGAAGCTGTCAGTGAGTGGCTCCACCATGGTGCCCTGGTGACCCTGCAGGTACCTGCTCAGGCATAGGCTGGAACCGCAGCCTTCCCAGGTTCTGATGAGGTGTAGACTTCTGCCTGCCCCCATGAGAACAGAGCTGCAGAACATAAAACCTCTTGGCTACAGCCTAGAGCTGGCTCCTCAGCTCATGCTGTAGTCATTGGCCACTTTTGTCTCAGCATTGTCCTTTTTGGGTATAGGACAAGGACTATGAGAGCTGGTGCCTTTGGCTATTCTTCCTTCCAATGCCTATGTAAGTAAGGAGCTGCCTGAATCTAAAAGAAGCCTACTGTGTCATTTCTGGTCAAATCAGACAGGCCTGGCCTTGGCCATGTCCTATATGTGTGTGCTTGACAGAGGCAGGGCAGGGGGTAGGAGGAAGAAGAGAAGAACAAAGAGGAATTGCTATCTTCAGAAAAATAAAAGCTGTACAAGAACTGAAATATAAACTCCTTAAGCTTAGCAATGAATAATAGCTCCATAATCATAATAGAAAAAACACAAAACAGATTAAAAAAGAAAAAAGGATAACTATACCAGGAAAATGAGGACTGGAAAAGTACAAAAGGCCTAAAATCCCCATCACAGGAAATCAGTAGCTAATACTTGAAACTGATTAATAAAGAAAATATGTATATATTTAGAAATATAGCAGTAAACACTAAATCCACTAAAAAGTGATTGTTTCTGGGAAGTAGTTCAGGAAGGAGAGGGCCCTAAGAGTTATATTTTTAAAAACCTTTCAACACTATTTGGCTTTATATACTATGCATATGCTTTCCTTTGAGAAAAAAAAACAAAACAAATTTCATAAAACTTCTTGGGAATCTACTAAACTGCCTAAAGTTTAAAAAAAAATAAAGTTGTGCTATTTTATTATTATTAAAATAGCAAAATTAATGTAAAAGAACACCCAGCGCAGGCAGGGCTATGGAGAAGCCGAGGCCCTGTCTACTGCTAGCCTCCAACCCGCTGGCCTCAGACTGCCCCTGAGCGCAGGAGCTCGGGCTGCCTCATGGCTGCTGGCTCCTCTCTCTGGAATGTCTTTGCCCTGTGTTTCATGAAGCTCTTCTTATGCCTCTGTGTCAGCATAATGTCACCATCTCACAGAGGCCTGCCTGCTCGATCACCTTGTTTCTTCTTGCAGCTCCCTTTTAATTTCCAGCAAAGGCTGACACATCTGGAGCTCCCGTATGGCTCCCAGCTCTGCGTCTGACCACCTCCCACAGTCTGTCGAGCTCACCAAGAAGCCTCCCACACTGAACACAGTGCCTGACACGTGGTTGCAGCTATAAACAAAAAAACCCTGAACTAAAGCACTTGTTAAACGGATGTATTCTTTAAAGTTGTAATATACCACATCATGGAAAATTGTGCCATCATTAAAAATTAAAACATGAAAGGTGAAGATATATGTAAAAGGCGACTGTCACTATGTAAATATATATAAATAAGGCAAAGCTAGAATGAAAAAATTTAAATAGCTCTGTATGCATATGTAGAGATAAAGCAATTAGCAAGATATTAAGAATTGGTAAATTTAGGTGAAAGGAATTTGGGCACTCATTGTATTATTCTTACCATTTATAATTTTTAATTTTTTTCAAGATAAAAAATTAAAACAAAATAACTGTATTAAAACAGTAGGATTCTGGCTGCCTTGTTTTCCTTCAAGCCTCTGTTGTGCTTATAATTAACATCTTTTTAGAATAAGAAGTAGAAATGACAGTCTGAGACTGCTATGGTTTCAATGTGTCCCCTAAGGTTCACGTGTTGGAAACTTCATCCCCAATGTAACAAGTGTTGTGAGATGGAACTTTTAACACGTGATTAGGTCATGAGGGTTTTGCCCTCATGGAATAATGCCGTTATCTCAGCAGTGGGTTGGTTATTGCAGGAGTAGGTTTATTATAAAAGTGAGTTCAGCCCCCTCTCACAAGTTCTCTCGACATGCTATGCCTTCTGCCATGGGATGACACAGCACAAAGGCCTTTGCCAGATGCCAGCACCATGCTCTTGGACTTACCAGCCTCCAGAACCATGAGCCAAATTAATTTCTGTTCATTATAAATTACCCAGTTTCTGGTATTCTATTATAGCAGCATAAAATGGACTAAGACAGAGACAGACAGGAGACATAATCTGCAAGGCCTGAACCACCTGTCAGGCATCTCCCTGCCTTAGCACTAATAAAATATGCCCTGAGATGAGAGATGCAGAGGGGTTGAGACCCTTGCTTCATGGGACCAGAGTGCCGTATGGGTCATACTCAGTCTTCTGGAGCCCTCATCTTTGTGGTCCTAACCTAGGAATCCACTGATCCAAGCAGCTATGCCCAAAGAATAACTGCCATTTCTAACTTTCTGAAGGATGAACAAGAGGGGAAAGAAAAGGGGAAGGGAAGGGAAGAGGTGCTGAGTGCTGGGCAAACATCTGGGGCTTCAAACATTCTGTCTTATGAACTCCTTGCATAGGAATCTGTTATACAGATGAGCAAGCTGAGGCTCTGGCTAGCCAAGGCCACAAAGCTGACAAGGGGCAGAGGCTGGGTTTGTAGTTCAGCCCATCTAATGCTGGTGCTCTGCCCACCACATCTCAGACAGGAAGGGGCACATGGCATGGGTGTGATGGGTTGTCAGCCCCTCCATGTGGCCTCACCTGGCTGCATCTTCTTCCAGCAGGAGCTTCACGAACTGCCGGGGCACATGCAGGGACAGCACGCTCTCAGCCATCTGCTCCAGGATCCGCAGGTGGTTGCCATCGGTGGTTGGAAATCGGTACATGCGGCAGATGGCGCCACCAAACACTGACAGGGACAAGCAGGGGAGACAGAGGCTGTGTGAAAGTTGGCTGCAGACCTGCCTCGCGGGTCCTCCTCCCCTGGCCCTCAATGATGCTGACACCTTCAAGTCCTCTCATCTTTCATCTCAAGGGAATTAAAACACTTAAACCAAAACCCACCAAGTGACTGAGCCAGAACGTTCCTCCATTGCAACAATCTTCTCATCCCACAACATGTAACTAACTCTAAAGTGCAAGCAGCTGTGGACAGGGAGGTTATCGGTCACTAAACCCAATGCAAAACAAGAAAGAGTGAAACGAAGGAGGCACCTGGCTTCCTCGGAGTATTACTAACCCTTCCTATGCTGCAAAAAGAACAGCTCGATGACAAGCAGACAGGTGAGAATAAGGGTGCATGGCTGTGACAATCATGGGCCTGAGTGGACACTCACAAGAGTGGCAAGAGTACCAATGGAGGAAGCTGTTTACCTGACTTCAGTAAAGTGTCTTTTCGCAAGGAAGCATATTTGGATCGGATTCCCAATGCCTCGGTCAAGCTCTCATCCACGGGTAGAACCATCTAATAATGCGTACAGACAAGTACAAGAACACTGTGAGATTCGACTGGCTGCAGAGCACTCAGCAGAAATGGTGGCCTAAGTGCATCATAAAAGAACTCTTAAAATGAATATCCACTATTAACTCTACAACAAACATGCTGCCCAAGCCACAAATTAATCCACCTCCCAGTGTACTGAACATATTCCATGCATACATAATTATCTAGACACGCATATCTCCTTGGTCATTTCACCTTGTGTTTTGGTGTCCTAATGTATAAAATGAAAGCAAGGTAATAGATGATGCCAAGGAATATTTTCAGAGCTAACATTATGGGCTTATTTTGGGTAAAATGAGATATCTCTGTATTTTACAACAATGACTACTTCTCCGTGTTGGGGCTCTTAAATTAGAATTCTCCTTTGAGAGCATGAGAGTGTCTGTGTGAGAATGTGCATGGGAGGAGATGTGGGAGGGTGTGTGTTGGATAAGGGGAGATAATGGGGGAGAGGGAAAGGGTGCTGAGAAGGTGAGGTGTGTGCAGGGCACATGGATCTGGGAAAGGAGGACATTAACAAAATAACAGATGACCCAGGTCTCAAAGACCTCTTTGCTCATGCACCACATCTCTGTCTCCCCTCCCAGCTGCAATTCCTCTGGCAGGGCTCTTGCCTACTCGCTCCCACCCTTAGAGATGGCCAGTATGGTATCCAGAGTAGACGCAGGCCCCAGGGCAGCAGAGCCTGGCAGGCCAGGAGCAAGATGTGCCTGTGGAGAACTGAACATCCTGCTGGGTGGGTTGGTGGGGAGGGGGTTGGATTAAGGAGCAGGCCCTGCCCTTCACTGAGCACAGAGGCTAAGTCCACACAGACAGGTCCTCTTGCTCTTTCTAAGGGAGAGGAGGAAGGTGGCATACTGACCCTCCCATTGACAGTGTCCAGAGACCGGGTCACGGGGGCCCGCTGGTCTGACTTCTCGTCCATCTGCCAGCCGATAACAGTGATGTTACCCACACGGTCGCTCTCTGCAGACCTGCAACAAGCAACGTGCTTTGATGAGCAGTGTGGCAACTGTGCTTCTTTTCTGCTTAAATGCACAGCCCAGCCTCCCTGGATCATCGGGGATCCTGGGAGCAGCAGGGCCTGGCCAACAGGTCAGTCAGCATTTACTACATGCACAGTCTCCCTCCAGGGGACGCAGACAAGGAAACCCTGGGGCACAGAGAAGGGCTGCAACTGGGAAGGGACAAAGCACCATAGAGAAGTGTGGACGTGCCAGGTGAAGTTGGGGAGGGCTTCCGTGAAGAGGAGCCAATGCCGCTCCTGAGCTGCCACCAGCCCCTTAGCTCACCCCAGCCCAGAGGGTGATGGGGACACATCTCAGAGTCAGAACTGGAGAGCACCTTTTTCTGGCACTGGACCCCCTTCTGTTCCTTCCCACTCTACTCTCATACCTTGCTTAGCCCTAAGACCAAGGCCAATGCCTGCATGCCAAGTAAACTGAGCCCAGCCAGGGCATCCTGAAGCTCTGAATCCTGATATGATACAGCTGATACCACTCTAGACCTAGTCAGCTTTAACCCCGAGACCCCTGAGGGTAACTGACATGGGCCCACATGATTCATCCAGGGGAGTCTCAGACTTTTTATTTATGTTGTTTGACTTAGCCATGTTCTAAATTTTTATATGGTCACATGTACTGACCATTTCCATTGTGACTCTCTCATTGTTCTCATGCCTAGAAAGGTCCTTCCCCATACTATCTGTTCAATAGTCATCTTTAACTCTTTTTTTTTTTTTTTTACAAATAATGAGGTCCCTTTCTCACATTTAACTCTAACCTAACTAGAATCTAATTCTGGCATATGATGTACTTAAATATTTTTCTCCAACATCCCCTTTCCTCACACAATCCCTCTTATTTTACCCTAAGAGTCTTCCTTTTTCCTGAATCAAGTTCTCCATACATGATAAGGACTGCCACAGGGCTCTTGTCCTGTCCATTGATTGGACAGCCAATGCATACAACACTGTCATTACTTACAGCAGTTTCAGGATGTTTTGCTATTGAAGGGACTTAATCTTGTCAAATTTTCTTTGTTGGTGTTTTTTTTTGTTGAAGACAGGGTCTTACTCTGTCACCCAGGCTGGAGCAAACCTGTGCAGTCATTGCCCACTGCAGCCTCAAACTCCTGAGCTCAGGTAATTCTCTTGCCTCACCCTCCCAAGTAACTGGGACTACATGCCTGGCTAATTTAAAATTTTTGGTAGAGACAAGGCCTCGATATGTTGCCCAGGCTGGTCTCAAACTCCTGGGCTCAAGTGATCCTCCCTCCTTGGCCTCCCAAAGTGCTGGGATTACAGGCATGAACCACCATGCCAGGCTGCCTTTGCTATTTTGGACTCATCTCCATTTTTTACATTATTTTGAAAAAAAGAACATCATGTCAGGAGCTTTGCTGGAAATTTCCCCTTCCAAAATGAATTTGGAAGTGTTGACATCTTGGCATCTTTCATCTTCCCAGCCAGGGACAGAGTGTGTGTGTGTGTGGGTTCCCTTTCTTTCATTCATTCTGTCAACAAATATTTATTGAGCACTAGGCACTGTTCTTGGTCCTTGGGATACAGGAACGAAGAACAGCAGACAAAAATCCCTGCTGTCTGGGAGACTACCTTCTATTGGGAGGGAACAGGTAACAGGCAAACACATTTAGTACTATTAGATATCTAGGCTTTCCTTTAGGTCTGACCATAGCTGTGCTCCTACCTCCTACAAATGCCACAAATTTCCATTTCCTGATAGGTCCTCTGATAGGCTGAGTTTAATTCCTTTGCTTCAACAGACAGCTACATCCCCAGATAAACTGGCCTCTGGTGGGAGGTAGGGTGTGCTCTCAGCATAGGAAACAGGGCCTCTCCCCATCTGTCCCCGGACCCCATAATTCTAGATCATTTCAAAACAATAAAATTAAATACCAACCTTAGTGTTAAATGTAACCTATGATGCCTGTCCTGGAGCAGATCTTTGACAATGAATGTTCCAGAGCCCAGTAAATACATCTGAGGAAGAGAAGGGAAGAGAGACTGCATCAGTGTGCTGGCTTTACCTCAGATTCAATTACCATGGCCCCAGGGAGTCCGGCTGGCTAGCTCCCACAACACATCTTACCCTCATGTCAGCAGCCAATAGAGATGCTCAGAAATTCCCAAAGACAAATATGTTTAGACATGAGTTAATTTGTGAGCCAGTAGCGTAGTCAATCTGTGTTCGCTTCTCACTCAAACGATTACATAATTTTAAAAAAGGAAAAAAAAATCCCACAAACCACACGTTACTTAACTGTTCCCTGAGATCTATCTTTGACATCATATACAGATAGTTTGATTTGTGTCATCTGATTGATAAGAGAGTCTTGAAAGAAGGCAATACTGCTTAGAAATATAGGATTGTTGGTTCCCTAGAACAGAAAAGGAAATCATTAGCATATGGAATGGGATTTTTTAAAGTACTTGCTTTTGAAATACGCCAACATTTTTAGAATAAGAAACTAACATTCTTACAGACTTGAATGCTAATGGTAGCTTAAATGAATGCATACATCCAAAAAACTGCTTTCTAAAAGAGGAAAAAGTAGTCTGACATAGACCATTACTGATCCAGATACAACAGGCCCATTGCACAAGCTGTGCCTGAGGGCTTGTTTCTAAGGGTTTCACACTCAGTAGGAGAAATTTTCTAAAATTGAAATGAGGTGAATGTCCATATGCATTCTTAGTTTACAACTTAAGGTGTGTTACATATTTGGACCTACTACTTGGGTTGTCCCTTTTGATAAACAGGCAGATAAAAGAGGAAATCAATGGCTTAAGTGGCTTATTATATATTTCTAGAAGCCTGTGTTTGGAATAATTAAAGCCTGACTTTTTTAAAGCTATGCTTTTTGTAGGGCCAGCTGCTAGTTTCTAGGTGGCTATTTCCTGGCAGCTTAGCCCTGCCCCCAAAGTCCCATAATACCATATTCTCTTTCTCAGGCAATGGTTAACTATCTCAGCCAAACTGTTCATGGTTTCTGTTGTAGCTGCTGTGATGTCCATGCCTCTGGCCACTTACTCTCTCTGCAGCTCTGGGTGGAATCTGTCAGAGCTGCTGGAGAGCCCCTCCTGGGTGGCCTGCAGAAGTTTCAACCCATTTCAAACTCACCCTTGAACTGCCCTTGGTTAAGGCCAACTCTGACTCTCTTTCCTAGCAGACCCCCTGGGCATCTGCTTTGGTGCCTTCTTTTCTGTCATTCTCTGTACCCAGTGTCTGTGAATCCCTCCTGCAAGTTCTATTTCCAGAGCCTCTCTCATGTGCATTTTTCTTGCCTCCCTCCCATTGCCAAAGACAGGTCTTGCATCATTTCCCCAAACAACTGTCTGAGTTAGGACATCAGGTCAGGTGACACCCCCTGCACACAAGCCTACAAGAGCATGCTACCTGCTGCTGTGTTACAAACTCCCTGGCCTGGCCTTCAAGGTATCCCATCCTTGCACTTCTACTTGGGCCTTTCACACATACTGAACAGGATACTGTTAGGCCCCAAATCTGCAAGCTGCTTTCTTATCATCATACCTTTGCAAAACTACCCAGAACTTTGGCATGCCCTTCAACATGTAGTCCCCAGACTGGCCACACGGGCACCACCTGGGAGCTTGTGGGAAATGCAGTCTTGGGCCTCACCCCAGACCTACTGAAGCAGCACTTCATGAAGCCCCACCCTAGGAAGGCTGCTCTGACCCTCAGAGCTGGATGGGACCCTCGCCTCCTCTGTGCTCTGACACTTCCCACACTCTGCTGTGTACAGGACCAGCCACATTCTTTTCTGCCCTCTCACCCACAGGCTGAGAGACTCCTCAGGGCAGAAACTGGGCCCCAGTGTTCTCTGCACCATCCGCAGTGCCCATCACTGTGCCAGATGTGTAGGCAGTGCTCAACAAACGCTAGGAAACAGAACTGTTGTCTTGAACTTGGACAAGTTTCCAAGAGACTGAAAGAGTGGGCTAGTTTCTAAACTGCACAACTGAGGAAGAAGGGAAAATGCAGTTTAAGTTTGTTTGATAATTCTTCATATTACAAATAAAACCCTGCAGAATCTCATGCTAGTAACTCCTACACTTAGTGTCACAACTTATGTAATATGCTCAATTATCTAAGAGGATTTTTATAAAATTCCCTTGGTGAATGTGTATCATTTAATATAAGGAGTTGAACACATACCATAAAACTGAAAGAGCTGTAAAAACAAAAACCAACAAAAACGGGGTATGTCTGGGCAAGAGGGTTGGTTAATACTTAACATTCTTCCAAGCATTGATTAATAAGCACAACTCACCAAAAGTAGCAGCCAATTGGAGACGACAAAGAAGACTTAGGTCTTATTTCTCAAAAGGCAATCAACCTTATAGGATCATTGTTCAAAAATAACCAGCCAATAGGTATTAAGAGTTAAAAAGGATATGGCAAATACAAATGCCACCCACATGAGTGTGATGGAAAATATCAATGTATTGAAAACCGCATGAGGAAATAGCAACAACTCACATAAATATAACTGCAGCTACAGGTGCTCAGGTAACTGAACAGACCTCTCACCAGGGCTAGAAATACCACTTGAGCCTATCTCAAGGATCCCTCTGAGGAGAGAGACCAGCCACACCCACCTCAATGATCTCCGTCTGCGCATGCTTCGTCCAGAATGCCTGAGGAGGGGTGGTTACACTCACTGCCACAAAACTATTTGGTTTTCGATCTAGCGATGGAGTGTGCAGCTCACTGCAAGCTATAGATAGAACCAAGAAGGGAAAGAAATGAATCTTTAAAACCAGTTCCTGTTAGTTCTCTGTTCCAAATACACCCAAAGAAAGTACAAAGAGTAAATGACATTCTAAGGGATGAGATCATCACATTGTCAGTTGTCACAGGGAGGTGGTTTTTAAAATTGAAACAAATCTCTTCTCACTCCTCCTCCCATCTACCACCCTCCCTGACAGCAATGCCATAACTGCAATGGAAGGCTGCACTGAAGGGGACTTTCTGTGTCCATGGAGTGGAACACAAAGCCAATAATATCATTTGGGGTCTGACCCCTCAAGTTTGACCTCAATAACAAACTAAACTCTAACCAACTGAGCTAAGGAGCCACAGGATCTATGAAATTTAAGACAAGCTGCATATGCCTGCATCCTATGACTGCTTTGGCTAACTCTAAACTTATGGTGCCCCATGTATCTTGGTGTGCAGATAGATGCATGCTAGAAGAAAATTAAAATTTTATAGCAAATAAACAAAGTCTTTTAAAAATTTACTTGTTACTTTTAGAGGCTGAGTCTCACTCTGTCACTCAGGCTGGAGAAGTGTACCAATGCAATCATATAGCTCACTGTAGCCTCCAACTTCTGGGCTACAAGCGATTCTCCTGACTCAGCCTCCTAGGTAGCTGGGACTACAGGCATGCACCACCATGCCCCGCTAATTTTTTTTTTTGTAGAGACATGATCTCGCTATGTTGCCCAGGCTGGTCTTGAATTCCTGGGCTCAAATGATCCTCCTGCCTCATCCTCCCAAAGTGTTGGGAATTACAGGAATGAGCCACTGCAATCGGCCTAATGCTTTTATAAAAAAGTCATTAGTCATTTATTCTCCTAACTCATATTAAACACAAGATTATTAAAATTATTACTTTTCAGAATTAAAGTACCTTGTAGGACCATTTCAGTTAGAAAAATGTATTAGACTAAGTATTTTGAAATAGATTACAAGACTCAGATAATTCTATCACAGAAGTGACTCACAGGAAAAAATGGTCATATTTCATTGACTGTAACATGCATGAAAGGAAAAAAAAGCCCATTGCTATTAAACTAGGATATGCCACCAATTGTAAGACGTTTCCTCATTAAAGAGAGATTAAAATGTGATAACAAAGGACAACTTGGAATTGATGAAATATATGGTAAATCTAAGTTCAACACTAATAAAAATATTTAGCTTTTTCAGTGGGATTAATTTAAAAACAGAATGTTCAGTTTCTCCCTTTTAAATTAAGAATAAAGAACATTAGAATTTATTAACTCTATTTAGGTCTACCATGATGAAAAAAGTTATAGAGATAGATGGTGGTGTTGGTAGTACAACAATGTGGATAAACAGTCATGTGCCACATAATGATGTTTTGGTCAATAATGGACTACATATTTGATGATAGTCACATAAGATTATAACAGAGCTGAAAAATTCCTATTGCCTAGTGACATCATAGCAATCCATTACCTTTTCCGTGTTAAGATACACAGATACCTAACCATTATGTTACAGCTGCTACAGTACTCAGTATAGTAACATGCTGTACAGGTTAGAAGTTTAGGACTAATGGGCTACACCATACAGCCTAGGTGTATAGCAGGCTGTACCATCTAGGTTCGTGTAAGTACACTCTGTGATTTTTGCACAAGGAAATCACCTAACGATACATTTCTCAGATGTATCTCTGTGGTTAAGCAACATGTGACTGTACATAATGCCGCAGAATAAATTTTATACCATGTATATTTTATCTTGATTTAAAAATAAACATAGAAAAAACAAAAAGTTATTAACTACAATTAAAAAATACATTTTGTATCCATAACAGGTGAGACAAACGCAGAGGAAAAGCAAGAAGCTAAAGAGAGATGGGATGGAAGACACTAATAGAGATGAAAGAAATGAGAAAAAAATGACAGGTTAAAAGACAATTAGGAAGATGGCGGACGAGAAACACCGCCAGACAGAGTGTCTCTGCAGAAAAGACAGATTCTAGCAGAAATTAGAAAAAAGAAGCAAGAAGACGAGCATACAGCGGACGAGGGCCGGAAGGAGGGGTACCTGAGACCCCGGGAGACTCCACGGGAGGAGGCTGCGGAGAAGAACTGGAGACTGAGACCACCGGAGCAGCCCGGAGACCAGTGGCAAGGGTAGCTGGATTTGCTGTTTCCCCTCCCCTGCATTTGGGACTGCTGGTGGGCTCCCCAGCGGGTGGAGAGACCGGCGGACACCAGCCCAGAGACGGCAGCCACCAGCCAGCGGTGAGCCTGTAGCAGACGTGGTACCAGGTTCCCAACTTCCTCCGGGCACCTCCGTGTGCACAGACCCGAGCTGCGCGGCAAGCGCCATATTGCCTCCTCCTCCCCTCCCCCGACCCTACCCGCGGCTGCCCAGAGAGACAATACAGCCACCAGCCAGAGGCACCTCCAGGGAACGTCCAGCGAACGGGACCCTTCCTTTGGGACCCCCTACGCAGCTGACTCAGGAGGGAACTCAGACTTCGTGAGCTCCCATACCGCGCCAGCTCTCCCAGGTTGCTGCTTGGCACGATGTTCCCAGGAGAACGGTGCCGACTCGGAGGCTGAGAGACATACGACCCTCAGCTTGGCTCCCTGGTGGGTGAATTGAATCGGAACTCCTCTCCCTGGTGGGTATAAGTTACCTCTGGGTCCCGAGGTTCAAACTGTTATCCCACCAGGAGAGGATTCCGATTCCAAATTCACCCACAGGGAGCCCAAGCTGGTCTATGTCTCTCAGCCTCGAGTCGGCACCGTTCTCCTGAACATCGTGCCAGCCACCTGGGAGAGCGGCGGGTAGGGAGCCTCACAGTCTGAGTTCCCTGAGTCAGCTGTAGGGTCCCAAAAGGGAAGGTCCCGTTCCCTGGAGGTCCTCTGGCTGGTGGCTGTATTGTCTCTCTGGGCAGCGCGGGTAGGGTCGGGGGGGAGGAGGAGGCAATATGGCGCTTTGCCGCGCACTCGGGTCTGTGCACACGGAGGTGCCCGGAGGAAGTTGGGAACCTGGTACCACGTCTGCTACAGGCTCACCGCTGGCTGGTGGCTGCCGTCTCTGGGCTGGTGTCCGCCGGTCCCTCCACCCTGGGGAGCCACCAGCAGTCCCAAATGCAGGGGAGGGGACACAGCAAATCCAGCACTTGCACTGGTCTCCGGGCTGCTCGGTGGTCTCAGTCTCCAGTTCTCCTCCGCAGCCTCCTCCGTGGATCTCCCGGGGTCTCAGGTACCCTCCTTCCGGCCTCGTCCCGTGTATGCCGCTCTTCTTGCTTTTTTTCTAATTTCTGCTAGAATCTGTCTTTTCTGCAGAGACACTCTGTCTGGCGTGTTTCTCGTCGCCATCTTCCTAATTGTCTTTTAACCTGTCATTTTTTTCTCATTTCTTCTCTCTATTAGTGTCTTCCATCCCATCTCTCTTTAGCTTCTTGCTTTTCCTCTGCGTTGTCTCACCTGTTTGGTACAAAATGTATTTTTAATTGTAGTTAATAACTTTTTGTTTTTTCTATGTTTATTTTTAAATCAAGATAAAAATACATGGTATAAATTTATTCTGGCATTATGTACAGTCACATGTTGCTTAACCACAGAGATACATCTGAGAAATGTATCGTTAGGTGATTTCCTTGTGCAAAAATCACAGAGGTTACTTACACGAACCTAGATGGTACAGCCTGCTATACACCTAGGCTGTAGGGTATAGCCCATTAGTCCTAACTTCTAACCCTGTACAGCATGTTACTATACTGGTATGTAGCAGCTGTAACATAATGGTTAGGTATCTGTGTATCTTAACACGGAAAAGGTAATGGATTGCTATGATTGTCACTAGGCAATAGGAATTTTCTCAGCTCTGTTATAATCTTATGTGACTATCATCAAATATGTAGTCCATTCATTGACCAAACAACATCATTATGTGCGCACATGATGTTTATCCACCTTGTTGTACTACCAACACCACCATCTACTTCTATACTTTTTCTCTCATGGTAGACTAATAAGTTAATAAATCTCTAATGTTCTTTATTCTTAATTTAAAAGGGAGAAACTGAACATTCTGTTTTTAAATAATCCCACTGAAAAGCTAAATATTTTTATTAGTGTTGACCCTTAGATTTACCATATATTTCATCAACATTCCAAGTTGTCTGTTGTATTCACATTTTAATCTCTCTTTAATGAGGAAACGTCTTACAATTGGGGTGCATATCCTAGTTTATAGCAATGGGCTTTTTTTCTCCTTTCATGCATGTTACAGTCAACTGAAATATGACCATTTTTCTCTCGTGAGTCACTTCTGTGAAAAGATATTCTGAGTCTTGTATCTATTTCAAAATACTTAGTCTAATACATTTTCTAACTGAAATGGTCCTACAAGGTACTTTAATTCTGAAAAGTAATAATTTTAATAATCTTGTGTTTAATAGATTAGAGAGAATAAATGCACTAATGACTTTTTATAAAAGCATTAGGCCGATTGCAGTGGCTCATTCCTGTAATTCCCCAACACTTTGGGAGGATGAGGCAGGAGGATCATTTGAGCCAGGAATCAAGACCCAGCCTGGCAACATGCGAGACATGTCTCTACAAAAAAAAAAATTAGCGGGCGCATGGTGGTGCACGCCTGTATCCCAGCATACCTAGGAGGCTGAGTCAGGAGAATCGCTTGTAGCCAGAAGTTGGGAGCTACAGTGAGCTATAATGATTGCATTGGTACCTTCCCAGCTTCAGTGACCAGGCTGAGACCTCAGCTCTAAACAGCTACACAAGTCAATCTTACAAGACTTGTTGTATTTTGGTATAAAATTTTAATTTTCTTTCTAGCATGCATCTAATCTGCCACACAAGAACTACACTGGGGGCACCTAAGTTTGGTTACCAAAGCAGTCATAGGTGCAGGGCATAGCAGCGTCTACAAATCTAGATCCTCGTGGCTCTTAGCTCAGTTGGTTGAGTTTAG